TATAGACTAAGAATTGAATTGACATTAAGTTCAACTTTAAGGATCAAAACAATTAACCAAAAAATGTGAATCAAAATTATGAAATATATTTAATAAACAATATCAAATCATAAAAAAAAAAAAACTTAACATGTGGATATTTGTCCTATGAATTCAGGAGACAACACCTGGATGTTAGTTGGCATCAATGAAGTGGAATCATGATGGCCATGTCGACGGAGATGCTCCATGAAGCAAGTGAACACATCCTTGTGAATATTGCAATGGTTTCAATAATTAGTCATTTTCTTAGTGGAGATCATGAAAAAGTGGACGGTCTTTGCTGTCGTTCCTTGCTATGTACTTGAAACTACAAACAAAACCAGAACGTGATTCCAATTTCCCAATCGCAGGATTTATTAGACAAATGGAGGCGTACAGTATTCCTGTCAGTTCGTAGCCTGTGACTTTCAGGCATCTCAAACGGTTTAAATCCTTCTGCACTAGGAAAAATATAAAAATGAAAAATAGAACTTTGTTTTTAAGACATGATTGCCTGATTATAATCAATCTAAATTCATCAAGGCCTTTGCCAGCGATGGCAGCATGTGAAGGCGGCGCAGCAAGTCAAGTTTCCAGCAAACCCATGTGAGGTCATGTCTTATGCTGAATCGATGGCAGACATAAATAAGGCTTTCAGTCTCCAATCCATTTAGTTCCTCAAACTGAGTTATTTTCTAAAAATGGGTAAAATTCTTGGGTATTGTTTGGGTTTCTTGTGCCTTTTGATTCCTCTTGCTGCTGCAGATTGGAATATATTGAACCAGAGGACCCGTAATGGGTTGAAGATCAGCTTGAAGAATTATTGTGTGAGTTGGCGAATGAATGTTGAACTGCATAACATTAGAGACTTTGAAGTTGTGCCTGAAGAATGCACATACTTCATTGGGAAATATGTCAGATCCACTCAGTACAGAGTCGATTCAGAAATTGCCACTGAGGAATGCTTGGTTTATCTTAGCACCAGCTGCAATCTGAAGAAAGACTCCAGGGACGCTTGGATTTTTGACATAGATGATACTCTGCTTTCAACAGTTCCTTACTACAAAGAAAACTTATACGGGTAACTTTGATTCAATCTCATCTACTAGTTCTTCTTGGCCACATTACATTAAGTGCTGTTTGTTTGTTGTCATTTTCACTCTAATAGCCTTGGTTTCAAACAGAAAGGCATATACAATAGCATAAACTATGGTATTACACCCCACTTATAAAATGACAATGTGACAGACGGTTCCTTGAGTTCTTAGTCAAGCACTGTGAATGATGGGCTTTCTTGATTAAAAACAGGGGAAATAAATTGAACTTGACATCCCTAGAGGAATGGATGAGCAAAGCCAAGGCTCCCGCTCTTGATCACTCCTTGAAGCTTTTCAATGAACTGAAGTCCAGAGGAGTTCAGATCATTTTGGTTTCTGCAAGGAGAGAGCATCTCAGAGCAGCCACCATTGACAACCTTGTCCGGGTGGTTATCATGGCTGGGCTGGTCTTGTATTGAGGTCAGTACATCCCTTTCCTTCCTTTAGTATATCCCATTGCTACTGTATATGTTCTTACCCTCTTTGATTTCATTTTCTGGCTGGGTGTTTGAATTTTTGCAGAGATTATGCTGATGAATTGGTATCAGTACAGAAATACAAGTCTGATGCGAGGAAAAAACTAATCGGTGAGGGCTATCGCATTTGGGGCATTGTTGGGACCAATACAGCAGCATTGAAGGGCTTCCAAGCGCTGGAGGAAGGACATTTAAACTGCCAAATCCAATGTACTATGTTGCCTAATATGCTACGTAACATAATAGTATTCTTTTCTACCCTTTTCTGAGTCTCATAAAAGCAGCATCTGATGTGAGAAATAAGCTCCCATTTAAAGGAAACAGAAGCCAGCCAGCTGGGTTTCTTTATGCCTCTTCATTGTAGAATTTGTTGTCTCAAATTGCAGAAACTGAATAAAGTAGGTAAGTTTAACATTGTAGTGGCATTTCACTGATATGAAAAAAACTACATTACATGAACCAGTTACAAATTAAAACGAGTGGTAATACAGGACTGTGAAGTGATGGTATTGAACTATCAGAGCTCATGGATGAGTCGATCTCAAAGCTAATGTTCCAAGATTTTCACATCAGATGCCATGAGTTCACCTTTCATTTACAGCATCAATCGCTAATCAGACCAATCAAACCAAACAGCAGAGTCTACCATATACTCCTAATTGCTTCAACCCAAGTTACCTGCCCGCATTTTGGCACAATATTGAAATAAACTCCCATCATAGCAGCGCCTTACTGCTTCTTTAGAAAGTAAACCTTCACTGTCTCTAGCAAGAAGGTACAGATACCCCCATTCCATTTTAGATACAACCTAAAAACACATTCCATTAGTATGTTTCAGACTTGAGAACTTTCAAGGGCCAAGAAGCTTTCATGTGAGGAATGCTGTCATTTTAGTTCCATATTGCCATTTATATAAAGTAAATCAACTATTAACAAAATACCATATGACAAGGCAATTGAAAAAAAGGTATACATATTTACCAGCCAAAGGGATCAAATGCATTTCGATTTCCCTCGGTCATTTCCCAGAGCTCTCCAAGTGTGAGCTTGTCAGGCACTGTGCGAGCATACTTACTAAACATGTGCTCTAGATTTGCTGGTACGTAGCTGCAGTTTCATTAAGCCATATTGTCAAACGCTCGGTAATCAAATTGCGTGCTTGACATATTGTGACAACTAGCTACTCATAATTGCCTACCGTCCTTCCGTATCATAAACTCCTGCGTCACTCCCATGCTTTATTCTGTGAATGTTGTGTATATATATCGGAAACAAAAGAGAAGGTATCCAACTCTGCAAAATTGCATTTTTCTTACTGTTTATATATTCCATAGGCTTATAGCCATTTGTGCACTCCGAAGTTCAAACTTAAATTGTATGGTAAATGCATATATTACTCTTAAACATGATTACAATTGAAGGAACAATGGAACAAAGTAGGCATGAGGAACTAAATCACCAAGGGAACTTACAGAAGATAGATCAAATTTTAGATCACATTTCTCTGTTTTTTTTTTTTTTCCCTTCTTGTTTTCTAAGATGAGTTGGATGAATGACTTACAGGCTGAGTAGGATAGCTCATAGACAAATTGACGCAAACTGCCATAAGGAAAGAGGCAAAGATGTTAAATCCAACTGCTCGCAGCCTGAACATGTCAAAAACAGATTTTTGAGAATCTATTTTTAACAAGTTAAGCATGACGTTTTCTTTTTTTTTTTGGGGCGGGGGGGAGGACGACCGTGCGCTACCCTTGTAAGTTTAGGACAGTTGAAAAATCATAATGGCTATCAGCAAACAACAACAGCTCTTAAATCTTACCCATGTAAGTTTCCCAAGGGTAAACAATTCCATTGTCATCTCGATCAAAAAAGGCACAGTGCTGCTGAAGAACAGTCAAGTTGTGGTGCCTATGTTGTGGAGTACCATGTGGGTGTCTTGTGTCGGGAGCTGTCAATGCTCTGGGCATGTCTGCCAAACATGGACCCATGAAAAACGAAGTGTTATGTTAGTGAAGGCAGTCTGTTTTTTTCCACAAAATTGAAAAACACAAAAAGGTCTACGAGAAAGATGAGCAATGAAATGAAACTACTTACATGGCTTGGGGAGAAAAGTTCCAAGTCATCTCTGACCCTTCTCTGTGCAGTAACGGGTGCATTGTAAGCCTCAGTTATGAGTGATTCCCTTTCTATCTCTCCTTCCATTATGTTTGAAACTCTTCTTCCTCAAGCTTTCTTTGGCTACAATACTCAGGGCTAGTATATATGCGATACTTTTTGAAGAACATGAACGTTCATTTTAGTTGCAGATAATGGGGTTGAGAAGCAGAGAAGAGAAGGTTCATCTAGATGTACACAAAAGGCAAGAGACAGCAAAGCTCCACAGATTTACGTGGCTTGCATGCGTAATTTTATGATGCATATTTGTTGAATCTTTTACAGTGTTCATGCATGTACATGCTGTCTTTGCTGCTTATGCTCTGAATTCTATTCCCATCCTTTTCACATACCTAGCATGAAACTGACGTTTTTGGAGGTGTCACTGGTTCATGTTTAAGCATTATTATTAGGCCTACAAAAGGAATAACTTTCCCAGATTAATACTTCTTTCTATGAAAGAAATTGTTAGATTGATTAATTCTATATTTTAAATTATTAAGTTAGCAAATTATCCTTTCACTTCTTGGAGTAAGAGTTTGTGCATTTTACGAAATCATTAGCAACTGTTGAAAAGTAAAACTGGGAATATATTGGACAAGAGTCAAGAAACACATAATTTCAGAAAATAATAAACAGTGATATTTTTATACATATAAAGATCAATTGTATTTCTTCACTAAATCTAATTTTTATTTTTTTTGACCAGCACTTCACTGAATCTAATTTTACTTTTAGAACCATCGAAATTCAATTAAAAAAGGCCTCTCGATTAGAATAACTTTTTTCATTATAATAGTTATTAAAAGTATCCCTTTAACTCAAAAATAATACTAAGGCAACTAAAATTACAGGTGATATAGCAGCCTTAAGCATAGTATCTCTCTAAACTTGTAATGAGCTAAGGATCAAAACTCAAGTCATGACAACCAATATTACTTTTTTTTTTGTTGCTAAAGTATAGACATCTTTCTATTGAAAGCAATCATATTCGAGGCATTATCTGGCACTAAATATAGACATCTCTTCAGCTGGAATTCAAATCTAGGTTCATTACGTTGTGAAGGACTAGTTTTTTTTACTAGACTCAATCCTAGTACCAATATTACAATTAGTGCTGGGACATGAATCTTTCTTGATGATATTCCTTAACATCTTTGGGCTATATAGTCATATGCCCAATATGAGGGTTTAGTCTTAGACCCATAAAGAGCCCAAAAGCGGGGGAAGAACAATAATATCTGGTCATTAAACCTCAGATTTGTCAGCCTTTGTTCTCCGCGGAAGGGATGGCGAGCGAAGCAGTAGTTGAAAGTGCTGAAGCTGTGGCCGCGTCGACGGAGGCGGTGGCGCCGGAGACAGGTTCCAAGCATACACTGGATAGAAAGTGGACTTTTTGGTTCGATAATCAAACAAAGTCTAAGCAAGGTGCTGCTTGGGGAAACTCGCTTCGCAAGGTTTACACCTTTGACACCGTCGAGGAGTTCTGGTGGTACGTTTTCCTATCGCGTGATTTTTTTTTTTTTTCATTTCTTTTTATATTTTTTGCGGGAGATTTAGCTGGTCGTTATGGATTCGGAGAATTTCAAGGGCCGCTAGACGAAAGTTTGATGAGATCATAGATCTCCTGAGGTTGTTTTGTTGGGAGAGGCTCTGTTGATCCACCGTCTCGAAGTTTCTGTATGTTTGTTTAGAAAAGTTTTTCATATACAAAGCATGGGATCAAATGATGCTATGGGGTTTTAAGAGATTTCTGTTGTTACTCTTTTGCATCAGATTTGCTAATAACAAGACATTTGTAACGTAATATCCTCCTGTAGTTTGTATGACCAGATATTTAAGCCCAGCAAACTGCCTGGCAATGCGGATTTCCACCTGTTCAAAACTGGAATTGAACCGAAATGGGAAGATCCTGAGTGCGCTAGTGGAGGAAAGTGGACTGCGGCCTGCAGCAGAAAGGCTATCTTGGATACCATGTGGCTTGAAACTGTAATGATATTGCTGGCCATTCTGTTCTTTTGGCAAAATACATGAGAATCTTATATACAGTTTTTTTAATTATTTGATTCTTGTTCTATAGTTAATGGCTTTGATTGGGGAGCAATTTGATGAGGGTGAGGACATATGTGGTGTGGTTGCCAGTGTGCGCCAGAGGCAGGACAAAATTTCATTATGGACAAAGACAGCAGCAAACGAGGCTGCGCAGGTCTGGTTTCTTTCTAACTAATACTTGCAACGTCACTTAAAGTAATTTGTTTATAGTATAGCATCCTTTTATGTTGTAAAATCCATCGATAGTTGAGTTTATGTTGAACTTCTCAGAATGGACGATACCTATAGTCATCTCATAGGAAAAGTAAATGATTTTGCCGCTTTCCCAAGCACTGCCCCGTGTTAGAAATTACATAATTGTTTTATATAAGTTCAACATCGCCCCTGGGGGTTGGGGAGCACACTCTTCTGCCATTTTTATTCATCTTTGCATGTTGGTGGGGAAGTTGTTTTTATTTTATTTTATTTTATTTTTCTGGGTGGGGGTGGGGGAGAGGGGAGCATCTCCTCAGATCCGTCTACGACTATATGCTGGCATGTAAAAGCCATCCTGTCTTCTTCATGTAGTTGACTTGTTATTACTAATGATTTGGGCTTAACCATGATGTCCTCATGGTCTAATGTAATTGCATAAATTGAGAGAGAGTCAAAACCTTTGAATATGGAGCTGGTACTATTTCAAAATCATTTGGGATCTCCATTAAAGAAAATGGAAGATTTGTGATTTTGGAAACTGGAAAGGAGCTCACTATATGCCAACGATGATTTTGCTATAACTGGAATTTGATTTGGTTAATGATGCATTAGTTTTATAGCAGCAATCTTTTAACTCCGGGAAAGACATGCAACTGAATGGGAAAGATTGAGAGTCTTGGGTAGACTCGGTCTATCTTGATTAGATTTGTGAATTTCTCATGTCTTAGGCTCTTAGCATCCTTCTTTCAATCTTTCACCAGGAGACAAGTTTAAGGGTATGGATATAGCGTGCTTGTTTAAATTGAATATGAGATAAATGGACGTGAATTATGTATGTATTAGGACTCGAAGTATGTCTAGTTTAGGAGTGGGTCCCTGATTTTTGTTCCATCCCTTTTCTCCTGCCTAGCAAATTTTACTTGTTCTTGAAAGAATCTAAATTCAAGAGTGAATTATTTGTTACAGCTCTTACTCTTCCCTATACTGTCAGGTTGTCTTCTCAAGGGTGTATGTGTCCGATGTCGTATTCCAAATTTTATCAATAACTCTACAGTGCATTTATGATTGAACGGCCTGTTTATATTTGTTTATGTGTCTTTTAATATCAATTGATAACGTAGTGTCCCTGCGGATTCAACGAGTTCCAGAATTGTATTGATTCTGTTCTGACTAGTTACATCTCTTCTTTGCCAAAGTCAGTGATATGTTTTGTTCATCCGATTGTGAAGTTAGTTTACCAAAACTCATCACGTCACTTTTGATGTGAGATTGTTACGGTTTTGAAATGTGTGCAGATGAGCATTGGGAGGAAATGGAAGGAGATCATTGACGTCAATGATAAGATCCATTACAGCGCTCATGTATATTTCTGCTCTACTCTTTTTTTTTTTTTTCCAGATTGACTATCAAATAATATTATCCGTAATTTAATTTTCTCTACATGGTGTAGGATGATTCGAAGAGGGATAGATCAGCAAAGAGTCGATACAGTGTGTGATCTCTTAGTGGATCGTTCCTTGCTTTTATGCCAGTCTTTTAACCTATTTGTGCCATGTGTATTAGAGCATAGATTTTTGGTTCAAACATTAGTTTCCTTTGTTTTTTTTCCCTTGCTCTCTTCTGGATGTATTACCAAAAGAATATTGATTTTTGTAGCACTATAGAATGTTTTGCATCAACATGGACCGCGATTTGTACTGATTCTGTGCAGTTTTTCTTGTTCATCCCCCCCCCCCCCAAACAAAAAGTTTGAAGAATCACTCAAGCTCCTTCTGAACTGATGCAAATGAGTACATCGGTGAAGGGAAACAGAACGGGAGTTCATTTTGAGGCCAAATTCTAGATGCATGGTGTGTTTGGTTTCATATTGAACTATGGTTTTTGGTTATTTTACTCTTAAAATCAGACTAACATATAAATCTGCGTTAGCAATCAAGTCAACCTGATGAGTCAGAAAAACCGTTATATATGTACTAGTTCTGATTTTTAATATAAAAATTAGTTGATTAATTTGAATAAATTAAAAAAATTAATTAAATTAATTATTTGTGATAAATAAGTGTTGTTTTTCTTAAAGTATTTTTATTAATGAAGTATATTTGTTAAAAGTATCATTATTATAAGAATTATCTTGGAAAAAAATTAATAAATATAAGAAACAAAATGGATTGAGGTTTTACATTTAGGATTAAAATAAATATTAAACAAACTCTTATATTAAGGAGTGGAGTTATTTCTTTTATTGCTTGTAATTTTATGTCAATTCAATGAGACGATGAATAAATATCAGAGGGATAAAGGTCAAATAAAGTGGATGCCATTTATTGGATGGCAATAGATGAAGGGCCTTATTAATTTGATCTTTTGTATATAAAGAACAGAATAAGACAAGTATAATTGAAGAATGAAGGTTGCATGAGTGGAGATGAGTTCCTAGTTTACATTCTCATGTGAAAAGGTGACATTTATGAAGTTCAAACTTCAACTCTTCACCCCATGAAGATGATGATTACAATTTGCTAAATCCTTTATGCAAGGAATCCAAGCCTTTCTCCATTCTTCTTGGCCAACCTAATCAGTCCTTGTCTCTGTTTTGCATCTGCTCCTATTGATTTGCAGAACTCCGTTATTACCTGACACACAATTCAAACCATATTAGCAAATTCTGCATCTCGTCTCCTCCCTACCACTCAGTTTTTGCCACCTTCTCTGCCTAAAATTCAGCATGACCAGATTTTAAAAACACTAGCTGCTTCAAACAAAATTGTTGAAAAACCACATTGTTACGTGCTCAAAATCACACTATAGTGCAGCCATGAAAGGATTCTTTGAAGTTGGGGGGCTTTTTACACTTTCTAACGCAGTGGTACCTGAGTTTGCATGCAATTTTAATTAGTTCACTTGTCTTCGTCTAATCATGGACACAGAATTCCCCTCAGACTTCAGAACTAATTAGCTGAACATTTCCCTTCTAAAAGCTTTGTCTATCTCATGCTCAATTTTCCAAACAAAAGCAATAAAGGTTCAAATGAAACTTGAAAATTGTAGTTTCCAGTCAGTCCAAATCAAACGTACTCTCAATATGCATATGATATGAACACAAATCAATACAAAACATATTCCACCAGCTTCTTTTCTCCCAAATTTCAAAATATATCCTTAAAATTTAGAGACCGAGCAACTAAGCAGCAACATGTGAAAGAATTGAGGCATACCTGAGAGTGCAAAGCAATGGCTTTGCCTCGAAGCTGGTTGAATCGCTTCTTGCCAATGATATTGCGGGTGAGGACCACAACAGGGGCAAACAGACCCTTCCCTTCATTGACGTTCTTCATCATGGGCTGGCACCTCACTGCCTTCCCGCCCCCAAATCGAACTTGTGAAGGCACCGATTTCACCAACACGCTGTAATCCTCACCCGCCATTGAAGAAGCTCCCCAACTTCCATAGAAGGAAGACCCAATCGCAGGAATTGCAGAAGCCATTTCGGAAACCAAACCTCTCTCGGTGAAGATGCTAGTTGTTGTTGATTTTAGAGGTGGAGATAGATGGGTGCTTGGTGATGGGTTTTATTAGCTTTGTGTGAAAGATGGGGGTTTTGGGTGTAAATTTTTGTGCCAGTGGTTCATATCTTGGAGGGTAGTGTGGTGGAGAAGAAGGAAACGTTAGGAACCACACAATCTGGTGGCTTTGATTTTTAGCTATGGTTTTTGTTAGTCCAAGATTCTAGAGCAACTCATGAATGCATTGGATTCAACCCAATTTTGTGAGTGTGGTCCCTGTGGCTTACTCTCAGAATATCTTGATCTCGAGTTCTAATGGGTAGTCTGTCGCTCGTGGGCCCAACTTCATCACCACCACCACCGTTGGATGAATCCATCTGGCATCATTCCGACCCTCGCTTTGAAGGATGAAAATTACAGAGAGAAAAATAACCATCAAATTCAATGTCTTTGAATTTGGGGTTAAATATGTGGACTTCTTTCTAGTCCAAATACATTGGAGCGAACCCAAGCACAGGTGGTGATGGTTAAGGGACGGTGGGCAGTGTAGCAACCCTTTTTTTCTTATCCAGGCAAGCATGTATCACCATTCCGCGAGGCATTAGCAACCTTAAATTTGGTGTGCACGTGCTTCTTCCGACCACCAGCAGTCCAACATGTCGGCGTTGCAGTCTCATTTGTCAACCTCGGCTATGTTCTTTCTTTGGTCCTTTTGTCTTGGAGATCATAATTATATCCTACCCTCCCTGGTACTAGTTATAAGACTTATATTAAAAACTATAAATAACGTCATAATTATGATTAAAAGTAGTAGATGGGAGATTGCTAACATTCCGCACGCGTAATGCTTTCTATGCCCCATTCTTGTGTTTTTTATTCTTGCACATTGTGGTATCTGTTTACGTGCACAAGCTCAATAAACCAGTTCAGCGTTTAGACGTAATAGCACTTCGGAAAACACAGACTTGTATTATTAAAAATATGGCTTCACGAACTTTATTATTATTAATATCTTTATTAATTTGTAAAGTTCCAAGTGTTAGGTGTAACTAAGCATGCTTTTTTTAATGTATTGGAGTAAGTTTGAGGATATTTATTTGATATATAAATATAAGAGGAGAATTACGAAGAGATTTTAATAAAAAAATAATTATTAAAAAATCTCAATAACAATCCAAACAAGTTTTAAAATAAAAAAAATAATAATTTCTGAAACTTATTTTGTTTTTTTTTGTAATTCTCAAACTTCATTCTGACGCCGACGTGTCAGTCAGCCACGGTATTCTGTGTGGTCGACGCCGAGTTTTCCTTTTCCTCTGATTCCAGACGGCCACAAGCAAATGTCAACGTGAAGCAGAACGGAACAGAGACGAAGGCTGGCAAGCCTAACTGATGGCATCGGTGGCGACCCATTTCTCAGGTTTCCTCTTCTTATTCCCCGTTGGTATACGCCGCTTGCTATTTTCTTCCTCCCTTTACCTGAAAAGCCCGTCCAATTTCCGATCCAAACTATGGTATTTCTCTCACCCCGCATGGAAGAACATTGATCTCTATTTCCTCCTTGTAGCCCTCCCTATCGCTTCCTTCTCTGAGTTTGTCATCTTCTTATCTTTTTCCGGTCACCCCACCTACCGATTTGCGTTTTCCCTGCAATCCATTGCACTTTTGATATTCTGGGTCCTGATCCTTCTCATTTTAGCTCAGGAGTATTTGGGCTCATCTCTGGTGAATGAGAGTTTTGTTTTCATTTTCGGATCCATTTGCTTTCTCGTGGAGTATTCAGTGTTCGGTAAAGGAATTGGGGGTCTTGGTGGAGTCGTCTACGGATTCTTGGGTGCATTAACTCTCGTTTGCGTAGGTGCTTGCCTGTACTTGTCAGTTAAGCCAACTGCCTTTTTTGCCGATTTTTTGCTCTCTTCGGGATTGATTTTTAAGGGTACATGGCTGCTGCAAGCTGGATTTTCTTTGTACACTGATGCTTTTATGTTGAAGGGGTGTAAAAAGATTTCACTTTCTTCACCATCTCTCGAGAATGTCGATGTTCATTGTGATCTTGATGAGGATAGTCTGAGGGGTATCACATTGATGCATTTCATCTTCACTGTGCATGCCACTGTGGTGCTGGTTTTGAGTCTTGGACTATTTGGGTTGCTAGCAAGTAACCGAAAATTGAGATGTGTGGAGGCAAGGGGACCGTTGCTAACTGAGCTTGAATCGCCACAAATGCTTATGCATGCTCTTCCTGGCCAGGAGATGGAATAAAATTTGTCATTTTTTTTATAAGGAAAAAACTGTGCAGTTTGACTCTATTTACTTTCCTGACTAGTAGGCAATTGGTTACAAGTCTGTTGTTGGCAAATAGCAGGTTTTCAAAGCAATACAGTTTGATAGATATTTAACATTCTTGAATGTTATAGAATTTGTAGTATATTTAGCGGGTTTATCTTTACCTGTATCTTGCACACTGAGTAGTTTATGGCTATGGTTCACAGTTGAGGAAGTTCCATTCAAGAAATCCAAGACAAGAATTCGATACGTCCCTGAACATAAGATGACCTTATAATGCCTTCTGCTTTTGTTGATCGAGATTGTTTCTACCTATTTCTCTGTTCTGAAATAAATGCCTTGCTGGTTTGGTGCGAAGCACATGCATCAATAGCTCTCTTGTACTTCACAGACAAACCAGAACTATAAGTTAGGATGAGTTTTTACATGATCATCGTTGACATGCAATTGTGATGTTTCTCAAAAAAATTTGAGCTCGTTGGCAGAGGAATCTATGTTCTATAATTGTTACAAGGATGCAAGTAATGGTTGTATCTCAGTTTTATGCCTTTATCCATTGAGCGTACTATGCATTTAAGTTATGTGTTTATGTTATCTGCCTAAGAACCTCTGCTGAATTTTTTATTAAAAAGAGCTTGGTAAAATCGAAATTGGAAAGAAACAATCATTAATGCATATGCACATTTTCTTGTATCGGTGCTATCAAGCTAAGAGGCACTCCCTTGCCTCAATAGAAGCAGAACTAATAGGTGTAGTTTTTGTCTTTTGATATCAAATGACAGCACTAACAATATTTTATTGTTAGTCATAGGAGCTGGTAACACATGAATTTAGACTGGCCATAACATTTTCTCTTGCTGGCATGGTGTTATGGCTCATATGTTTAAATTGAACGGCATCATTCTTTATGTGGATATTCTGGTATTGCAGCTTGATTGAAAAAGGCATGCTTAGCGATCTTAAGATGGCAATGGCTGTAACGTACCAAAAGGTGCAAGCTTCGTCTGCACTGGGAAAGTATATTAAAGTTTCTACAAGGTGAACATATTAATGTTATTGCTTTTCTCCCTTGCAAATACACGAGGCATGGAGAAAGCTTTTGCCTTCTGTAGCTGTAGGTTGTTGCATGTTTTGAAATATCTGGAGAATTTAAGCGGGATATTATCAGGGGCTTTGCTTGTTGTCTTTCTCCATAGTGAAGTTATGTTGAGCAATTTATGCAGATTCATTGACAGTGGATGAAATTGAAGAGGCTACTTGTTCCGCTTCGATGCTCTCATCAAGCCAGAGGAATTTATGCTCATTTGTTTATGTGAAATTCATTTATCTTTGGGTGTCTTAGCCCTCACTGTCCAGTGGAACAGATCCTGTTTGAAACTTCATTATGACAACATTAACATAGGATGTGCCTATCAATGGTACTGTTCATGCGCCGATTGAACAGTTTATGAGGCAGGTAATGCAGTTTCTAGTTAAATGGTGGAAGTTGGTGTGGATTAATTGCCAAGCCATTTGAATTAGGTTGAGTATATGATTCTCATTAATAGTTATCCTATTAATTTTGTCTCCTTTAGCTCTCTGCTTGTTCACTTTATATTAGGACGCGGAGAAAGAAAAGGAGAAAAAGGATGAGGGAAGAATCTGAAACCCATTTTGCAGCCAACGCTACTGATTATTAGCCTCCCCTTTGGTGTGTCATAAATTATTACGGGGAACTATTATTAGATGCCAAGAAAAAGATTTAATCACACAAAAATCTGTGAACAACCATAGAGTTTGTAATAATAGGTTTTAGTGTAGGAAATAACATTCACTTGTCGTTAAAACTTTTTAGTAATTAAATTTTTAAAAATTTATAGTAATTTTCCCGATGATTATTACGTACTTTAATTGTTGAGTCACAGAATCTGATAATGAAGTTGAGCCTCAAAGCCAGTTTTTTTTTTTTTGTTTTTGTTTTGGGGAATGACTGGGAAATATAATTAATCAGAGAAAAAAATCATTAATCATATCTGATCCTTTTACCGTATAAAAAATTTAGGAAAAAATCATTATGAAATCCTAAAGAAAGAAGGGTCATCGTGTAAATTTGTATTGAAAGTTTTTACTTAAAAGTGCTAGGAATCTGAAAATAAATTTTTATGTAAATAAGTTTAAAATCGTGACAATAGTTTCAAAGCCAATGTTAATTGTTAATATTTTTAATAATAGAGGATAACATTATCATGATTTTAAATTTTTAAGACAAACTTGCACCTCAAAAAAGCTTTTGAATACTCAATGTTTTTTAGTGTAAATTTTTGTGGCAAATTTACACCTTAAATAAAAAAAATAATCATTAAATTTTAATAACAATTAAGCAAGATGAACTTATTATTTACATGTTGGAGGATTTTTTTTTGTTTTTGTTTTTTGGGAATGTCTGGGAAATATATTTAATCAGAGAAATAATCATTAATCTGATTCTTTTACCGTATAAAAAATTTAGGAAAAAATTCATTATGAAATCCTAAAGGAAGAAGGGTCACCATATAAATTTGTCTTGAAGGTTTTTACTTAAAAGTGCTAGGAATCTGAAGTTTTTTTTTTTTTTTATGTGAATAAGTTTAAAATTGTGACAATATTACCCTCACAGTTAAAAGACTAATGTTAATTGTTAATATTTTTAATAATAGTCATAATTTTAAATTTTTAAGACAACTTGCACCCAAAAAAACTTTTGAATACCCAATGTTTATGAGTGAAAATTTCCATGACAAATTTACACCTTAAATTTTAATAACAATTAAGCAAGATGAACTTATTATTTGCATGTTGGAGGATATTTTTTTTAGTTACACTTCTTTCACAATAGCATATGATGATTTTCCCAAAAATTTACTAACTTTAATGACTACGGAGATGGAATAATTACGGAATGCATTGATGAGGGAGAATACAGAGTGCACTGAATCTGTCCCGCAACGGGGCGTTGGCGTCCACATTCAGTGGATTGGGTTTGGGCTCAGTGGATTCTCTCCTCTCAAGTAAAGACAAAGTCTTTTGTTTTTGTGGAAAAAAATAATATTCATTCGCTTTTTTTTCCCCCCTATCTTTTTCCCTTTAATTTAAACATTCACATCCATTGCACGCGCGCGCACACACAAACATCAATTTTTGTCCGTCTGCGTCAATTATCAATAATTATTATAGTAGATCATAAAAATAAAAAAATATAATTATATTAAATAATTAAAAATAATTAATCAATCATTAAATTACATTCTTTTTTTTTTTTTTTGAAAAAATGCCGTTCTCACGGGGTATTAGTGTTGCCAATGATTCCAGTGTTTAAAAAATACATTGTTGACACATCTGAAACTATTTTAAATTTAAAATATCTTTTAAGAAAAAAAAAATGAGATCCTCAATATAATCAATAGTCTTGTAAATTCCTGGTTGCAATTAATTAATATTAGCTAACAGAATTAAAAAAATGGCTGAAGGAAAATCTAATTTTATATAAGTTACTTGAGTGTTAGATGACTAAGGGTCCGTTTGAAACAATTTATAAGTAGTTTATAAGTTACTTTTTAATAATAATTTACAGAATACGAGATAAATACGTTAAAAAAATTTATTTTGATTTACGTAAAACGTATTTATAGATGGTAAATTAGTTAATGTACGAATAATATAATTGATAGGCGAGCGACCTAAATGGGAGGGCAACAATCACATCAATACCCGCCGTTGTCCGAAGGGAGATTGGTTCAGGCCCAAAAAAGAAGTGAGATTGGCGGCCAAGTGCAATATTTTAATTATGTTATTATATCTTAATTATGGAAATATTTCTTATTTTAAAAGCATATGTTTCTGTTTAGACTATCGACATTATTTTATTTATTTCTTTCAACAAAAAAATCTTACTTATTAATCTAACCTCATCGTATGAAATCTCTAATTTATCTTTTAAATACTATTTCAATATTTATTATAAAAGTCACATATTAAATTAATGTACTCAAAATTATATCATTTTTATAATCTTATAGCATAATTGAATATGTATATATATATATATATTTGCAAGATGTATGACTTTATAATAGGATCAAAATTTAATAATATAACAGAAAATTTGAAAACATATATTAAAATTATTTTTGGCAGAGATAAACAATTAAATGATTGTTAAAATAATAATTAGCATAAAAAGAGACATTTTGATCAAAATAAAATGTTAAAACTATGATTTAGAGATCAATTGATAGTTGAGTAGATAGAAATTAAATCTTTAAGCTGATAAAAATGTTTACGTATCATATATTTTTTATGTAAATTCAGAGTCTCCTTAAATTATTTTAGTCCTGAGATTAATCTCTATAAAGTTGAGAGCGTTAAGTTTAAAATCTCCCTAACAAATGTACTTTTCGGGATTCAAATTTTTGTATTCATCCTTACGAAGTTGATATTGCTTATCATCTCAATCAACAACTCATTAGTTATCTAACATACACTTTGATTTCGAGAAATAATTTTTTTTAAGAATTCTAGTTTTTTTTTTTTTTTAACTTACACTTAGTAAAGGCCTGGTAGTGAAAATGTTGCTCATCACACCCAACAAGTTGAAGATTCTGGCGACCGAGTTGGAGATGTTTGGAGCCTCATTTACTAATCATTAAGTTTTTTTTTCAAATTTATTTCTCAATTTAAAAAATTCTAGAAAAGCTGTAAAAAGTAATTTATGAAGCGGAAAATGTTAAAAAAAATAAATATACAAAAACCCTCAACTTAAAGTGGCTCCAATAATTTATTGATATATTTTAAAAAAATTATAAATAAAAGGCCAAATCTTTTTTTTTGTACACGTAAAAGACCAAATCTTTAATCAACATTTCAAAGTTTTGGGATCTAGATTCAATATCATTTTCTCTTCCTCCATGATTGCCTACAGTGCAACAAGTGGAGGATGTTGGAAGCCTCAATTGGAATTATCTTTACTCAAGTAATTTTTTCACATTTATTTTTCGATCTTTACAAACTTTTAGGAAATTAAGTTAGAAAAATAATGGATAAAGTTGAAAATGTTGAAAAACAGATAAATACCGAACAAATTGCTTATCCGAAAACAACTTTGATGGAGACTTTCAAATTTTTCAATTTAAGTTTAAAGAATGTTCAACTTGCATGCAAATACGGACTTTTTTTTTTTTTTTGTAAATTCAGACTCTCTTTTTTCTTTAGACAAAAAGAAGATATCAATATAAGACCAAAATCATTAATTAGAATTTTAAAATTTGGCCTAATGAATGTTCTCTCCTCTATGCCTGTCTTACACACACCAAAGCCCTAATGAATCGCCATATGCATTCTGAAAATGTTGCTTTTGGAATGCTCCAAAAACGACTTGACCCCACTTATTGCCCCTCCAACAAAAAATCATCAAACTTTACCAATTAATTATCATATGAATTACCAACTACTTTGCTTTAATTATACTACTCTTTGCTACCTTACTATATTTGTACTCAACATGATTGGATATACTTCTATTATATATTCATCTCCTGCCTTGGTATGTATATGAATGATATATTTTTATTGCTCTCAACATTTATGAAAATATTTAAGGTTTTTGAAGACTTTCTCACAAGTCAAATTGTCATGGTTGTAGGATTTATTTAGGTACGATATGAAAAAATCGATGAAAATTCCTATTTAGAAATTTTATTTGTTGGAAGGATCTAAATTTGGCTACCATTAATTTTCATAGATTTAATACTTCCTGTATGTAAAAATTATCAGAAATTTTATTTGTATGCTAATTATCTAGCTTGATTTTGTCACTCTTTATAGCAATTTTTGACTCTGTGATCAATGCCACCTCTGATTTCAGAAAAAGACGAATGGTGAAGGAAGAACAGTTTAGATTCCTCTTCATGTGTGTTGTTAAGAGGTTGCGAGTTTCCTATTAAAAAAAAAATGCCCAAAGGTGTCAATTTTTATTTTGTTGCAACGAGGACATGTCTTCTGGCGTCTGTGACGTGTCAATAATCTGCGGCTTAACGAGATTAACGAACGTGCCCCAATTCCGATTTTTCACACCACCTTATCTTCTCTTCGAATTGCCACCGTTCGATTCGAATAAGGTCTGCCGATTAATTAAATAAATTCTTAATCCTTTAAAGCTCTTCCATTCTTTCATCATTGCCGCCGTCCCTATCTGTTATGCTCTTATTCAATAACCATCACGAGCGTAATTTTTCTTTTTTTTTTTCTGTTAAATGAATAATTCTTTTTTCCCAGCTGGGCGATCGCTTCTGTTCATTTTGCTTTTTTATTAGCTGTTTATGGTTCAATTTCGGTTCTGGTGGGGTGCTACTATGCCATGAAAATATTTTCCCGTCTTTTTCTCCGCAAAAATATAAACTTTTAACTTCCTTTTGACACTCAGTTTTTCTCTCTGAGCTGAAGCCAGTCTGGGATTTTTCTTTTCTTTTTCCCTTTGATGGTTTTCTCCAAGTTCTTCTCTGCTTCAACATACAGCTAAATCATGGGGAAGGCGTTGACCTCTACAAAATGATATCTTTAAACCCCCCCAAACTCTGAATTTCTAGTGATTCAGGATCAGCGACGTGATTTTTAGGCAATTAGGATCTTTCTAAGCCCAAGATTTGCTGATTTGGTCCGCCTTAATCGCGGTGGACCTATCTGGAATAGTGTAGCTGTTAATGGATACGGATGCCAAGGATTCTAACGGCTGCGTCAATAAGCCTGTGGCCTCTGTAGATGCTGAAAGGGTTGAGGATCGAACTAATGGAGAAGATGATAGCGATTCGCATTCATTGTTGCCGCCACGTAGAGGAGGGCTTTCGAGGAAGTCGGATAAAACCCGACGGAAAGTGCAGTGGAACGACAGAAATGGAAACCAACTTGTTGAGGTGTTGGAATTCATACCGAGGTAAATTTCTCCATTAATATGCCCATAAATCAGGTCATAGAGTAACAACAGTTCTTTCGCTGCCACCCCCTCAATTTTGATATCTCCGATTTTATTAGTTCAGTAGCCATAACGTGTCTGTTAATCTGTTGTTTATCGGTTCTTTATCATGGTAGGATGATTTTGATAGCTCTTGCACAGAATAAGCATTTCTCTGCAAAAAAGTTGATCAAGTCTGGAAACTTGTTTGTCATTTCCATGCTCATTGCCGCTGAAGCAAAGTGTGCCTATGGAACATGTTCTGGTTAGAATATAACGTGTGTTCCAAAATGATCATTAGTTATTTGGATTCAAATATTCTAGTTTTAAGAGTACAGGGCATTATCCTCTGGAAAAAAAGAGTGCGAGGCATTACTGCCACTTTTAGTTTGTGTAGGTGTCTGTAAGACTGTAACGGCAAATTGAACTAGGAACAGGAAACTGATTTGGGATGGATTGCCTGATTTAATGCTATCTATTTTGGACAAGATGAGTCACGGTGGCTTTTGATCTGTATCTACTGAATTTGGCTCAGGAAAAGTTCCGTTATCCTTTTCTTCTGTCCCCCCACCCTTTTTCTGTCCCCGCTGCCAATTTCCGTGATACATTACTTTGAACTTGCCTTTTCTTTCCCTCACTCCTTTTTTCTTTAGCTTATTTAGTTATAAACGACTACCATCTGTTTTCTTTTCCTTTTTTAGTATCTACCTCGATTCTCAACTTAGCTATGGCTTACCGTTTGTTTAGATCTCTTGAGAACTACTAGCTTCCCTCTTACCAGCTGCCGTTTATGTCATGTCATACCTTGCCTTGAAAAAAGGAATGATTCTGATCAAGAAAACCTAGAGTCCTCTCACTTCTAACCCCCAAATTTGCGTGGTTAGGATAGTTATCATATGCATAGCATCGTTGTGGTACGTTTGCACTGTCCTTTCTGGTCAGGCTAAAAAAACTTGTACTTTTTGGAGGATACCTTATCATTTGTTAAGTGCGACTTTCTTTTGGGATTTGTGTGATGAGTGCGCCAAAAGAAATTTTAAACGCTTCTCATTTGCTTCTAAGATCTTGAGACTAGTTAAAAAGATACACGGAGTTGGATTGGTTCAGACTTTATGCAGACTTGTAAGGCGTTACCTGGACTTTTAAGCCCAAGGCCTACAGGATTTGCTGCAGATTAATTTCTTGGTGCCTGCACCATTTTGTTCTCAGCTTTTGGAGGCCTTTTTAAGCTCCTTTGTTCTTGTATTTTAGCTCTCAAATATGGTGCTGTTCATGAGTAGGGCCACTTATATTGAGCAATTATCTGACGATTCATTAGCTAACTGAAGCGCTTTTTTTTTTTTTTTTAATGACTACTGAGTCCTGTGCTCTAATAGTAGGAAACCTCGTGTTCAGTGTTTCTTCTCTGAAGAGTCCAACACCATGATGAATCACTGAATTATATATTGTTCTCACTTTTCTTTAATTTTAGGAATGCATGATTGAGGGAAATCCTCTTACTTAGGCCCTGCTATCAAGGAAGCAAAGAAAATAAATTATGTTAAAATAAAACAAAAATGTGAGTTTCATGTCTTGACATGGAAGAGTGCGTGGAAATGTGCTAATTGGCTCAAGTACACTAGAATATGCAGACAACTACAGGTCCGGAGGGTTAATTGGTTTAGGACCTGTTTGGAATAGCATTCAAAAGCACTTATAAGCACGTTTTATTCAAGTCCAGAAAAAACTCCTGTCATATCTTTACCTCGTATTCTGCAAATCATAATTGAAAAGCTACTTATAAGTTATTTTAAACGGGCTCTTAATGTTTGTACCCTAGCTGCCCACTTGTAAGGGAGACGATAGGGTAGAAAAGCTTTATGTCGTGATAGGGTTCCAAAGTATAGCCAAAACCTAAATCACAAAGGATTTAGGGTTGATTTATCTGCCTAATGAGGCATGGAAGAGGACATTTGGATAAAACGCACTTGGGTGCCGTGTTCTGGTCATTCTTTAGTGCTTTTTTATGAAAAAAAGGGGTTACAAGCTGCAGCTGTCAACATCCAGAAACTCACATTCTGTAGAAATTAGAGGAGAAAGTGTTAGTAATTGTAGAGAGAAGTTTTGGTATGAACGTTGGACCCACTTTATATCGTCTTTTCATTGAATCACATAACTATTGGAAGTAGATGATGTACAGTTAAGAGTTCGGACAAAGGTCTTTACACTTTAGGCAGGTTTCAGAAGTTATGGGAGCTGCTCTTAAATACGCTGGTGGAATTAAATGCGTTGAAGCTGTAGTTCTCTTGTATACTGTAACTTGTGCTCAAATAACTTCTCCAAGAAAAAAAAGTAAAACAGAAAAATAAAAGGATAAAGGAATTATAGTATATGAAGTTTTCTTGCTCACCTGGGATGCAACTTTAAAGTATTTGATAATACAGGTTCAACGTGCTAAACAAAATTGAGTATAATTAATAGACCTGAATCTGTGATGTGTTCAAATCTATCTCATATCTGGTCTCCTAATTGTGTCTGCAGTGATGATAGCGACTCAGAGGATGAGGAGTCAGATTCTTGTATTTGTACAATAATGTAGAGATCCTCTGGATAAACTGCCTCGAACATTCTGCTGGTTAATCAAGAAATCATTCTTGCCGCCTCTATTGTTGAAATACACGTGACAGCCACCGGTTCAATGACCAAGATTGGAGGCTTCTCATTCTCAATATTTGGTTCCAGTTCATCTCACTTGGGTTTGAGATGATTTCCAAGGTTGAAGATCGAGTGAGTTCTCACATGCAGATCAAAGTACAGACTTAATTTGCAGCGAGATGATTTTGGACAATGATGACAGTGGTGCGGCTTAAATGTATGTAAAATAAATGAGTTCTTTCATGCTTAGTTATATTTACGGATTCTGCAAGAGTTGTGCACTTCGTTGTGTAAATTATTATATATTTTATTGAAGAGCAACTGCCTTGTAATTATTCCCCTTATCCTAATTGTCAATACGTGGAACAAATCTTCATGATCACTTGTGACATATAATTTATAATTTATCATAGGCGCCATGTGATCAACAAACGTGCCTCCATGAGTGTCTTTTTTGCAATGGAAGCAACTTGGGTTTGCCGAGTTTTCACTAGAAAAAGTGACGCTTGACACATCAGGAAACACAATAGAAAATTTTAGGGGAAGCACTGTTCTGTTTGGTGTTGCTGTTTTAGAATCAAATTTAGATGCATTGTGTGTTGCAGCTGGTTAGTTCTTTCTTACACGGAGCACCTGTGCCAGCAATCTGATTACTGCAAGGCCAGAAATAAAATTTGAGAATTTCTGTAATTGAATTGCTGCATTTGATAGATGTCTCATACAAACACCAAGACATGAATAGACACGGATAACCATCTAATGATCGCAACATTATCATTCACAAAACAAATAAGAGTAAAAGAATCAGACACACAAATAAAAATGAAAAATCACCCCAATTAGCTCAGACTGACAAGCCAAATATTAAGCAGCACAGGAACCAAAATTTGTAGTGTCCTTTCTTTAGTAATGGTCTTCACAAGAAGGTAGAGTAATTTTATTGCCCTGTGCGGTGAGATCCCTCTTGGTCACCGAATAAAGAATTGTTCTGTCAAGTCCATGGAAGTAATATCTCTTAAATCTTTCAACTTGAATGTCATGGCCTTCATTGACAGTGAATTGTGGTCTTAGACGCGTAAGGTGGAATTAACCAGGTTGAAAGACTAGCATCAACTGCAATTTCTGTCACCAGATGCTTGGAAACATTTGATTCCAAGAGATTGAAACCTGGTTCTGAAAGTAGAGTCATGCCTGTCTTTTGTTCAAGCGGAATATTCTCTTTCCTCCTGTGCTTACTTGATGCAACCTGTGCTTTGATGGCTTTCCACTGAGTGATGTTCTCTACAGGTCTCAGTACAGAATGCATGTGATTCTTTACCTTATCTTCTTCCAATGAAGAATTGATTAGCTCTGAGCATTGGTTCTCTACTGGATTTTTATTGCAAACTTCTGACCGATCCTGGTCTTCGCCATCGTCGCTGATACTATAATCCCAACCATCTTCGTCATCAAACTCATCATCCTCGTCGTCATGTGCATCAATGTCAGGTGCCTCATCTTCTATTTCATCCTCCTCGTTGTAGCTGTCTAAGCAGTTGTGATATCTGTGATTTGACGGGTAGTTCAAGGCTGCTGAGTTTTCTCCCAAGATGGAAGAAGATGAGCTACTTTTCTCCATTTTTTCATTATCCTTATTATTTTCTTCCTCCTCATCACTCTCCAAAATCTGATAAGCAGTGGGCTTTGGTTCATATATCTGTACATTCAAATTAAAACTGACTTTCTTCTTGCTTTTGGGTCGGGCCTGCTCCCTACATTCATCTCTAACAAAGCAAAAATACGATAAATAACGAATCACGCACGGAGAGAAATAAAGAAAAGGAAAGAGAAAGTGAATGCTGACCTGAAATTAGAATACGGGATTATAGAGTTGTCTGGGGTGGCAAGATTTACGGTGACAGAGGAATCCAGAGCTACATAGTGCTGCAAAATGACGAAACACAGAAAATCCAGTTGGTTTTTAAGCCACGGATCAACTGAAATGAGGACATGGTTTTAAATCGGAAACAAGATAATCCAGGAAAGAAAGATCATAGCAAGAATAAGAGGAGGAATGATGTGTTTACTTGGTGACCGGGAGCAGCAAGAACCTTGTAGAGAGTCTTTCGACGCTTTCTCTTCTTGGAAAGGCCAAAGCAAGCGAGAAAACAGCCCATCTCTAACGGAAGTGAAGGAGGAAGGCGAACGATGTTGCAGGTTGTTTATAAGAAGAGACGGAGCATCCCAATGGACCCAGTTACAGGCTATCCAAAGAGAGAAAAGGGGGAGAGAGAGAGAGAGAAAGCAAGGCGTGAGAAAAAGTTTGAAGCTTGAAAGCCGTTTGGCTCCAAAGAGGTTCGAAAATGTTAACGTTGGGCAATTAATGATTTTGGTGCAATGCGGTGGGCGCATGAGATTATAATAATAAAATAAGGAAGACGAAGACGAAGACGAGAGAAACGAGAGTAGAGACAAACTGCTTTCGTCTCAGATCTGCAGTTGCAAATTGCGGCGGTGGCTACCGCCAATGTTTCCATACAAAAAGTTGGGGAAAATGACATTTAAAGACCCTGGAATTGATTTATAGGGCCTTATACAATTTCTAGGGTCCTGAATGTTATTTTCTCAAAAATCAAGGGTCAATAAGATAAAATAAATGTCTGTTCGGCCAAAAAAAAAGAAGCCTATATGTAGATATTAAATATTGTGGATTTTTTTTTAAAAAAAAAGGATTGTGCGTGTTCTTTTTTTTCCTAAAAAAATGGGGGAAAGCGTCCCCCTTTCCTATCATCAACCACCTAGTGTATATATTATATGCAGTTATAAAAAAAAATAATTTGATGTTTTATTAAAAATGGTATATATAAATTTATATTTATATTTATATTTTTTTGTTTTTATTATTGACTAGTTTTGTATCAAGTTTAGTGTTATGTTTTAGGTTAATATAATTGATTGATAGAAGTTTTTCCGTTTTGTTTAACAATGTGGAGAAGGGAGCAAAATATCTCCCTTTTTCTTTCAAATCCTTCAAACCAGACGGATGAAGGCAGAATTTGCTGCAAATTCTCTTGATGTGTTTTCTAATGTTTTATTTTAGTTCAGTTTCATGTTCTGACCACAGAAAAAAAAAATGAAGAGGAAGGCAAAAATGTCCAAGATTCAGCATTTGGGTCAGCACGTCTGGTTTTAGGGTCCCTTGACAAGCTTTTCATGTGACATTAGCCTTTTTATACCTTGGATGAGTTTTTTTTTTCCCCAGCATCTTATAATTTTAAAATTATTTTTACGATATACAAAATAAATATGTGGAGGAATTTGTTTTAATTTGTGGAGAAGTGCTTTTCATAAGTATTTTTGGGTTACCCTAAACACCTTCTTAATTCGTTCCATCCGTTTTGATATCTAGATACAAATTGAATTAATAATGTTTTTTTTTTCAAAATGTAATGAAGATTTCTTGATATGGTTTGCATTCTAGAAAATTAAGTCAGGGATAAGAATGATTTTTATAAACTGATAGTTTCTGTACAATTAAAGACAAACGTAATGAACATTGGATCTTAAAATGGAGTAATGTTGAGGGATATTTATAAATGGCATTGTAACGAAGCGGTACTTCATGAAGTAAAGCAACTCTTCAATTAAAAAAACTTGGCCGCATGTTATTTTATAAATAGACATGGCTTTAATAATCTATAATTATTTAAAATATTTTTTCATAAGAAGTAACATCCTCCTTAAACGTAAGAATTTACAACAACATATAATAATCTTTGATAAAGTGGTAGTTATCATGCTTTTAGCTACGACGTTCCGTAGGTGTCTTTGGGAAGTATAATGAGTTTTAGGGGTATTTGGAAGAAACCAAATTATCGTTTGGAGAATAGCTTCTAGAGAATATATTTTTAGGAGAATAGATTTTGTGAAAAAGTGATTCTGATAAAGTGAGAGTGTTTGGATACTTGTTATTAGAATCACTTTTTATATATACAAATTACTCAAAAAACATAAGTTAATATAATAATTATATATTTGAAGGAATAAAATTGTTAATAATATATTTTTTACCAACATAATTAATAATACATAAGATAATATAATTAATAAATAATTAATATGTGTATATACATTTATAAGATATAAGATTAAATATGTTTATAAAAAAAATTAAGGGATGTTAAAATCATATTATTGTTGAGATATATTCTGATAGGCATAATCACACTCTCCAATTTGAGCCAGAAGCAGAATGGATTCTCTTCTTCCGAAATCATGATTTTAGCCCAAACTATGGTTTCAAATAATTTGTGCCTGTTTGGATTATTTTTTTCCCAGACTATGGTTTGAGTCCCCAAACTATGGTTTGGCCTGCAATCCAAATAGACTCTTAGTGTTGTCGTACTCTACACAATTTTAATAAAAATATCTTAATTTATATATATATAAAAAAAAAGACTAAGCGTGATTCAGTCTCGCTACTACTAGGATAGCAAAAGAAAAATTAAATGGTCATCAAGTCACTAAACTTTCTTGATAAAATAATATACTCCTCCTGTCTTAATGTAAGACATAATTTTTGAATTGATATTAGTTTTAAATATAAAACCTATTTCTCATATTTATTATTATTTTTTAAATTACCCATACTCCCTTCATTATAAACAAGTAAGAGAGAGTGGGAAGAATATTAAGAAAAATAATTATGGTATTTTTAGAATAATATGCTTTATTTCTCATAATTAATTAACTTACTTAATCTAACTAATTAGTTAAATATGTCTTAAATTAGGGAATAGAGGAGTATAAATTAACTATTAAGTTTTGACTAGATATTACTAATAAAAATAGTAAAGAGTTGGCTTATAACACATAAGGTTGTGAGTTCGAATGTTATTGATGTGAGTACGTTGTTGGTGGATGATATGTAAATACCTTTGTGAGCGACTGAGTGTTCTTTGAGCATGAAGATATGTCTTGACCCTGATGAGCCGTAAGGATCCAACTCATCTAAACTTTTTTCTCTCACAAAAAAAAGAGAAGAGATTACCAATAAAAACGTTGTGACTCTTTTTTTAATCCAATGGTATTCTTGGGTTTTTGGCAAGAGTTTTAATACTAACATTCCATTTAGACACCCAAATGCGATTATGAAAATTAGCACACTAATTTATGACTTGCATATTTAATGTTTTTTGTGTTTGTCATTGTTCCTAATTTTTAAGCAGATAAACGTTGTCGTGTCATTAATAATTAAACTGACCCATAAGTAGCCAGGACCTGAAAAAGGCCTCATCAAATCAGATCCGTTTATTTTCCACCGTCTCGCCGAAAGGCTAACAAATCTCATCCGTCAAAATCAAATACTTCACACAGTGAAAGCACGCATTCCCCCCTTTTGCACTTGGCAATTGGCATCGAGTCTCTCGCTTGCGCTCCCGTGCCCACTCTCACGAGTCGGCCACAGAAACGGACAAACCCTCTCTTCATCTTTGCTCTCTACTTCCCAATCCCAAACCCAAAATCTTTCCAAAATTCCTGCGATTAATTTCTTCAGAAATTATATTGCAGAGAGAAAGAGGCTTTAGAGTAGCCAGAGGGTGAGCGAGAGCGTAATGGATTCGGATCAAGGGAAACTTTTTATTGGAGGGATATCGTGGGATACGACGGAGGACAAGCTGAAAGATCATTTCAGCAGCTACGGTGATGTTTTGCACGCATCCGTTATGAGAGAGAAGAACACTGGGAAGCCCAGAGGCTTTGGATTCGTTGTCTTCGCGGATCCTTCGATTCTCGATAGGGTTCTCGAGGAGAAGCACGTAATCGATGGCAGAACGGTGAGAGGAAGAGTTAACCCTCCCTTTTCTATATGTGCAACATATGAAACTATGTTTCACCTCATATTCCTCTAACCCTCTTAGGGTCTGAAATCACTATATCAAATTTCTCTAAATCGGGGCCTTTATTGTGGATTTGTTTGTTGTGGGAACTTTTGTCATGTTATTTGCTACTGCTGGTACCAAAATTCTGTTGTTTGTTGCTTGTTGATGACATTTTATCTTTAGTTTTGTCTGTCAAGTGATAATTTCGTTTTCAATTTGAATGATTTTCATCTGTATGTTCCCCCTCGTGGAAGTGTGTTGAGTTATTGGATATGTAAACTATAGTTTATTGGTTATTTCATTCGATGTTGAATTGTTGCTTTTCATCTTAGGTAATTAAATGAAGTAACATTCCAGATTCTCAGCTCTAATAAGATTGTTCATTTTTCTATTGCGCTATTGAATGTTAAACTCTTTCTCTTGTATAGGATTTTCTTGTCATTATTTATCGCTGTTATTACTGACTTTTTAATTTCCAGGTAGATGCCAAGAAGGCCTTCTCCAGAGAGGATCAACAAATTTCAGCCACTTCCAGGGCTGGAAATCCCAACTCTTATAGAAGTTCTGGAAATGGAGGAAATATGAGGACCAAAAAATATTTGTGGGGGTTTGCCTCCGACGTTGACTGAAGAAAAGTTTCGTGAGTATTTTGAGGCTTATGGTCATGTAACTGATGTAGTAGTCATGTATGACCAGAATACTGGACGGCCACGTGGATTTGGGTTTATTTCATTTGACACTGAAGATGCAGTTGACAGGGTTTTGCAGAAGCCATTTCACGATTTAAATGGCAAGCAAGTAGAGGTGAAGCAGGCCCTTCCGAAGGATGCTAATCCTGGTGCGAGCGGCCGAATGGGTACTGGGGGAGGAGGTGGCAGTGGTTATCAGGGGTACGGGGCATCTGGTGGCAATCAAAATGCATATGATGGTCGGATGGATTCTGGTAGGTATGTGCAGCCTCCAAGCACCGGGGTGGATTTCCACCTTATGGTTCTTCTGGATATGGTGCTCCCGGGTACGGTTATGGTCCTGCTAATAATGGCATGGGTTTCACCGGATATGGAAGTTATGGTGGTGCAAGCACAGGGTATGGTGGGCCTGCTGGTGCAACCTATGGGAATCCCAACATCCCTAATGCGGCTTATGCTGGTGGTCTGCCTGGTGCCCCAAGGAGTTCATGGCCTGCTCAAGCTCCCTCTGGTTATGGTTCTATGGCCTATGGGAATGCTGCTGCTTGGGGTGCTCCTGGTGGCAGTGCTGGATCCGGTGGCAGTGGCGGCCCTGGTTCAGCACCTGCAGGTCAATCACCCAGTGGAGCTGCTGGTTATGGGAATCAAGGATATGGTTATGGTGGTTATGGTGGGTATGGTGGAAGCGATAGCTCTTATGGGAACCCTGCCGTATATGGTGCTGTGGGCGGGCGTTCGGGAAGTGCCCCAAACAGCTATGCTGGTGGTCCAGGAGGAAATGAACCACAAGGGAGTGGTGGCAACTACAATGGAAGTGGCTATGGTGATGCTAATGGAAGCTCAGGATATGGAAATGCTGCATGGAGATCTGAAGCTGCGCAACCATCTGGGAATTATGGGACTCCTCAGGTAAATGGTCCTCATGGCGGCCAGCTGGGTTATGGCAGCAGCTATGGTGGTGCGCAGTCACGGCAGGCCCAACAGCAGTGATTTTGACAGATAGATTCTCAACTGAATCGTACAATTTCATCTTTTGGAGCCCTCTTTAAATCCTAAATTATGAGGTCATCAGGAATTCATCTGCCGGCAGCAATTGAGTTGCCCAAGCTCAATGTCAATATACTTTGGGACTGGTTGGGTTGCTTTGAATCCCAGTAGTTTGCAGTTCTGTTTGCCTAGCCTATAATAAGTAGTATTTTTCAAGAGATACTAGATGCTCTTTTCTATTTAATATTTGCTAATGCGTGTAGCTTTAAATATTGCGTGCCCATGATTTTTCTTTCGGTTGATTGGGAATTCAGTTACTGTAGCATTTCACCTGTAGCAGCTTATTGCATACTCATCTATGTTTTTATCTTCTTGTGATTTCATTCTGTTCATAATCTTATGTCTTTCCTTTTGACTAATTATGATCTTAAAATCATAATTAGAAGTAGGAAGAAGATGTGCTCATGGTACATATTGCGTAATGATAATGACTAGTGTCTTACTATGACAATAGTATCACTCTATTAATTGGTTGGATGCACTTAATTATCTCTGTTGTCATCATGTTTTTGTGTTTTGATTTTATTCCATTTAGGGTATCCCTTACTGACTACAGTCAGGAGGCAGGAAATTCTTGTGTAGACTCATGCTTCAATTGTTTTGACAAGTAGAAATAAGGGAGGTTAGCCAAGGTATATACTGATAGCAGTGGACACTCGGGTTGATCACTTCATAATGGGTAGCGATAATGATATTGGTAGTTGAAACTTTGAGGATGGCATAATCATTTCCCCCCGTATTTGCACTTGTGTTGTACAGGAGGAGAGGTGCACGAGTACTGAAGTGGAGCCATGTGTCCACTTCTGGCTGAACACGCACTTCATAATGGGCTTGGTCAGGGGGGCTGAGCATGGTATGAACGTTGTTCAGTCAAATTGTGTCTTTCTGGGACAAAGCAGCTTCACACTTGGGGATTCCAGGCTTGTTCAAGCATGATAAATTTCTTAACCTGCAGTCTGGTTGTGGTTGACGGAAAAGTGAGGTGGAAGGTTCTGCGGTACGTTGACTAAAGCGGTTAGCCATGACTTGTTTCAAAATTTTGTCCTGAATACTAGGTAGCCAGCCAATTGATATTCCAGATGTTAACTTGCGGTTTTTTGTGCTAGAGGACAGTGATAATGACTTGTGATAGAGACTTGGAAGGTTTCACGAGTGGGATTACCTCATTCCTTTTATTTATGATTATCTCTCAGTTTTCCCTTGGGAGAAAACTTACTCAAGGTTTATATTTTTGTTATCAGGTTCACTAATGAGTAACGGAAGTGTGATAAATATGTTGCTTGACATCCCATGATTGGGTGTTTAAAAATTTGTTGCACGTGTTCTTTTTATTAAAGAGCCCTATAGTAGATTGATGGTGTTTGGTTAATGTAAGGAGAAGGAGGTGGTGGATTTTATGGGGGGGAAAAAGTGAGAGGAGGGGAAGAATTTGAATTTTCCTCCAAATCTCCTCATTTGGCAATGGAGGGATAAGAGGGGAGGGAAAATTCATTCCACCTGTTTTTAATCAAACTAGGGTACAAAATCCTTCCAACCAAGCGCAGTATAAGAGGGAGGTGTGTGGCTTCCCCCATCCCTGTTATATGTGAAAGGAGAGTCTGCTACAAATTCTCTTGACGTATTGTAATGTTCTGTTTTAATTCAGTTTCATGTTCTAGCGAGGAAAAATAATTATGGAATCAAAGGATGAAACATTCAGTAAAATTATAACTTACAGATTAAATCTGTGATTCTGATTATTGAGAGTTCATACAATTAAAACCACATAACAGAGCATGTGGTGTGGTCCTGTAAGATTTAGAAAGTGATGAATGGGTTAAATAATGGATGAAGTTAATGCGAGTCTGTGGCTATTGCATCTGTAATTTATGAAGGGAAGGGAGATATAATAGTAGTAGTGGTAGTAATAATGAAGAAGAATAAGAAGAAAGGATTGAGGCTAAGGCATACGCTAAAAGCATGGAGAAAGCTAATATATGAATTAAAAAGGAACTTGACTTTAAAACCAAACTAAATGCTTAATCCAACATTGTATTTAATACTGATGACAATGTATATGAATTGTGTAAGAAAGACAATCTGGAAGTATACAGTCTGTAAGAAAGACAATTTAAAAACATATAGTTTTACAAAAACAGAGATGGTTGGGATTTAGTGAAAAAAGATAGTGGCGAATTAATATTTAAACTTCTCCTTTGAAAGAGTTAGTTACATTTAAGGCTTAATAATATTTTAAATGGAATTGCCGTCTTTGACCCCACTTTGATATGGCGAGCATTGTTAATTTTCTCTTAAAAACTATTTTAAATTGGTATAAATGGGTAAATGTTTAGCTTTTAACCTTGACTTATCGTTAGGTAAAGTTTTTTTTTTGGTCTTCAAAAAAAGTGCGGGGTTTAAAAGATTGTAATTTTAATACAGTTGTTTCATTTTGGCAAACAAAAAAAATTGAGCAAAATTTTTGTCATGAGTTTTTTTGCCAACTTTTCTCAAGAATTAAATTCGAAAGTTATTATTTTTTTAAATTTAAAATTTATCTATCCTTGAGAACCCCTAATAATAAATACTGATAATTGTAAATTTATGCTCTTTTGATGAGCAGTAGATTTACCCTTTGCTTGGATTGAGAGAAAATTAGAGAGAAGAGAAAAACAGAGAGGAAAACATGAGGAAAGACAAGATTTCTCTTGTTTGGATAGGGGAGAAAATGTGGAAGGAAGGAAAAATAGAGGAAAAAATAAAGTGAGCCTCATGCCTTATTCTCTCTCTAAATTTTATCTCCATATATGGAGAAATTTGGAAAGGAAAACAAGATTTCTATGATTGTCCCTCTTCTCTCTTCCTCTTTATATTTATTTTCTTTTATTATATTTAAAAAGTTATTCACTTTTTATTTTTTAATCTTAAAACAATATTTTTATTAAATAATTTGGTTTTAAAACATAATAATCTGAAAATGTATAACCAAATAACTTGATTTTAAATTATTTGATTATGCTAATGTTAGTATAATTTTTCTATTGCAATGTTTAGTTTAATTTAATTTTAAATACGATATATCTTGATAAGAACATTTTAGTCATTTAGATATTTGCTAATTTTTTTTTATTTTTATCTTCTCTCATCCATCCAAGCAAAAAGGATGATAACAACTTTCCTCTACTTTTTCTTTCTCCCTATTTTATCTCTTTCTATTTTCTTTCCATTCAACTTTTCTTCCTATCCAAGAAGAGCCTTAGGGTTATTGGGTCCGGCAAAAAAAAAAAAGGGTCAATGGGAGTAAATGATTTCTGAATTTGGTTCTTAAAAATAAATTTTCCAAAAAAATTATTATGTCGTGAATTAATTTAAGCAATAAGTAGCAACGACATGAAAATAGGCCAGATCAAATCATATCCGTTTATTTTCCACGATCCGCCGGAAAGGCTAACGAATCTCATCCGTCTAAATCGAATACTTCTTATTGTCAAGGCATTCATTGGCCCTTTTCTCACTTGACCATCGAATCTCTCACTCTCCCTCGCTCGCTCACCCCTACTCTCTTGTCGAGCCGGCCACACACAAACCCTCTCATCCTCTTCCACCTCTACTTCCCAATCCCCAAACCAAAATCTTTTCAAAATTGCTGCGATTAATTTCTTCAGAACTTAGCTTGCGGAGAGAAAGCGTGTGGAGAGTACTCAACGGGGGAGAGAGAGCGAAATGGATTCGGATCAAGGGAAGCTTTTTATTGGTGGGATATCGTGGGATACGACGGAGGACAACCTGAAAGATCATTTCAGCAACTATGGTGATGTTTTGCACGCCTCCGTTATGAGAGAGAAGAATACTGGGAAGCCCAGAGGCTTTGGATTCGTTGTGTTCGCGGATCCTTCGATCCTCGATAGGGTTCTCGAGGAGAAGCACGTAATCGATGGCAGAACGGTGAGAGGAGGGTTGACCCTCCCTTTTTCTCTCTGCAATATATGAAATTATGTTTCACCTCCTTTTCCTCTAACCCTTTTTGTGGCTGAAATCAATATAGCAAATTTCTCTATGCTGGGGTCCTTATTGCGGATTTGTTTGTTTTGCGATTGTCGTGGGAACTTTTGTCATGTTATTTGCTGCTGCTGGTACCAAATTTCGGTTGTTGGTTGATGTCATTTTATCTTTAGTTTGTCAGTTTAATGATAATTTCGCTTTCAAATTTAATGATTGTCATAGTTTATGTTAATGTGCCAATTTTGATTCATTTGTTTAGATTCTCTTTATACTAGACGATTTTCTTTTCTGGGTGTTTTTCCCCCCAAACGGGTCACCTATGCATTGGTGGTAATCATTGGTCTAAACTTCTTTGTTGATGGCTCACTATCTATGGTGAAACGGGCCTGAGAGAACACTCGGGAGGTTGGGAGTAGTGCTGCGCAAAACACAAATTACAAGCGCGGACCTTGAGAAAACATAGTTAGCTAGTCGACAATAGTTAATCAACCACTGCTGCTGTGCTGAAGATTACTTGAATTAAGAAGTACATCTGTATGTTTCCCTAGGTGAAAGTGTGTTTAGTTATTGTAAACAGCAGTTTATTGGATTATTACATTGGATATTAAATAGTTCTTTTTCATGTTAAGTGATGAAGCGAATATCTTATTTTATTGGTTTCGAGTAACATTGCAGCTTTTGAACTCTAATAAGATTGTTCATTTTTCTATTTGACTTTCGGATGTTAAACTCTTTTTCTTGTGTATGGTTTTCTTGTCATTATTTATAGGTCTTATTGCTGACCTTTTAATTTCCAGGTAGATGCCAAGAAGGCCTTCTCCAGAGAGGATCAACAAATTTCAGCCACGTCCAGGGCTGGAAATCCCAACTCTTATAGAAATTCTGGAAATGGAGGAAATATGAGGACCAAAAAAATATTTGTTGGTGGGTTGCCTCCGACATTGAGTGAAGAGAAGTTTCGTGAGTATTTTGAGGCTTATGGTCATGTAACTGATGTAGTAGTCATGTATGACCAGAATACTGGACGGCCACGTGGATTTGGGTTTATTTCATTTGACACTGAAGATGCAGTTGACAGGGTTTTGCAGAAGCCATTTCACGATTTAAATGGCAAGCAAGTAGAGGTGAAGCGGGCACTTCCGAAGGATGCTAATCCTGGTGCGAGCGGCCGAATGGGTACTGGGGGAGGAGGTGGCAGTGGTTATCAGGGGTACGGGGCATCTGGTGGCAATCAAAATGCATATGATGGTCGGATGGATTCTGGTAGGTATGTGCAGCCTCCAAGCACCGGGGGTGGATTTCCACCTTATGGTTCTTCTGGATATGGTGCTTCCGGGTACGGTTATGGTCCTGCTAATAATGGCATGGGTTTTGCCGGATATGGAAGTTATGGTGGTGCAAGCACTGGGTATGGTGGACCTGCTGGTGCAACCTATGGGAATCCTGGCATCCCCAATGCTGCTTATGCCAGTGGTCCACCTGGTGCTCCAAGGAGTTCATGGCCTGCTCAAGCTCCCTCTGGTTATGGTTCTATGGGCTATGGGAATGCTGCTGCTTGGGGTGCTACTGGTGGCAGTGCTGGATCTGGCGGCACTGGTGGCCCTGGTTCAGCGCCTGCAGGTCAGTCACCCAGTGGAGCTGCTGGTTATGGGAATCAAGGATATGGTTATGGTGGTTATGGTGGGTATGGTGGAAGTGATAGTCCTTATGGGAACCCTGGTGTATATGGTGCTGTGGGCGGGCGATCAGGAAGTGCCCCAAACAGCTATGCTGGTGGTCCAGGAGGAAATGAACCACAAGGGAGTGGTGGTAACTACAATGGAAGTGGCTATGGTGATGCAAATGGAAGTTCAGGATATGGAAATGCTGCATGGAGATCTGAAGCTGCACAACAATCTGGAAATTATGGGACTCCTCAGTTAAATGGTCCTCATGGAGGGCAAGTTGGATACGGAAGCAACTATGGTGGTGCTCAGTCACGGCAGGCCCAACAGCAGTAATTTTGACAAATAGATTATCAACTGGATCGTTCAATTTCATCTTTTGGACCCCTCTTCAAATCTTGATTTATGAGATCATCATGAATTCTTCTGCCCAGCATCAACCAAGTAGCCCAAGCATAATGTCAATACACTTTGGGACTGGTTGGGTTGCTTGAATCCGAGTAGTTTGCAGTTCTGTTTGCCTAGTCTATAATAAGTAGTATTTTTCAAGAGATACTAGATGCTCTTTTCTATTTAATATTTGCTAATGCGTGTAGCTTTAAATATTGCGTGCTATGATTTTCTTTTAGTTGAATGGGAATTCAGTTACTGTAGCATTTCAGCTGTAGCAGCTTATTGCCTTTATATTGGTCCTATGCGGTTACTCATCTGTGCTTTCTTTCTGTTCATAATCTTTTCATGCCTCTCCTTTTGACTAATTATGTTCATAAATCATAATTAGAAGTAGGAAGAAGATGTGCTCAAGGCATATATTGGGCAGTGATAATGATTAGAGTCTTGCTATGACAGTAATATCATTTTATTAATTGATTGGATGGACTTAATTATCTCCATTGTCGCCTTGTCTCCCTGTTTTGATTTTATTCTATTTAGGGCACTCCTTACTGACTACAGTGAGGAGGCAGGAAATTCTTGTGTAGACTCATGCATCCATTGTTTTGACAAGTAGAAATAAGGAGATTAGGCAAGGTATTTACTGATAGCAGTGGACACTCAGGTTGATCACGTCGTAATGGGTTGCGATAATGGTAGTGGTAGTTGAAACTTCGAGGATGGCATAATCATTTCCCCCTGTATTTGCACTTGTGTTGTACAGGAGGAGAGGTGCACGAGTACTGAAGTGTAGCCAAGTGTCCACTTATGTCTGAACACGAACTTCATAATGGGCTTGGTCAGGGTGGTTGATCAGCATGCTATGAACGTTGTTCAGTCAAATCGTGTTTTTCTGGGGCAAAGCGGCTTCACACTTGGGGATTCCAGGCTTGTTCAAGTATGATAAAGTTCTTGACCTACTGTCTGGTTTGTGGTGTTTGACGGAAAGTGAGGTGGATGGTGTGCAGTAGTGGACTAAAGCAGTTAGCCATGACTTGTTCCAAATCTTTGCCTGAATGCTACTAGGTGACCAACCAATTGATATACCCGATGTTAACTTGTGGTTTCATGTGCTAGAGGACTTTAGAGACTTGTTCATAATAGCGTTGGCATGTTTTTAATGGAAGTGGATTGCTAACAGACTAATTTCTTCTGATGTAAATTCTGTTTTGATGTTTGACTGTGATAATGGCTTGTGATAGAGACGTAGAAGATTCCGAGTGGGATTACCTCGTTCCTTTGATAATATGGCTATCTTTTAGTTCTTGTCCTCAGCTTTTTATTTTTTGCTTCACTTCTATAAGGTAGATTCCCATTGGTTTGTGAGGCACGTTAATTTTCCGTGGTACAGGTTGATGTGGGGGTCGTAACTGCATCTTTCTCATGTGCCCACTTCTTAACATGTCTCAGGAACTAGACACAGTTTACCATATATTTTAGGGAGAATTACAATGAAGTTTTGAGAAAGAAAAATAATTATAAAACAAGTTTCAAAAGTTGTTATTATTGTGGAACTTATAGGCTGTTTAGATTGTTATTAAAACTTTTTAGTAATTATTTTCCTTCCTTGAGACCTTATTGTAATTCTTCTCATGTTTTATAGAATTTAAGTAGAGTCTCTGTTTATAATTCATGACCAAGGCAGTACTTCAAATTGTAATGATTTGGTTGGTGGATTAGCAATTAGACAGGCAATTAACCCATTCATTATCATGGCTATAAAGTTTTGTATTCTGGCGATTGGAATTGTTAAATTTGTTGAGGCTGGCATGTAGTTATATGTTGGCATCTGATTGTTTTTCTGCGGTTTTTCTGTTTATATTTTTGGCCTGTGGCCTTCATTGTCTATTTCATTTTTCAAATGTCACATATCCACATGATGGTAATTGACAATTATGTCAATTGAGCCTTAAGGAGGCGTGGTTTTCATTTCATTTCATCTACATACAAGGTCATGTGTCTTATTTTCTTTAAAAAAAATTATTATTGAATTATAAATAAAAAAAAGATGGACATATAATTATATGTAATTGAAAAACTTGATATAACAGATATAAAAAGTTTGATGCAAGTATTTTCACATATGCGTGCTCTAGGATGTTTGACTTGTGACTAAGGGCTTGCATGAGTCGATGCTGGAGATCTGTTTGGTTTGGAATACGGAATGGAATTGAAATGGAGATTGAAAAAATTGATTTCAAAAGCAGAAAATAATTTTATGCCTTTCTTATTGTGAAAGTGAAATTACACTTTTCAATACTGATGTATTATTGATAGGAAAAAAACTGTGATAATCTTAGGTATATCGAAAGTGGGAAAAAAGAGGGGGGATCTTATTCACAAGATAGCAAACGGGGACGTGGATGAACAGTGTAAAAATGAAATTACACTTTTCTTATACGTGCTCAATTAATATTGTTTCGCAGATCGAGAGAAATGAAGACCCCACAAAAAATAAATAATAAAAAGATGATCAATAAATCTATAGTCTCCCCAAACAAACAAATATCTCCTGATCAGACACATGCCATAATAAAGAAATTAAAGCTATTGAAAAGAATGTCGAATGGGTTGACAGCACAAAATAGAAGGCTAGATACAATTCACTCTGCAAATGTAATAAATGAAAATTTTATCGAATATGAGAGCCATGGAAGTTCAATGATTCAGCTAGCTCTAACTTTGCTTGAACGCGAAGATTTTGCTTCACTGAGAATCAAATCAAGATGAGGGCCAACTTTTGTACGGATCTCTGAACGCACTAGTGTTCCCAGGGCGTGAAAAGACCACCTACACCAAATTGTACGCAATAGTTCAAACTCACAATATGCTATTTTTGGATCTATCAACGGATTAACAAAACGGATCTCAAGTTGAAACATAGCCACTGATAAAAATACAGTCCGCAACACAAGCTAGAACCCATGCCCATGTTACATAGAACGGAGGCAGCATGTTCACTGTGCCAGAAGAATTCAAGATATGCCAGGAATATATGCCGAATCCTCCATTCTTCAAGGAAGGGCTTTAGAAACAAAAATATAGTGGTAATGATGACTGTCATAAGGTGAAATCTTTTGAGTTGAAAATAAGAGAAGACTTTCACAGAAAGCTAATTCATAGAGACTGAAAGGGATATTAAAAACTCAGAGGAGACCATTGAGATTGAGTTCTACTTGTACTTTGGACTCCGGTGCGGCTAAAAGGTTTATGTTGTGTTAACCAAAAACATACTTTCCAGATAGTTATTGGTCTGGGACTGTGAGATTCAACATGCTGCTATTGAAGTGTTCATCTAATCTGAGATAGGTGTGTAAGGTATTTCAATACAACCTTGTGGAAAATGTGGTGACAAATGATGCTCTAATGAGCAAGATCCTAAAATTATTCTTGGTACTGCTAAACCCAAGTCTTCGCCAGAAAACGGACACATTAACACATATGACCACGTTAGATCATGCCAAGTGATTTTAAAGCATCAAATTAGCTACTTCAAACATTTATAGTAACTCTTTAGGTATACCTGATAATTCCCGAGTGTATGAGACTTAAAACCTGCTGCACTGTAATCAAAGTAGTACTCCCATGTCCGAATGAACTTCTCATTAAATCCAAGAGCCAGGATTTCACTACCACCATAAAAGGGGCAAAATCCCAGAATCAGTGGTAACCAAAATCTGTAGTTTAGTATGGAGAACTAGTTTATGAATTAAGAACATACTTCTGCCTTTTCATGAAGTTCTTCCTCCACCACCTTAGCGTTTGGTAGTAATGAATTCCTATATTTTCTATGTGCTCCACACTACATTTGAGAATATCTGTTTTAGTAAAAGAAGAATGAAAGCTATGCTTTACTGTAGAATTCCGCAACAAAGCATGTAATTTATACCAGAATCTAGATGCAGCTGCCATAGCTGATGTTATTCGGCTCAGAGAGGGTAAGCAACCGCCTGGAAAAATATACTCCTTTATAAAATCTGAACTGCGTCTGTACTCATCATAACGCTCATCCGGTATTGATATGAACTAAAGAGAAAGATAAACATCCGCAACAGTCAGCAGCAATTTAAATACTGCAAGGAATCTAGTTTTGACGGTTAACTGGGGAAAATACCAGCATATTTCATATTCTATGTTACCTGCAGAACAAAAAGTCCATCTTTAGCCAATATTGATTCACAACAACCAAAGAACTCTTCCATATATTCATGACCAACAGCTTCTATCATCTCACTGAAATATGGCAATACAGATCATGAAAAATGCTGAGAGTACTGCCATACGGATATGATTCTTTTGAAATTCAGAGAAAAGAACTCACCAAGATATAATCCTATCAAATTTGCATGTCTTGGGTAATTGGCGATAATCACACAGAAGAAATTTGATATTGTCCTGGAAGCATGAATAACTAGTATTATATCTGAAGTTACTAAAGATTTTTCAATGTCATAAGCACGATACATCTAATATCTCTTTAGCACGAGGAGAAACCTAAATTTCACATGAGCAGTGTAGCAAAGAGATAAAATATTGAGGCTCATTCTGTAAAATCCATAACTCTAATGAGGATTTCAGTAGACGCGGACCTAGTTAATAAGTGTACATTATAAACTAGACCTTGTATTTAGAACTGGAGGTAGTGGTTTAATACCTGAAGCCCAGCATCTCTAACTCTCTTTTCTGCTAATTTCAGTTGCTCCTTGGACAATGTTATGCCAGTGTAACTGCAACCAGTTCGTTTGACAACTTCAATGGCTAAGCTGCCCCATCCGCATCCTATCTCAAGAATTTCATGTTTTTTTCCTATTCTTGCCTGTTTATTTATTTGAAGAGGAAAATATTAATGGAGATATCCTCCAGTATAACCATTAAAATATTGAAGTAACTTCTTAGAAACTCACTTTTTCAATCAGAAGCGAGATTTTTCTCATCTGTGCACCTTTTAGGTCTTCGTTTTCATTCTATGAGATAATATAAGAAAGTTAAAAAAAAAAAAAAAAAAACCGTTCAATGCTGCTTCAAAAGTTATATGAGATTGGGCACAAGAATCAGGAAGTCAATATCCTAACCTTAAACACAGCACATGAGTAAGTCATCGTTTCATCCAAGAAAAGAGCGAAGAGTTCATTGCTCTATAAACAGACCGAGAGAGAAATGTAAGCTTTCAGGCATAATCATCAGTCGACAATATATGATAGATGGAAAAAGAAGCTGACATCAGTAGAGAAGGGTTTTTTAAGAGTACAAGTAACATCACATCATCGCAATTTATGTCAAAAATATTTTCATTTATATGCCTTAGGTCATGCAAAACTCGTTATATGTTCTCACCTTTTTCTGAATGAATCAAATGATATAAATTTGTGCTTATCATTGAATACGTGCAATTTTGCACGTTACAATTTTATATCAGATCTTTCTCCAAAATAAAGAAAAAAATATTATACCAGATCATAATGCCTAGAGATGTTCCTTCGAGCCTGTGTAAGATTATTTTTCCTTGAAACATGCTCAATGAAGAACTTTGCAGACGCTATGCAAGATGTGAATAAAACCGGTGTCCACCAACCCCTAAAGCCATCAAAATCAGAAAGTTTGATATAAAATGTGAGTAATACTTCATTGTAGGCTTCAATATCTTCCATATGCAGCATACCTATTCTTTAACTTTGAGTTGTAGCATCTGAATCTCTGTTCGCTATGAGAATCTGCATTGAAAATCAGGGTTAATTGAAGACCAAAAAGGACATTTGTGTTTAATCAAGACATAAGTTTACCTACCAAAAAGAAGTTTAAAAGGCCCTCGTCTTGATCAACGAATGAAAAGTCCCCGTTGATGTATGCATCTGCAAGGCCTAAATCAGCTTGTGTCATAACCTGAAACACACATCAATAGTATCAGTTTTTCTTTTTTTCTAACCAACTGCAAGTGATTTATTTTTCACTGACAAGGAAAAGCATACATCATAAATTCTAAACTCATAATAAGACCAACCATTGATAGTTCATAAATAAGTAAATACCTTCCAGTAGAAACGAGGAGTGTAGACCCTGATAACACTTTTTAATAGGCTCCCTTTCCCTTGTCCCTCAAAGGTGAACATTGTCCCTCCTTCCTCTAATAAACTGTAACACCTCAAGGCACAAGGTATTGAAAAACTTCTCTATAATTGCAGAGTGTTAAATATTAAAAGCATGCATGTACATTGAGGATATGTTTATCTTGAGAATTCACTGAAAAAAATTATACAGTCTTGGAAGAGAACTCACATTAAACACCCAGCAGAGATATATGATTTCAGGAATCTGGTCACAAAAAGTCGAGCGCCCAGTTCTGTCCAAGAAGGTACCATGTGTTTTGGGTTGCTTATAAGGGGATAACATCTTCCAAGAACCCCATGTGCTGCAGTCATGCCAGCCTAAAAGTTAAACTTAATGTTCAGTCATCTTTATTTCCATCCAACAAAAATGATGACATGTTGCCAAGTAGTAATATATGTATAGCAGTAAATGGTGATTTAGATTTCCAATTCAGAATTCAAAGAGTTTGGCTGCCTTAAATCCTATTTTAACAGTCAGCCAACAGTCAAACATATCATGGCTTTTTCTCTTTCAAAGTTAGCTCTTACTACCTTTAATCCATCCTCATGAAATCCATAACCTGAAACAAAAGGACAGAGTATATTTTGGTCAGGGGTAATTTGAACTGGATCAAAATTCTAGGAAGAAATATGATTACTGCGCCTTGTACAATTGTCGGTAAAGTACATATATGTGTGTATGTAAAGTTAATTTCATCGGGAGCATTACATGCTGATTTGCTCATTTTACCGATTCAGTCAGCTATTAGTACTTCACTTTCTTTAAAAAATGCTTCTATGCTTCACTTTCTTCATAAAATGGTTTTACATATAAATGCAGTTACACAGATCAAGAAAATGAGTCACATGGACTAAGCAAACTATAATCAGCAGACATCTGTTGTGGTTGAAGAACACAAAAATGAGTGCTCAATGGCAAGTTCATGAGCACTGATATTGAAATAAAAATGAAGAATCTTCCAACACAATAAGCAGGAACCTACCTAGGTAGGCGCCACAGAACCAGATTCTTCTTTTCCCTTGAATGAGATCTAATTCAGATGAAGCTTTTGACGCAGCGACAGAAGGGAGTGGATGGCCAGTTGACCACTTAAGCAACGCATTTTGTGGCGTGTGATCAGGATTCAGAGTTACAAGAAATGGTAGACTTGTTTCTCCCAAGTTCTAAAAGCCCACATATTTCACATTACATCATGATCATTTACAAGGAAGAATAAATGACTGCTTAAGAAACTGTTTCTTCCCCTAAGAGCATAAAATCCGCTGACCTGAAGAATATTGAGCCAGTATGTCACGCACACTCTATTGCTAGTATCTCCCAAGAAATTCCAGGCACTCCATGCTGCTGGGTTTTTGGGCATTAAATTTTTATCACGATGAAGAAAAATATCACTGCCAATACAGAGTAAAAAATATAATTGTGCGATTGAACTTATTTGCATATACTCAACATCTCAATTTAGCACCTTTTATTTTGAACAACAATATCCAAGTACACATAAACATCCAAGCATAGACTTCTTGACCCGAATAACTCGTGTTATCTGTTTAATATTATACACCAACTCCTAAAAACGAATTTTGAGAGTTCTATTTCTATTGCGATAAAATAAGCATGTTTGGTCTACTCCCAAAAGTCCGTTTGACTTCTGTTTGAGATGGACTTTTGCAATCTTGCAAATGTAGCGTTTTGGAAACATAAGCAGTTTCCCAAACATGTATAGTTCAAAGAATACGCTGAGTGATAGATGCACATACATGATCTGATCTGTATTATTTGAATCAAAGATAAATAGAAAGACTATGAAGATGAATTAACCTGTACTCGTACTGAAAAGCTCCAAGGATTCTCCTCTCATCAAATGTTGCTTGGTCACCCAATATCTTCAAAGTATCAGGGGCATGTACGGCCATTATGCATCCATCATAGATTTCTTGCGTACCATCATTGCATAGCACAACGCATCCTGCAATTATGTTTCTCAAACTTGTTAAAATACCATTATTGAGTTAATACAACTGTAGATGTAGTACTTGTAAAAATAAAAAGTCCCTGGGAGACCATTCAAATTGAAATCATCAAGAACTTCCATATGGGAAGGGTATTTTCTAGCTTTAAACCGCCGAAAGTTTGTACTGCATGCATTTCCCTAGCCTTTTAACTTATATATACTGCCTCCGGTTTTAATTATAAAACCTCATTTGTAGACTATAAATGAGGTCTTATAATTAAGATCGGAAGTAGTATTATATAAGGTCACTTGATCACAATAATTTCCATGAAAGGAAAAGTTTTAGGCATACAAACTCACGAACGAAAGTTATTGAATTTGTCATGGAAAGGGGTAAAAACTGAAACCGTTAAAAAAAAAAAAAAGGTTTGGTATTTCTGACCTTTTTCAGAGGTTGAAACTGATATTACTTCAGAGTTGGTTACTATTTGGCAACCTCTATTTTGAAGCTCCTCTTTGACCTGATTTTTCCAAAATCAAGAATCAATACCAGATTTTTTTTCTTTTGTTTCGTGGGGGAAAATGCTTAAAATCATAATGAGTAGACATTGCACCTTTCTAACGTAGTTGTGTGAGCGCCCTTTGACAGTAAGCCATTGGGGCCGGCCAAAGAGCTGAAGGGAGAAGCAAGCGACTTAGGAAGTAACATGTGAAACTTTAGATCTTAAAACTAGAGCAAGAATTGATGATATAAATAAACATCGGAAAAAGGTGATTTACAGTAGGACTACCTGAAGTAGATGATGGTTGCGACAGAATGAGAGAACTGAGAAAGCAGAAAAGCTCATAACTCCTTGAGAGGGGCAGGACCAAATCGAACCACAGATTGGAATCTGAAACAGGTACTCACTTGTTTAACTCAAAGAAACTTACACAGTAGAAAGATAACAGTAGTCAACAGGGAGTAACTTATCATACAAGGTAAGCTTTTTGGAACAGTTCAGAGTAACCCCTTGAGCTGACGAACTGGCCCAAAGTCTCATTGCGATCAATATCTGGGTTATTCTCAAGCATATCAAGATAGCTGCAATATTTGCAAGAGGAAACCATTGTTAGTTAGTGAGTGTACGTGCAAGCTTTTGGAGGGAAGAAGTGAGGAGGTGAGTACTAGCCTTAGAACATCATGCTTGAAGCTGACGATTTCACGAATCATTTGCCAGAAGTAAGGGTTGAGGATGTTTGTTTTCTGGGCAAATAAGCCGGAGAAACCGTTTCGGCTGCCCCATTCGCAACCTCGGCCTTTGTCAAGGCTCACAGCAAACGACATGTCTGATAGTTCCATGTCAACTCCCAAACTCTCGAATAACTCCATCATGTTTGGATACGTCACCTGTTTTCCATTCACTTAACACACTTTTTAACTTACTCTTCAGTCTTCACAAATACTATTATTCTATTCTCAAATAACTCATCTTCTAAAAACACATGCAAATCAATCACCAATTATTTCATACACTCCTTTTGCGATTCAATGCCTTTGCCTGATTAATTGTAGTTGACTCGTTTTTGTGATCATGAATCCTTTATATAAATTATGACTCCGACACTTTTTTTTAACTGAAACTTTTTTTGAAAAAAAATTGTTTTACAGTTTTCTTTTCTGTGCCATCAACAATTCGAAATTAGTCATCAGACCTGTATAACACACAAATACATATATATATATATATATATATATATATTAATTGGTTGTTGGCAGATTACAATAGAATAGTGATTTATGTAGCTGGACTTATATGATAGGTTCTAACGAAGGAGGTAAATAAAGTAGAATTAAATTTATATGATATTTTAATTAATAATAAAATAAGAAATGTACAAATAAGTACTCTTTTGGTCCTTAATATAAGAACTATTTAATTAATTTGATTAGATTAAGGAAGTTAGGTAGGTTAGTTAATTATAATAAATATGACATGTTTTTTCTAAAACACCATAATCATCTTTTTTAATATTCTCCCTCCCTCTTCTACTTGATTATAGTTGAGACAGTATTTATAGGGGTAATTTAGAAAAAAATTGATAAATATGAGAAATATATTTTATATTTAGAATCAAAATGAACTCAACAATTAAGTCCTATATTAAAAATCAGAGGAGTATAAGATAAAAAAAGAACGAACTGCAAATATCCATTGCCATGAAAGTGCATGGGTACAAGTAATTACGCCAAATAAGAGAAACTGCAATTGTGCATATATCAATAAAATAAATAACACGTGAAAAATGAATAATATAAAAATGTGAGTTTCTTGCAAGCTTTTCGTGGTTCTGGTTTTAGACCGCTGAGAAGAAAACAAAAACTCATAATAAAAATGTTTAAATGTCTTGCATATATTATCAAATATACTGTGGGTATCACATTGAATGTGTATCCGTGTGAAAGTGTTTATTTTTATAAAAATATCGATGTTTGATGGATAAAACAATGATACTTTGTTAAAAAAATTCCTAATACTTAAAGGATTTAATTGAATTTAATTCGACAATATGCCAAAAGAATAATCAATATTAGTGTACCATATAAACTAAATCTCCTGGGGAGAATTACTAGAAGATCTCAAGAAAAAAATTTAATTACCAAAAAGTCTCATTAACAAGTAACCAGTTTGAATCTATTGTCATTTCCTATTCTAAAACTCAGTATTATTTACTCTTCATTTGTCAATAGACTTTAACATAATTAAATTCTTTTCTTATGACCTAATTGTAATTCTCCCAATCTTCTATCCCCACCCCACCTCCAAAAAAAATACTATCATTTTTATTTATTATTTTTTAAATGACATCAGTAAAAAATTGAGTAATAATCTATTATTCGAATAAAATACACCAATAGATCTTCCTTTCTTTTTAACTTTGTCATGCATATTTCACTCAAAATATTATTTCATTACAGTTACAAATATTTGAAAACGATTTTATCAAAGTTGCTATTAAATATTTATTTTCTCTATATCCACAGAGAAAATATTTTTCCCCCACAAGAGAACAGCATTAAAAATCAGCTCCAGCATGCCCAGCTAATAAAATCATGAAGCTGCCTTCTCTTCAAAATTTTATGTTTTCGTAGAATCCTTCCGATGAGAATTAATGTCGTATGTTGAAGAAAATTCTCGTAAGTGTCCAGCACAATCGTCGTCGAGGACGTTATTAAATTAATTCATAATTTTTTCTGTTTTAAATTGTGTGGATGATTATGCAACCCTGTCTGCTAGCTACTAATATAATGCTTCTTGTATCTTCTTTCGCCTGCAGGTGAATTTTGACCCTTTATCAACAAACCAGAAGGAATCAGTTTCAGTGCTCATCTCTTTGATGAGCCCCTTAAATTCTTCAGATTTGGACCGTCTATATCTAATTTGAACGATCCAGATTTAAATTTTTTAATTAATTATTTTTTAAATAGAGAAAACTATTTTTTGAAAGAATGATAGTTAAGAAATCATCACTATTTTAAATTCTATACATAATAAAATAATTATTTTGAATAAATAAAAATAGAAAAGAAATCAAATTTGAACCATCCAAATGAGATATAGATGATTCAGATCTGATAAGTTTATAATGCTTATAAAAAAGATGAGTACCGAGACTGGTTTCCATACTAGAGAGACAGGGGATAAGGGAAAAGAGTTGCATTGTCGTGAGTATTAATTATTAAATTAGCAATTGTGGAATGGTCATGGTGGGACAGACAGGGGATGAATATGATTATGACGACAAAGGAATCAATTCAGTTATATATTACATAAAGGGCTAAACATAGTCCTACGAAATCCTGGCTAAGTCATTAATTATTAAGTCCATACATTGAATACTCGAAGCTAGCCATACAAATATTCAGCCATATCTACTTGGTTCTACATGCAACAAAAGCTTGACTTTTTATTTTAATTTCCTCATAAAGTTTGCTCTATATACTCTTTCCGTCCTAAACTTAACACTCATTTTACGGTGTAAATTACACTATAAAATAAGTCTTAATAAAGTATATTTTAAACCTTGCCGGCTCATACCTGCTTCCAGCTTCATTTCTTTTTTCTTTCTTGAAAAAACTTCAAAATCTCTTGACACTAATTATCAGCATCTTAATACTTAATTATTTTGATTACCTATTAATTAATGTATCCGAATTATAAACCAATTTCTTTGTCATTGCTCACAACGTGGGAAACAGAGTTATGCAGAAGACGAAGGAGAAGGAGAAGACGAAGGAGAGATTAACATTCAAATTGAAATGAGTATCAAATCAGCAAAATAATTATTCAGCTGTTATTTCATTTTATCCACCTCCATCATTAATGTGCCTTTAATTCTCTTCCCCTAATTTTCACCCAAAAAGCAAAGACTCGAACTCGTGAGCTTATCTTTCTGGAACATATCCTTTCTCTCTTTTCCTTTATAGTCCTTTTGATAAATGTCATTGATACACACCCACAATTTGAACTCCGAAACTATTTCAGAGAGTTGAATAGGAATCAAGCAATGGAGGTGAAAGAATAGACGAACATGTGTGAGTGGTATAAAATTCAAAGAAAATCCCATTATCTATTTGAAATTCCGTTCAAAACAGAAGCCCACGGTAGTATAATCTATATATATGAGCCGACACCAAAACGGAGAAGTAAAAAGGTTGGGGTTATCAAAGAGGAATAAGACGGTGTTTGGAACACTATATAATCACTTTTCAAAAATACTTTTCTACAAATCAAGATAAACCCTTCTAAACATTCATTTAGAAACACTTTTGAAAGCATAGTTTTGTTTTTATCCAAATACTTCCTGAATATAACATGAGATAATGTGAGAGATAATGTGAGTGAGTTGCAGATAATGCAGGTAATGAATCTTCAAAAAATTAGGTGTTCGAGCAGTATTTAGAAGCAGGAGGAGGATATAGGTAGTGCGAACAAAATGCTCCAGTTTTGGATAATGTAACCGGGAATCACCATATCAGAATCGAAAAGCAGGAGAATTTAAAGAGTAGAAGTGAAAAGGCATTTGATGATGAATTACCCGATTGAAGACCATGAAGCCCAAGTCAAGATCAAAGCCATCAGCATTGACAGTCCTGGAATGGCCTCCCAAGTAGTCTTCTTTCTCATGAACCACCACTTGAACTCCTGCTTTTGCCAGTTCATATGCACAGACCAGACCACTAATCCCCGCACCGACCACTCCCACTCTCTTCATCCTTGCCTCTCCCTTCTTCTGCAGAACCAGAGGTTGGATTCGGATATCAATATGGATATGTTTATGTATATACCTCGGCTTAATTTAATGACAATGATGGCGAAGGAGGCGGCTTAAAGGACATAATAAATGGAGACGTGGAAGAGAAATGTCCACTAAATTGAAGGGAGGGCTCTGACTGACTGATCCGAGAGGTTGCAGAGCAAATCAGTGAGGGGTTATTTAAGTTAATGACAGGTACTTGTAAGTAAAGTGTGTTTCCGCTCAGACGAAAAAGATAAGCAAAACAAGGCCTCTGCGAACCCTCTCTATCCAAACCAAACTGAACCTTTTCTCTGCTTTCCTCAATACCCATACATGCTACACCTGGCCATTCTCGTGCCTCTTGATCTTTTCCGTTATTTATTTTTACTAGTATTTCCCATGTTCACTGTCTTTCTAATTTTCTTTTCCTCTGCAAGTCCAGGTCATTTATTTGGTGCTTGTCTCAGATTGGCAGGAAGTCAAGTGGGAGGAAAAGTTAGCCAGTGTTGTGGGGTTAGCTATCCTTGGCTGGATTCGGAATCCAGGACACTGCCATTTCTTAGAGGAGGGTCACAGCCTTCACTTCCATTTGAATTTATGGGAATAAAATTCATTTCATGTACTTATTTTACATTTTATAAAATTATTTTTAAAAAGCTAATTCAAATATTTGTAAAACAAAAATACGCGACAGTTGCCATAATATTGCGGTGTTTGAATTACCTAAAAATATTTTTAAAAACTATTTTCATATAAATTGATATAAAATTTTTTATATATATTTATTTCATGGATTATAAATTTACTTTTTAAATTATGATTTGATTTCACCCATACATTCTTTTTAATATATAATCACCTTCTGTACGAGACTATCTTAAACATAACTCTTTTTAAACATGTTTTCCGCTTTTACACGAGGTCAAATTTGAAACCTCATACTCCTTTGATTCTTAATATATAAGACCTACTTAACTAATTTGGTTAGATTAAGAAAATTAGGTAAGGTAGTTAATTATAAGAAATGTGACATGTTTTTCTTAAAATACCATAATTATTTTTTTTAATATTATATTTTTTTCTTCTACTTGATTATGGTTGAGAGAGTATATATAAAGATAATTTTAAAAAAATTAATAAATATAAAAAATAAGTCTTATATTTAAAATTAAAATCAACTAAATAATTAAGTGAATATAAAAGAATAGCATCGCCTGTTGTCAATTCAACATCGACACATGTTATCGCTACTTCTGCACAATCAAGTATATGTCCGCAACACGTTAGACACGTTGTAAAAGTACCAGAGTTATTAATTTATATTTGATTTTCTTTTTTAAGTTGTGAAGATCGGATCAGAAACGTATGGTCATTTTCTGCATTTGTGGTAATGTGGGGTATCACCATCACATGACCATGATGTGACGCCGAGAGGGCATATGTTTGCGGAGCCACTGGGACCACGACTCCATCACTATTTTTTTTATTACTACTCTTCCTGTCAGACCGAATAGGATATATCCGTTAAGGACTAAAACTTTCTGAAATTTCACTACAGGATCAAGAGACCAAATTGAAATTAAAATTTAGAGTGAGATTACAATAATACCCCTCCCTTTTTATTTTATTAAAAAATAAATATTTATCAGAGTTACTGTTCCGGCCACTGGAAGTCAGAGGTCCGGCCACCGGAGCTCAGGTGGCCGCCACCGGGGTCCGACCACCTGTGGCCGGAACAGTAACTCTGGCCAGACCTCTGGTGGCTGAAGTTTTTTTTGTTTAAAACAAAGTGACCAAGGGAGGGTTTGAACCGATGACTCCTTGGCACACCAAAAGACTTATAACCACCAAGCCAAGCAACCGATTCAATCATAAGATGCAAATAAAAATATATATAACAAAACAAACGCAACTGTCTAAATATAAGTGAACAAGTGAAATTAGACGATTTACAAGAGGAATTCAGCAATTTGCAACAAAAATTAGGCAATTTACAAATAACATAATAGAAGTCATAACCCAAAATACAAGTATTTAAGTGCAAATGAGCAAGTAAAATTTGAAGATTTACAACAAAATTTTACGGATTTACAACCCAAATTTAGTAAACACGAGAATTCACAACCCAAAATGTAAGTGTTTGAATGTAAGTGAACAAGTGAAATTGGACGATTTACAAGTGAAATTCAGTAATTTACAACAAAAATTAGGAAATTTACAAATAATATAATGGAACTCACAATCCCAAATACAAGTGTTTAAGTGTAAATGAGCAAATGAAATTTGAAGATTTACAACAAAATTTTATAGATTTGCAAGTGAAATTCGACAATTTGTTTTAAACAAAAAAAAAAAACTCCGACTACCAAAGGTCCGGTTGGAGTTACTGTTCCGGTCACAGGTGGTCGGACCCTGGCAGCGGCCACCTGAGCTCCGGTGGCCGAACCTCCGACCTCCGGTGGCCGGAACAGTAACTCCGGTAAATATTTATTTTTTAATAAAATAAAAGGGAGGGGTATTATTATAATTTCACACTAAATTTTAATTTCAATTTGGTTATTTGGTCATGCAGTAAAATTTCAGAAAGTTTTGATTCTTGACTGATATAAATTGTCTTTTGCGGTCCTTTACTGAAAGTTTCCCTATAAATTAAACCGTTCTGTGCGCGTGGTCAGCAAATCTTTTCTTCGCAATGAGGACATGGCAATCACACGTCACAAAGATTATATTATTTAATTTAATAATTAATTAGAAAACAGAAGCGTGAGTCAAGTGAATTGGGATAGAAAGATAGAAAGAAAGTAGTTTCAAAACCCTATAGAACGCAAGGCGTACATGTACTTATGTGCTCGTTTTAATCTAATTCTATTAGAGTTGAATAGCATACAAGAGACCCAGATGAACATGATGGGGTATAACAGTTATTGTTACCAGACACGGTGAATGATAGTATATTACGTTTTTAGCTGGACACTAATTAATACTCTTCCTGTTTTAAATATAAGATCTTTATACACAATAAATATAAAATTTTTATACTATTGTGTATAAGGGTTTTATGTTTAGGACTGAAAGAATATAATAATCACAGGGAACCTAATTTTTTAGTCAGCTCTAACTTTTTAGTAACTGGAGCTTATTTAGTGAAACTCTGTTTTTCAGGTTTCTACTATTAAATATATTTATCCCTCAAACAAAGTAAGTCAGTCCCTCATGACTTATGCATGTGACATCAACTTTGACAAACGTAGCAAAGCGACGATTATTCGGCATCCGAATCAAATTTCAAAGATAAGATCATAACTAATTTAAACTTTCAGTTATTAATTGTTCACATAATTATACATATAAAAAGTCGGGAGAATTATAACGTGGTTTTAAGGGGGAAAAAAAGGTAAAAAGTCACTGTCAAATATCCACATTTGGATGATTTGTTTTTTGCTTTTTCTTTCGGGTTTTAAAGATGGCATTACACAATAAAAAAAAGGAAATGAATAAGAAAAGAAAGGCCTTCCCTTTCACTGAAAACTTGCCACCGAATGCTCACCTCATGGGACCAGAGCGGCAAGAGGGAGACAAGAGTGACGTGATGAAGATACGGACGGTCACATGCTGTGTAAGTGCTTGATTGGGGGGCTCTCCTACGTGGATAACCCTCTCGTATGTCCCCGTCAGTTTAACTTAAAAGATGTTTGGATAGAAATCAAACTATAGTTTTAAAAGTATTTTTACGGCATACAAAATAAATATGTGAAAGAATTTATCTTGTTTTGTGAAAAATATTTCTAAAAAACACTTTTAGATGTTTTCAAATGCCTCTTAATCTGCCTCCCTTTCCTCTTTTCCAAAACATTCCATTACTTTTCAAATAACCAACAGTTTCATCCCTCCAGTTTGTTTGTTCCCGTTACTTATTTCATTGATCCTTAAAATTTAATTTTCATTAATAAAGTCTCTAAAATTTCATGCTGAATGATCCCTTTGAATTAACCCACTGTGTTACATCTGTTCACGACTTTGATTTCTTCCATTCCCACAAAACATGGTCCGCACACTACCAAATATCCACCTCAGGCCCCAAGCCTCCGCAATGTGCACCACAAGAAAACGAGCTTCGGCCTTTTGAAAATTACAGTACCTACTCCACCATATGAATTGAATCCCCAGAAATATATATATCTCTTTATTAAATATAATCTTGTTTAAGCTACGGTTGAATATGGACAATTTTCTCTACAGAAATTCACTCTCGTCTAGATGGGTTGATCCTCGATCCTATTTGGGCTTAAAGCCTTGTGGATTTGGCTACAGAAGCAGGCCATTATTACCCTTTTATTCACATGCTTTTACTGTAAGCCCATTCCACTGACCTTGGGTTTGTTTTGGAGCCCGTTTATTATTTTTCTAATGTGATCCTCATCAGAAAATCACATAGGATGGGAGGCTCATATAAAAATCAAGGTTTGAATATTTATTGGAGAGATGCTCAGATTTATATCTGACAATACTTTAAATATAATTGTAGGAGGATATCTATACAGAACAAATAAAAAATTTCTTTTTTTTTCCCAATAAGAAATTTCCGATAAATTGTCTTTGCTTTATACGTTAACCTACAATCTAGTGCAGTTATGTAGAGGACACAAACAAATTAAATAATGTATAAGTGTTGTTTGATCCGTTCGGGGCAGATATTTAAAATTAAACCACATTCTAAAAAAAGATACTTCGTCACCCGACGTTAACGTGTTCAGTCAACGTTTTCTCTGCTATATTTTTAGACAAGCTTGAAAATATCATCATTAAATTAAATAAATTGCACCATAATGTCAATATATTTATACTAGTATTAATTAATTACAAAAATTAATAAACATGATTAAAATAATGTCAAATTTGTGCATCTAATTTGGATTGCTACATCGTTTTCTTCGCTCTTACAGCGTTGGCAAATCCATCATCACCCATCTCTGTCTGACCTCACACGAAGTTGCTGTCATCTAACTAACACAACGGTCATATTACACCCTTCCCTTTTCCCATTATCTCCCTCTAGCCCTTTTTTCCTTCTTTAAGGTGAGATGCTCTTCTTCCCTCTCCTGCCGGAACTCTAACGTCCATCGTTTTGCCGCCCTCTTCCGTCTTGGGTTTCTGACCCGCCTCCTCTCTGCTCTCTGCCGCATGGGTCAGCATGCCCGCCGCGAATCTTACCCTTCTTCCTCCGTCTCTTCCCGTTTAGATCATATGCGGCACCACCCTCGTCGGCTCGAGTTTCCCGAGAAGGACAATGACGTCGTCTGCCCGTTCGGCAACCTCGAAGGCCTCGACCAGGATGACATCAGGGAAACCGCCTACGAGATCTTCTTCACCGCATGTCGATCGTCACCGGGCTTTGGGGGAGGACGGAACGCTCTCACCTTTCATTCTAGCCACGAGAATGGGGATGGTGGCGGGTCCAAGCCGAACCAGGTGGTGAGTCACCCGACCAGCCGGGTGAAGCGGGCCCTCGGGTTGAAGATGTTGAAGAGGTCGCCGTCGAGGAGGATGGTGGCGGGAGGGAGCAGCGGAGTGTCATCGACACCGTCTTCACCGGTGGGGCAGGGCGGAGGTAGCCCTTTGGCGTACTCGGCGCCTCTGAGACCGAGGCGGCCAATGACATCAGCGGAGATCATGAGACAGCAGATGCGGGTGACAGAGCAAAGCGATAACCGCCTGAGGAAGACCCTCATGAGAACCCTGGTTGGCCAAGTACGTACGTACAGAAGCAATCAAATTAACATGCAAATTAAGAAACACATTTCTCTACAACATAATTAAACATAACGATACTTTTCTTTCACCTGAGATGTCTGATCCATCAACGTAAGTGTTTATGTTAATTAGACGTGCTTGAATGAAAACAAAAAAACAAAAGGAAAAAAAAACCCCGTTAAACGACGTCGTTTCTTGTCTTTCACGGATTGTTCGCAAATGAAAGGGAAAAGGGGGAATATTTCATGCATGGCTTTAGCTTTGCATAGAAGAGAATCATCACCATTAGGAGAAAAAAAATAATGTTCATTTCCTCAGTGTTTAGGTCTTGCAGAAAGAGTCATTGTCATAATCGTCAATTAAAAACAAGGACAATCTATCCTCAATTATGATTGAAGGGAATGTGGGTTAAGTTTTAAAGATCATTGCATATGGCTGGTATGGCAGATGGGAAGGAGAGCAGAGACGATAATCCTACCTTTGGAACTGTTGAGGCAGCTGAAGCCATCAGAATTCAACGACTCGAACGAGTACCACATGTGGCAGAAGAGACAGCTCAAGATCATGGAAGCTGGTCTCCTTCTTCACCCTTCCATCCCTCTCGAGAAGAACAACACATTCGCCATGCGTCTCAGGGACATCATCAAATCCGGCAACTCAAAGCCCCTCGACACCGGAAAGAACTCCGACACCATGCGAACCCTCTGCAACTCCGTCGTCTCCTTGTCCTGGCGCAGCGCCAACGGCACTCCCACCGACGTCTGTCACTGGGTCGACGGCTATCCCGTCAACATGTATATCTACACCTCCCTCCTCCAAGCCATCTTCGACATTCGCGATGAAACCCTGGTCCTGGACGAGGTCGACGAGCTCCTCGAGCTCATGAAGAAGACGTGGTCCACGCTTGGGATTTCCAGGCCCATTCACAACGTGTGCTTCACCTGGGTGTTGTTTCTGCAATACGTAGAGACGGGGCAGGTAGAGTCGGATCTTCTGAGTGCGGCTTACGCGATGTTGATTGAGGTGGCGGCTGACGCCAGGAAGGAGAAAGAGGCGTTGTATGTGAAGATATTAACGTCGGTGTTGGGATCGCTGCTGGAGTGGGCGGAGAAGAAGTTGGTGAATTACCATGAGTATTACGTGAGAGGGACGGTTGGGCAGATCGAGAACCTTCTTCCACTGGTTTTGTTGGCTTCCAAGATTCTGGGCGAAGACGTCACCATCTCTGAAGGGGAAGGCCCTGACATTACCATTGTGGATTCCTCCGGTGATCGGATTGAGTATTACATTCGTTCTTCCCTCAAAAACGCTTTTGACAAGGTTCGTTGATATTCCCACCGCTAGAACTCGTCATCATCCATCTTCATTCTCTGTATCAGCTTCATCCTTCCTTGCTTTATATGAATGCAGATGATAGATGCGGAGAACGAAAAAGCAGCTGAATCTGAGATAAAGGAGGAGATGAGTCAAATTCTGGTTCGGCTAGCCCAGAAGACTGAAGAACTGGCAATGAAGGAGAGGGAAAGTTTCAGCCCAGTGATGAGTAAATGGCAGCCAACGGCCGGCGCTGTGGCTGCCATGACGCTGCACAACTGCTACGGACATGTGCTGAGGCAGTACCTGGGTGGAGTCATCTCCCTCACCACTGAAATGGTTGAGGTGTTGCAGAGAGCTGGAAGGCTTGAAAAGCTTTTGGTCCAAATGGTGGTTGAGGAATCTACAGAATGTGACGATGGTGGCAAAACCGTTGTGAGAGAGATGGTTCCGTATGAAGTCGATTCGGTCGTCCTGAACTTCTTGAGAAGATGGATTGACGAATCACTCGACAGAGGGAAGGAGTATTTCCTTAGAGCAAAAGAAATTGAAGTAAGTTTTGGCTTCGTGCATCGTTGTCATTTATTATGAGAACAGGATATTGTGGTTTGTAATTTCATGTTTCTTCTGATGCAGACATGGAATCCCAAGTCCAAATCCGAGCAACATGCACTATCAGCTGTGGAATTGATGAACTTGGCAAAGGCAACAGTGGAAGAGTTCTTTAAGATCCCAATAGGAATTACAGAAGATTTGGTTCTAGACCTTGCTGAGGGAGTGGAAAGTATCGTCCAGAACTACACCTCATTTGTTGCAGCATGCGGTAAGACCTTACCACTCATTTCCAATACTGTCAAATATTTCAAAACTTAAAACTTTTTCTCTTCTGTGATTCAGGTTCAAAGCAGAGCTACATTCCGTCACTTCCACCGCTAACTAGATGCAACAGAGACTCCAAGTTCCTGAAGCTGTGGAGGAAAGCGGCCCCTTGCAGCATGACATCAGAAGAACAAAGCATGAATGAAACAAATGAAGGTCATCATCCGAGGCCATCAACGAGTCGTGGCACGCAACGCCTTTACGTTCGTCTCAATACCTTACACTACATGCTTTCATGCATCCAATCCCTTGACAAATCCCTGTCGCTGAAATCAGGAGTAGTTCCTTCCAGCCACCATCGGTTAGGAAGTAGAGGAGGGAGGCCACCAAGTACTAGTGGCTCAGCCTACTTTGACATAGTGGCAACTTCCATTCAAGCAGCCTGCCACTATGTCTCAGAAGTTGCGGCCTATCGTTTGATCTTCCTTGACTCAAGCTCTGTCTTCTACGATGGTCTTTATCTTGGAGATGTGGCCAACTCTCGGATTCGCCCTGCATTGAGAACTCTCAAGCAAAACCTCGCAGTGATGACTGCAATCCTCACAGATAGAGCTCAAGCCTTGGCAATGAAGGAAGTCATGAAGGCCTCATTTGAGTCATTCCTTATGGTTCTTCTTGCTGGTGGAAGCTCCCGTGTGTTCAACCGGTCGGATCACCAGATGATCCAAGAGGATTTTGAGAGCTTGAAGAAGGTTTTCTGCACTTGTGGAGAAGGACTAATAGCAGAGGAAGTGGTGCAGAGAGAGGCTGAGGTGGTGGAGGGAGTCATAGACTTAATGGGTCAAAGTACTGATCAATTGGTAGAAGATTTCAGCATTATAACCTGTGAGACAAGTGGGATAGGAGTGATGGGAATTGGCCAGAAGTTGCCAATGCCTCCAACCACAGGAAGGTGGAATAGATCAGACCCCAACACAATACTGAGGGTATTGTGCCACAGAAATGACGGAGCTGCAAATCAATTCTTGAAGAGGACATTCCAATTGGCAAAGAGAAGGTGAGATAAAATGTGACAAGTTCAAGCACAGAAATCCAATGTTGCAATGCGTTGCTCTGTTGGCGCAGAATTCCCGCCTTGCAAGGGAAAAACAAGAGCATGACAGAACTGTGGGGGAGGAGTAGAGTGTTAAAAACTGAGTGAAATTTTCTGGAACGGAAGGTAATTACGTGGCCTCGGTTTACGAAAGATGAGTAATTTAAACTAATCACAAAGAGATATATGTGCTTGATCTGCTCATTCTTTATGTAAATTATGCCTACCTAATAGTTTTTCGTTGTGGAATTGAGAACTTTTGGGGTTCAGAAAGCACTGTACCTTTACTGCAAAATAAGGGCTGAATCGTATTTGTACTCAAAACAATTTATTGTTGTAATTTTTTTTTTTGCAGAACAGAAAGGGAGAAGGAAAAGAATAGCATATTTCTCTTGTACATTTGATTATTAATCTAATAGGAGCTCGTAGCTAGGATGCTACCAACAGTTTTGCCACAATTAGTGCGCAATGTGCAGGAAACAATATTTATCCTGACCATAATTGCTGTCTGTCAAATTTGAAAAAGGAAAATCCAAACTGAACAACATTTTGAAAATTTATTGTGAAACAGAAGAGCTCCCTGGAAAATTGGCTTAAATTAACTTGTTATTCTAAAAGCTGGATAAACATACAACCATTTATGTTCTTTTCTTGTTTCTTGTTAAACTCATTTCACTTTATGGTTCTCTTTTTATAAAATACAGACAATGATCAGGGTTCCGGAATTGTTTTAAACAAACCATATCATATATGAACACTAACACGGATATGAGACATTAGACCCACAAGAACAGTGCAACACCACGAGGCATAGAGTGTACAACTGTGTTTGTAATCCAAGGGGTTGCAGAGGGATAGCAGCGGAATTCTCTCTACTTCATAATTTAAGCAGTCTTGGAACAATCACGATATATGTTATGGAACGTTGATGAAAATCATTTTAGTGTAAATATGATCCATGAAGTTCTCTGCTAGGGGAAAAAAATACAAAAGTGTTTGCACTTTATTCCTACTGCCCAAATCTTCCTTCACTTTCTCCAATTCTTAATTGGAGAAATCTAAAGACTGTACTTTGCAAGGGAGACAGACATTAGAAGAGACAATGCAACAGAATGCAGCTATAATACCAGCCACATAAAAAATGTGGACCACAGAGTAAGTGAGACTGCGGCACAGGCATAAGTTACTAGCATGACAAGTGAGCATTCACTCACACCAGCGCCAAACATCTGAGTCACTGTACCTGCATAGTCATGAAAGCAAGAAATGGTTTAATCATTTCTGGAGAATTAAATGGAAAAAGCTTGGGCATAGTATAAGGCAGCCAATCCTGGAATACCAAACTGTTTTCTTAATGGAAAAAACAAAAACAGAGAAAAATTTGACCTATTAGAATAATGTAAGAAAGGATAGGCTGTAATATTTAAGTAGCATAATGAACTTACTTATGCTCATTGCAGGTGGAAAAGAATATTGAAGCAGTAAAAGAAACAGATATAATGGATCTGGGTGAATCATGCCGACATGCATTGCACCTTTAAGAATAACTACACCGCATAGGGGTAAGGCAATGTATCTAACAACAAGGATTCCAAAAATAATTGAAAACTGCATGCCCGATCCTTCTAAACCTGAAGAAAATCCAGTAACTGTCATTAAATTGTTGTTTATTTTCGGAAGAAGTGACTTCAATAAACTTAAAATTGAAATTGAAGACCAAATATTCATGTCCTTTGTTACCATCAAGTAAGCTTGCCCCAGCTAACAAGGTCATAGTTGGAATGGCAGCATCACTGCAAATAAAAAAAGAAATTATATAACATATTTGAGCTGTCTAAAATAAGATAACCAATTTTCTTTTGGCATTTTTTTCCTCCATGCAAGATTTCTTCTGAGAGTCACTTAGAGTATATTGTGTTTTTAGTCTGCCTGCTGAAACCTCAGTCCCATATCAAGCTATGGTCTTCAAGATACAAGACTCTGGGCAAAAGGAAGGAAAACAGATGCAATACTTACCCCAGCATGGATAGAGAGTTTTCAACCGCACGAAGAGGGGCATTATCACCGACTAAAGCGTTATGAAATAGAGGGACTGCACCAATTATCAAGCCAATAATCTACATGTGGAAAAGGTCAGAGTCAGAGGAAGTATCCTTGCTGGCAATCAAAGGTTTTGGTAATCAATAGCTTAACTGGAAGAACTTTTAGAAAGAAAAATTTTTGTCAGTCATTTTTTTCACATAACATGTCTCCTTCATGCTGAAGTTTATAAATATCTCTCCTTTAACTAATCAAGATAAACAACAAAAAAGTGCGTTGAAGGAAACTACTGTCATACTGATCCAATTGTTGCTGGTGCTAACAGGGCCTTCAGATTCATCTTTTCCACTAGTGCTTTAAATTCCTTCATTATCTTTTCCTGTTTTGTTACCTGCAAACTCTTAAAAAAATGTAAAATCAAAACTTCAATGCCATTACACACGTAAACATGCAAATGCCATAATATTCATTATTCGTCAATCAGGTACTATGCAGAATGGCAAATGTTATTATAAGTAAGCATGTTATGTTGCAGTCGTATTTTACTACTCAAGTTTTTCTCCTAAATAGTCATTTGGACAAATCACAGTTAGTCTCAAATATTCCATTCGCATTAAACCAAGCGTATTAAAAATCGAGCCTTCAATATTGAAAGGGTTCAAAGGAAATTAAAAATATACACAATATAGAGTGAACATATTGCTTTAAATTATATTTGAATGTTGAACAACCTTAGCATCTACCTCTAGCATTGCACTTCCAGTTTCAGGTCCAATGGCACAGTCATTTGTTTGCGAGGTGTTCTGTGAAGTGACCAATGGCTCTGTTGAACATGCTGAAGAATTTTCAGGATCAGTTTCTGGTGTAGACAACGGCTTTACTAGGGAATTTGCATCGGAACTCTTGCATGAATATATCCGGACAAGGTTGTAGACATAAGTCCACATGAAAATGTTTCCAAGCTGAAAAACTTCAAATTAGAAAATTTTCCAAAGTTTTCCCACTGATAAACATGTTTATTTCCCAATGTTTGGAAGTTAGTGTCTTACTGCTAGGGTCAGAGAAGCATATGCCAGTCCATTTCTGTTACAGACATCCTTATCTCCAAAAGGACTGCTTGCTTCATTACATATCGCAGGAATAATGATAAGAGACATGTTTCCCATATTTCCTGTTGACATCACCCAAAATAGTCAGAAACACAACATCCTTAGTTCCAAGTCTCTCTCTTGCTTCATCTACTATGTCTCCAAAACAGGAAATTTTGATCTGTTTAGCAATTTGGAGTTAAACTGGTGATAATTGATATGATGTGACTAAATTTTCCTGTGTTTGATCCTTGCCCGGTATGGTGGGACTGTGTTATAGGCTTATAGCACGGGTTAAAAAAATATTAATGAAGGCTCTACTAAGCTTAAGTAAATTTGATTTGTATAATGAAATGAACAGAAAAGAAACTTTAAGTCTATACATGGACCTGCCTGCTGCACAGCATCCCAAAATAAGCCCTCGCAAATGATGAGGAACTCTTGTTATTTTAATAAGTAACCATCCAAGTGCAGACCCAATGATAAACGTGAGAAGAACATTTAATGGCATGAACCACCTGCACATTTAGTGGAGGCCTTAAATAAAAGCTAACAAAAGAAAATAACAGAAACTAAATTTTCCAACTTCGAAAAGAAAGGAAAAGACAATAAAACGAGTGGTGAGAGAAGAACATACAGCATGACAAGGCTCTTAATCGTCATGGCTTTAGCCAGGTTGCTAAGTGCAAGAGCAGGAATGAAGACAAAAAATACCATCTGACACAAAAAGAAAATGAAAGGGACTTTCTCATGTTATTTGTTGACAATACATAATGCAATTTTTCTTCTCTATCCTTTTGTTTATGAATTTTAGCAATCGTAGCAAGTGGCTTTGGATAAAAATTTTTCACTCTGACACAGTATATTACACTGTAGTCATCAATTATGAATATCTGAACTCTTCTCTTTTACCATTTCTTTTTTGTTTGTTCGCGTTCAAAACCACAAAAAGTAATACAAGGGTCATGACCGGTCTTTATTCTTCATTTGATTCTGAAAAGAGCAGAAAACCTAATGTATATTGTATGAAAATTTTATATCAAGGAACAACAACATAATTCTAAAAGTTTAGAAACACGCAAAAAAGAATGAAAGAAATGAAAAAGATGAAACTTACAGAATTCACATGCTTCCTGGCATCCTTCTTCAGTATACTAAATCGATCCAGAGCTAGAATTATCCCAACAACAGTGATCAAGAGTACCTTCAGGACTGGCATTAGTGCAGTAAAGAAGAGACTCCAGAAGTGCATGGTGTCTTTTTCCCTAATTACAACATGGGAAAAGAAAAAAAAAAAAAAAAAGGTCTGGTAATATCAGCTGTGTAAACAACAATTTATATGATTAATCCAAATATATTGAATAAACATTCACGAGACTAATTGACTGCATATTTATTGCTACTAAGTGAAGCACCGTCGTCCTTTGACCGAAAGTCTGTACGCGATTAGAATTGAAGAACTGGTTTTGTAAATTCTCGCGACATGCATTAATGTGAAAGGATCCCTTGATCTTTAAAGTCACTAACTTTTATCTACTGGTGACAAATTCAGGGTCACGTAGAAAAAGACGCCAAGGCCAGTGCAGAACTTGAACGTCCAATCAACCTTTAGGCAAATAGATTTAGCGGTAGGGATAGCTATCGTTTGATCGAGAGATTTCACAGTGGTTTCGTTTGATTCAAACACGATGGATCAAAGGAAGAAAGTTTTGCAAGAGGTCCCTTCGACTTGGTTTGATAATTATTGGTAAAAATTTAGTAATATGGTCCCTGTCCATTCTCTCTATGTTGTCCTTTTCCTGGCATGAATTTGCCCATAAGGCTCTGGCAGTCCTCCTTTGCTAGTAATATGTTCTGGACCTTTCAGATAGAAATACTGATTGACGTGCGGTCTCACTGTTAACAGTTGGGACTGATTGACGTGCGGTCTAACTGTTAACAGTTGGGTTTGGGGCCCGTTGAAGTTTCAATGATAGTGCCTTCATACTGCTTTGAACTTTTAGGGCTGTAATTTGTTTTGGTAAAATCAAAACTTCGATCCCAGTAGTTCTACAGTATCTTGGAATTAGCTTTCTGCTTTAAATTTTCTTAAATAGCTCCCATATGGTTCCCACATCAAGACCCTACGGTTTCAGACGTTAATGACAGACAGTTTAATTGCATGCATGGAAGGTGACTAGCGAGGACAACTGTGGACTAGAGAGTGGGTTCATTGTTCTCATCATTCATCGTTGTCGAGAGTGGGAAATAAAAGAGGAAAAAGAAGCAAAAGTTACCAAAGCTGCTTGATTATTCTCATTCTTTTTCACTTGTTTAGCAAACAAAAACCAGCAGATATAATCAAAAAGCGTGTCCTGAAATCACCCATGAACAAGAATGAGAAAGATTGTGGAGATAGGACTCTGTTGTACTGGAAGAAAAAGAAAGATTATGACTGATAATTGTAGACATCGAATGATACGTGAGGGGCTTGTGCAGAGAACCAAACTCCTCAATGCAAAAGAAAGCTTTCAGACGGAGAACCAGGCTTTCTATACCCAGCCAGCGGGAGATAAAACTTAAAAGACAGAGCAGAAGAATAAAATGGAGAAGAAAACGTGAGAGAATGGAGTAAAGTTGAGGATATTGCAAACGAGTGAACAGCGACGCTCGCTTGTTCTTACATCTTAGTACACATGTAAGCCAATGAGAAGATGACAGTCCCACTATTTTGGCTAAAGTAAGCCTTGCTTCATCCTTGTGGCATCTTCTGCAAAGTGCTCCATATATAACCAAGATAATTATAACGAAGGAGATAAATCAGCTTTCCTTAAAAGTAGCCAGCGTGGTGGAAGGAAAGAAGCAAGCACCTGAATTACGTTCCCTCCCATTAGAAATCATGGGTTTTTTTTTTTTTTAAAAAAAAAAAACCTTCCATTAAGGTTCATGTTGGATTAAATGCATTGCATCATGTGCGTCTCTCTCAACTACGTACCCAACAGGCTTACGCAAGTAGGACACCCACTATTGGCTATTTTCTTTTCGAGTTCAAAATTAGTAATAATTAGATTTTATTTAATTTAGAGCTATTAAGTACTAATGACATGAGATTACAAGTAAGATCAAACCATGACCTCTCAACCATTGATATAATTAGATTAATTTGGAAACTCAGTGAAACTATTTAAATTTTTTTTGGCCAAAAAAAGAAAGAAACTACTTAAATTTTCTTTGGTTTGCCATCAAAAAAATAAATAAATTTAATTTAGATTATTTAATATTTTTGTTAATTGGTGCTTTTTTTTTTTTTTAAAAGATATCATCTTCGTTTTACATTACGGTAAAAAAACTTTAAAAGATAATCGTTAAATTAAATACCGTGGGACTATGATCAGAATTGGGGTAAATAATGGGCATTGTCAGCGGACACTTCTGAGAAGACAGCAATTAAACATAGTGGACTGTACTGTTCATTACCAATCCAGCAGCGGTGGCCACTAGATTGACAACAACATTTGAATTTGAAATATCAAAATGACAAAAAAAAAAATGCATTCGTTGGTAAATCATTGATACCACGATAGCGTAATTCATTTGTTTGCTGGAATTTGCGCTACACATTCCTTCTTCCTAGTTTCCTATTTTGAGACTCCAATGTGCTTTGCTTTCAAGTTTGAAGAAAGGGAATGCAGCAGAAAAGCTCTATAGTACAAGCCACATGAACAATGTGGACCACAGAGTCAGCGAAGCAGAGGCACAGCCATAAGTTGCTAGCATCACGACTGAGCATTCACCTACGCCAGCCCCAAATAACTGAGTAATTGTACCTGACAAAGTCATACAAGTAAACAGGTCATTATAAACCCAACTAAGTTATCAGCAAAGATGCTTCCAAATTCAATCAGAAAATGACATGTTTCATTGGGAAATCAACTTACTTATGCTTACTGCAGGGGGAACAGCATATTGAAGCAGTAAAAGAAACTTGTACAATGGATCGTGGTGGATCAAGCCGATATGGATTGCACCTTTAAGAATGCCTATGCCAAAGGCCGGCAAGGCTACATATCTAACAATAATGATCCCTATAATAATTGGGAGTTGCATACTTGATCCTTTCAAACCTGAAGAAAATCCAGCATCTGTCATTAAAATCTTGTTTATTTTCAAAAGAAATGACTTAATGGAAATTAACCTAACAGAATGGAAATTGAAGACTAAAAGCTCATGTTCTTGATTACCATTTAGAAGATTTGCCCCAACTAACAAGGTCATAGCTGGAATAGCTGCATCGCTGCACATCAGAGACACGTTTGAGCTGTATATAAAATAAGTTTTCTTGAGCACGATCAAGATAGAAAAGCCTACATACCCAAGCATGGATACAGAGTCTTCAATTACATGAAGAGGAGCATTATCACCAACTAATGCCTTTTGAAATTGAGGGATTACACCGATCATTAAGCCGATGATCTACAATGGAAAGGGTCAGAGGAGGTATTCTTGCTAGCAAATAATTAGGCATGGTAAGCAATAGCCTAATTGAAATGACTTTTTGAAAAGAAATTACTTTTCTTTCATTGCTTCTTCCAATTTTTTTCCTTTTCACGTATTAAAGTGAACATATGGCTATGCTGGGGTTAGTCTAAAAATTTTACATCAAGAAAAGATGGCACACTTAAGTCTCAGAGAATTGCCCATTTACATTTTGATTCCTGCTGTCTTGTTCAGAAGAAATTCACTTGGTTCGCATATAAGTTACAGAACAACCTTACTTCAGCACTCATTTTCTTTCAACTATGAACTTTCTATAAGCAGTGCGCATTATTATTCTTCATATAATATCTCTACTTATACACACACACCCCACTCCTATCTTTCTTAACTAATCAAGAGAAGCAACACAAGTAGTGTAAAAGAAACTCTGTGTCATACCGATCCAGCTGTTGCAGGTGCTAACAGGGCCTTAAGATTGATCTTTTCTGCTAATTTTTTTAATAGCTTCATCAACTTTGCCTGTTTTGTTACCTGCGAACTCTGGAAAAATGTAAGGTCAAAACTTCCATGCCTTATTATATGTAAAGATGTAAATGCAATTGTTATTCACTGGCCAAATATAAAGCAGGAAATGGTATTATAAGCAGTTTTTCTTTTCTATTGCACTTGATTTTGACTACTCATGCTTTGCCGCTAAATAGTGTTTGGACAAATCATGATCATTCTCATGAATTCTCTGACATTAAAGGTACAAAAATAATCAAAATTTTAGTAGCAAAAAGACCAAAGCAGACATAAATATGCACACTATAGTAGAATGAACATATTGCTTTAAATTATAAAAGAATGTAAAATAACCTTTCCTACTCTGTCATGCCTTGCAATCTCAATTTCAAGTCCATTGGCAGAGTCTTTTGCCTGTGAGATATTCTCTGCAAAGACCACTGCTCCAACTGGAAATGTTGAAATGTTATCAGGACTGGTTTTAGGCAAAGATGCAGGATTCATTGGGGAATCATCAACTTCGCTTGCTTTGGAATTCTTGCATGAAGATATACGGACAAGGTTGTAGACATAAGTCCATATGAAAATGTTTCCCAGCTGAAAAACTCAAAATCAGAAACACAGAAGGTTTCATAGTGGTTCAGGGGTTCTAAAGATTTCCATTTGGTTCAAAAGAAATGCCTTACTGCCATGGATAGAGAAGCATATGCCAGTCCATTTCTGTTACAGGCATCCTCATCTCCAAAAGGCCTGCTTGTTTCTTTACATACAGCTGGAACTATGATAAGAGGCATGTTTCCCAAATTTCCTGTTGACATCCAACCCAAGACAGTCGTAAACATGATATCCTTGGCCTAACAAATTTTTTTTTTCTTGCCATTGATTTTGAGTTAAACTGGCACTTGATATGATACATCCGGAGCTCCATGACCAAAATGTCTAAGGTTTAGTTCCAATGATGAATTTTGTGATTAAGCATATAAGAAATTATAAGATTGTTAGAAAAGGGGTTAATATAATGATTGGTCTATATAGTTTGCCTTCGTTTTGCTTTTGGTCCTAAAGTTTCAAACCGGAGCTTTTGGTCCCTTAAGTTTGCTCTGTTAAAAACTGTTAGTCCCTCTAATTTAAAAAAGACTTGGTACTTGTGTTAACGATGTTAATGATACTGATGTGTTTGTAACACTGTTAGTTTTCAAATATATATTAGAGAAAAAAAAAGTTCAGAGAAAGATAATTTAGCAAAACATAGGGAGCGGCCCAAATATGTACTCGAGAATATCAAAGACTAGTTCTCGAATATATATTAGAAAAAAACAGTTCAGAAAAGGGTAATTTAGCAAAATATAGGGAGCAACCCGAATATGTACCAGAGAAGACCAAAAACCAGTTCTCTAATATATATTCAGGAACTAACGGTGTTAAAGACACATCCACATTATTAACACCATTAACACAAGCACCAAGTCTTTTTTAAATTAGAGGGACTAACGGTTTTAAACGGAGCAAACTTAAGAACCAAAAACTCCGGTTTGAAACTTTAGGGACCAAAAGCAAAATGAAGGCAAACTATAAGGACCAAACGTTGTATTAACCCTTAGAAAAGGAACACCTAACATAAGGAAACTTGCCTGCTGCACAGCATCCCAACACGAGCCCATGCAAATGACGAGGAGCTCTGGTTATTTTGATAAGTAACCATCCGAGAGCAGAACCGATGATAAAAGTCAGAAGAATATTCAATGGCATGAACCACCTACATGAATAATGAAAGCATTAGAACTAATATAAGACATGAATGAAAAATAAACTTCCCTCTTAGAAAAGAAAAGGAAAAGAAATGAATGGATCAGCGAGAAAGAAACATACAGCATAATTAAGCTCTTAAATGTAATGGCTTCAGCCAGGTTGCTGAGAGCAAAAGCGGGAGTAAAGACAAAAAATACCATCTGAAGAAAAGAAAAGGGAACTGCACATGTTAGTTGTTATGAAAACATATTCCTTTTCCCTCCATCCTTTTGTCATTCACAGGGAAAGAAACATATTCAGAAACTGACAATTCAATAATCGGACAAAAAAGGAAAAGAAATATATTAAATCATTAAAACTGTCAGCTTCTTGTGATTTTAGCAATAACAGCTAGCACTTAACAGATATTGCAGCAGATGATTGTCATCAAGTTTTCAAGTATGAATGTCGTGTAAGAACCCCTCCCTTTTACCATCTTCCTTTGGATTATGAGAGGGGGGGGGGACACATACACATACATAAGGGCAATATAGCTTTCATCCTTCATCCATTTCTGCAAACTAGACAAAAAGAGAACAGAAAACAAGGGAAGAAAGAAAAAGTGGAAAGGATAAAACGTACAGTATTTAGGTGCATCCTAGCGTCCTTTTTCAGTATACCAAATCGATCCAGTGCTAGAATTGTGCCAATAGCAGTCAGAAAGAGCACCTTCAGGACTGGCATTAACGCCGTAACGAAGAGTTTCCAGAACTCCATGGTGTCCTCTTTCTTTAAAACAAGGAAAATGAATATGCCTCTCTTCCTCTGTCCTCTTATTCACCATCTAATTTCGCGAAACAAGAATTTGAGACAAGAATATGAAGTGAACATCATCATTATTCTTTTTGGCCTGAGACAAGAATTTGAGTCTTCAGAAGCATGTGTTGTGTTATGTATGTGCGTGCGTCTGCATAACATATCATAGCATATTCAGGAGCAGTAACCCGTGGGATACTCGAAACACTAGCAACACAGTGATATTCTAAGGTACAAGTTTGTTTCTAATCAATAAATCTTCAAAACTAAACAATCTAACAGAGAGAATAGGCCAAAACCAGAAAAAAGTCAAACGGTCAAAATTAGAGAATTAAGGGTTGATTGGATCATACACGAAAGTCCACTACCTGTAAAACTAAAAGTTACAAAACAGGGGAGGGAAAGAAGAAAAGGGAATGCATGATGTAAGAGTGGGGAAAAGGAAAGAAGGAAGGAATTAACAGATGCTCTGTTCTGTACTTGCGCTACGAAAATAACAAGCAAGAGCGGAAGATGATGGTAGTAGGGCACTATGCTTGTAATGTTACTGCTCCACCTGAGAGTCATTGGGAATGGATCTCATTCTTTTTTTTCTTTTTTTTTTAATATAGAAGTGTTCAAATGACGATCATGAAAGATGCAGAGAGAGGGGGCAGCAAAAGGTTCATGCACTACATAATTAAGGCCACGAGGATAGCACAAATAATAATAATAATAATGAGATGAGCTTTTTGTATTACTCTCATCTTTTATTTAAAGTAAAGCAGCATTCAGTGCCATAATATTATTTTCTTGGTACATCTAACAGTATTCTAATTTTATTTATAGTGTATCTAATACTAGGATGTTATTTTCCTGATACTTCCAACATTCTAATCGTATTATAATACATCCATCACCTTAAACTATAAATAATACTACCTCCGATCGTTAATATAAAAGCTAGTTGACTAATTTGAGTAGAATAAGAAAGTTTGTTAAGTTAGTTAGTTATAATACATAGATATTATCTTCTCTAAAATATCCTTATTAAGTATGTATATTAGCTATAAAATCTTTAACATGTGTAACCACTACAATAACTTCTTTAGAAAAAATGAATCAATATGAGAGAAAAAGTGTATTGAAATTTCATATTTAAGACAAAATTAAAAGTCAAATTTACTCTTATATTAAATATCAGAGTTTAATATGAATAAAAAATAATGTCACGGAGTATTGGATATATAAGACAAGCGACGCGTAAGATTCCAGGAGGCCCTCCATGAGGAGGCTTTAAAAACATCCACCCGTTGTTTAATTAAGACCATTATTTGATGTCGGGTGTTTGGCATAATTAGCACGGCGCATAACAAAAGGGATGAACGAAGATGGTTTTTGCCATTTTGGGGGCTCAAGACAAGAAGCCAGAAACGGAGTAGAAAATGAAGGGAATGTGCTTTATGTTAAATATAAATAGATATACCTTTTTTTAACCAGAAAATAAATAAATATACCTTTCTGCTTCTTACTTATTACTATAATATGCTAGCTAGTGACGAGTAATACTTTTTTAATTTTAATTATTGTTTGCTTTTCAAAAAGTGAAATTGGAAACCAGTGGAGCTCATTCTATGGTGAGGAATATGACGCAGCTCAAACGTACAAAAAATGGAGTTCATTGTAGGGAGCCAATGATGCGTGTGCGCTTCTGCTTCGTGAATCTTCTGGCTCACGCATGCTTTCATTCCTCTATGGGCAGATCGTTCATATCAACTCTGGACAGTATATATCTAATAAGTTTGGGATATTTATTGTTCTCATGAGCACTCAAACTGATTCCAACCCGAACAAGTAGTGTTTCCCAATCATGTTGCCTCTTCTCAACGAGTTTTGAAACTTAATATTATCTTCAATCCTTAATATAAAAGTTAGTTTAACTTTTAATCCAAATATAAGAATCCAATTCATTTTTTCTCTCATATTTATTTACTTTTTTCAAAGAAGTTATTGTAGTAATTACACATATTAAATGTTTCATCAAATGACACTTGATTAGCAAGAATATTTTAAAAAAAATAACACTTATTTATTACAAAAATAACTAATTTAACTAATTTTTTTAATTTACTCAAATTAATTAATTGGCTCTTACTCCTATGGTCTTATTTATAGGGCAGAGAGAGAACAAATTTTTTGGTTCTATTTATAGGGCATTGAGAGAAATTTTTTGCATGGATGTATAATTTTACCCTTCATTAATTATTGTGCTGACTTTGTTTACATGAGGTATAATATATACTCCTCCAATCCTAAATATAAGACCCTTATACACACTAGGGTCTTATATTTAGGATCGGAAGAGTATTAAATAGGGATAAAGTTGAAAAGTTGTTGAATTTTGAATGAGAATTAATGAAGTATGAGATTTTTTTTAATCTGTATGAAATAGTTGGAGGTAACCATAAATAGGATTATAGGAGTATATTAAACACAGAAAATTATAAAGATTATTATTCTAACCGGTGCTTTACAGGAAACCAGCACTTGTTAATTAACACATCCATGATTTATGTCTTTTAAAAAATTTATATTTAAAGGCTTTTAAAATCACAAATAGTTAATTGTAATAAATAGATGTTATCTTATCTAAAATATCCTTATTAAGTATGTGTATTAGCTATAGAATCTTTAACATGTATAACTACTACAATGATTTTTTTTAGAAAAAATGAATCAATACGAGAAATAAAGTGTATTGAAATTTTATATTTAAGACAAAATTAAAAGCTAAATTAGTTCTTATATTAAATATTAGAGTTTAATATGAATAAAAAATAATATCACGGAGTATTGGATTCATAAGATAAGCGACGCGTAAGATTCCACAAGGCCCTCTATAAGGAGGCTCTAAAAACATCCACCCATTGTTTAAATAAGACCATTCTTTGATGTCGGGTGTTTGGCACAATTCGCACGGCGCATAACATAAGGGATGGACGAAGATGGTTTTTGCCATTTTGGGGGCTCAAGACAAGAAGCCAGAAACGGAGTAGAAAATGAAGGGAATGTACTTTATGTTAAATATAAATAGATATACCTTTTTTTAACCAGAAAATAAATAAATACACCTTTCTGCTAGTGACTAGTAATACTTTTTTAATTTTACTTATTGTTTGCTTTTCAAAAAGTGAAATTGGAAACCAGTGGAGCTTATTCTATGGCAAGGAATATGACACAGCTCAAACGTACAAAAAATGGAGTTCATTGTAGGGAGCCAATGATGCGTGTGCGCTTCTGCTTCGTGAATCTCCTGGCTCATGCATGCTTTCATTTCTTTATGAGCAGACCGTTCATATCAAATCTGAACAGTACACATCTAATGAGTTTGGGATATCTATTGTCTTGATGAGCACTCAAACTGATTCCAACCCAAACAACATAGTGTTCCCCAACCATGTTGGCTCTTCTCAACGAGTTTGAAAACTTAATATTATCTTCAATCCTTAATATAAAAGTTAGTTTAACTTTTAATCTAAATATAAGAATCCAATTCACTTTGTTTTTCATATTTATCTATTTTTTTCAAAGAAGTCATTGTAGTAATTGTACATATTAAATGTTTCATCAAATGACACTTGATTAACAAGAGTATTTCAAGAAAGACAATATTTATTTATTACAAAAATCACTAATTTAACTAATTTCTTTAATCTACACAAATTAATCAACTAGCTCTTACTCCTCTGGTTCTATTTATAGGGCAAAGAAAGAACACATTTTTTGATCCTATTTATAGGGCACTCAGAGAAATTTTTTGCATGGATGTACAATTTTACCCTTCATTAATTATTGCGCTGACTTTGTTTACATGAGGTATAATATATATTAAATAGAGATAAAGTTGAAAAGTTGTTGAATTTTAAATGAGATTTAATAAAATTTAAAGTTTTTCTTGGTTTATATAAAATATGTTGAAAGTGACTATAAATAGGATCATAGGAGTATATTAAACACAGGTAGTAGTAAATTATAAAGATTATTATTCTAACGGGTGCTTTACAGGAAACCAGCACTTGTTAATTAATACATCCATGATTTATGTCTTTTAAAAAATTTATATTTAAAGGCTTTTAAAATCAACATTTACATCACAATAAAGATACGTGAGAGAATGGAAGTTGGATTTTGCTGCATCAGACAACACAAACCAAACTGAATTATAAAATTTAAAGGGGAATGCGGAATGGGCTTCAATCTCCATAGTTAAAAAATTAAAAAAAATTTCTTATTCCTATTATCATAGTGATACTTTTACAAGTTTAAACTTTAATTACTTTTGCTTTTCAAAGGTGAATTAATGGAGCACATTCAATGGTTAGGATTATGACATAAGTAAAATTCTGATTGAACTTCATATCGAAGTTGATTTTTTTATTCTCATTTCCAAAAGGAAACAGTTTTTCATTTATCTAATTAATCATGAAAGCACCGTGGTTTTGTCAACCATACGCATGCAATATTACGTACCATGAAAGTGACACACATTTTTATACACAATAATGATAAATAACTAATTTAATTAATTTTTTTAACTGTCATAAATTAGATAACGAGATCTTATATTTAGAATTAAAAATAAGTAACAATTACTTTTATTTTATTTTTTTCAAATACACATGCAATCTCAATTTTGTCCAACAAGCTAACGTGATCCTCAAACTAAGGCTTTATTCAAATTTCTAACTATATCCCAACTCCCAAGTTATCCCAAATTCACCAAATTACAAACCTTGTTTGAGATAATATCTACATTTTTACATCATAAGCTAATTAATGGTAACACCATTTTCTCATTCTGCATAAGATAGGAACCTATGCAACAAGGATTAGAATCTTAATCTGCGTTGTTTGGAGCTTCCAGAAAAGGTATTGAGACAGGAAGTATCAGAGAACAAGCCACATAAAGAATGTGCACCACAGAGTAAGCGAAACTGCAGCACAGGAATAAGTTGCTAGCATGATAACAGAGCATTCCCCTTGACCAACCCCAAATAATTGTGTCATTGTACCTGCAAATCCCCTAACTTTAATACTTTTCCGAACAAAAAAAACCTAAACAACAAATGCTTCAAATTTTGCTATCAATTAGGATTGAACTGAAACTGGAAAGTTTAGCAGATATATTCTGATAAGAATGCAATGCAGGTGGAAGAGCGACTGGAAGCAGTAAAACAAAGATCGCATCTTCAAGAAGGCAAATTTATGGGATGTTAATATCATTTAGAGAAGAACATCAAATCACTTACTTATGGCAACTGCAGGCGGAAGAGCGAATTGAAGCAGTAAAACAAACTGATATAATGGATCAGGATGAAGCAAGCCAAAATGGACAGCACCTTTAACAATGCCTATGCCTACTGCTGGCAGTGCAATGAATCGAACAATTATGATACCAGCAATCAGTGAAATCCTCACGCCTGACCCTTTTAATCCTGAAAAAAAAAATCCATATCTTGTCTTTGAGTTCTTAATCATTCATAAAATTACCTGCCGAACTGAACTTTACCCCGCATGAAATAATTCATCTTAATGATTGCTTACCCTTGAGAAGATTCGCCCCAATTAGCAAGGTCATCGCAGGAATTGCTGCATCACTACAGAACCAGTATATGAACAGAAGAGTTAAAAAAACCTTGCTTTCCCACATCAAGGCAAAGTCAAAAAGAAGGGGAAAAATTGCTTACCCGATCATGGATGCAGAGTCTTCAACTACACGAAGGGGAGCATTATCACCAACTAATACCTTTTGAAATGGAGCGACTATGCCAATTACCATACCAACAATCTATAAAAGCAAAGGAGAAGAGAAAGTTTCCTTGTTAGGACAAACTAACAAGGTTTCGATCAATTTGAATGAAACAGTAGGGGGAAAAAAGACTATGAAAGAAAATTAGGCAGTTTTTGGCATACCGATCCAATTGTTGGAGGTGCAAATAATGCTTTCAGGTTGATCTTTTCGGCTGTCACTTTCAACCGTTTCATTATCTTTTCCGTTTTTGGTACCTGCAACACATTATAAAAGTGTAGTATAAAGAATTTTACAATCTATTGCTTGTTATATCTGAGAAAAGTGCAAGGGGGTTCCTCTTCCTAAAGTGTGAAGCTTATAAAGTAGACCGAAATTAAAAGAGAGAATGACGCAATTGTAGAATCAAAATTTCTACAATTAAATGCTTTTAGCACCTAAAACTAAAGGGGAAGTTTTTCTCACTCCTATTCTAATTTGGATTCTCTAAACAGCGAATTTTATAGTGTCTCCAAATGAATAATGTTAATTCATCCGAAGAATTGTATTTGGCATTTCACTGGAGGCAGTAAGAAGAAACAAACACATTCAATAAAGGAGTGCACATCATGTTTCAACTAATTTTATCAGACCACAAAATAACCTTTGCTTCTCTGTTTGTAAATCCAATTTCAAGTTGACCCATCTGATTATTTTCCGGTGAAAATTTCTCTACATTGACCAATTGTCCTGTGGAACAGTTCGAAAGGTTTTCCGGATCTCTTTCTGTTGCAGACACTGAAGTTATCCTGGAACCATCTACTTTGTTTAAGTTGGAACTCTCGCATGTGTATATGCGCACAATGTTGTACACGTAGCTCCAAATGTAAATCGATCCTACCTGAAAGAGCAAAAATAAGAGATTGAAAAGGGAAAAAAGAGTGGGGCATTTTTAAATTTTCCTGATTCTCTCAAGTTTAAGTATCATACTGCCATTGACAGAGTAACATAAGCCATCCCATTTCTGTAACAAACTTCCACATCTCCGAAAGAACCATTGCTTTCTTTACAGAGAGCTGGAACTATGATAAGAGGCAAATTTCCCACATTTCCTGATCAGATCAGACCACATTAGACAAAGAAAACTTATTTTCAGCCGAGTTCAACAATGGCTTGATGATCTATGTGAAGTTGATGAATTGATAAAGTGAATTACAAATCAATAAGTGAACCTGCCTGCACTACAGCACCCCAACACAAGGCCTTGCAGATGACGAGGAGTTCTAGTTATTTTAATAACTAACCATCCAAACGCTGTCCCAATGGTAAAAGAGAGGAGAACGTTTATGGGCATGAACCACCTATGTAATTCATTAAAGCATGTCAGTTAAACCAAATCTTGAATTATATGAGTTGAAAACGAATGGTATGGCTAGAAAAGAAAATGCAGAGAGTAGTGAGCAACTATCATACAGTATAACCAGGCTCTTTAATGTTAACGTTTTTGCCAGGCTGCTGGAAAGAAGAGCGGGAGCGAATACGTAATATACCATCTGCAAAAAAAAAAAAAAAAAAAGTCCTTGGATCAGTAGTTGCTATGCGTCACCAAATATTTTGTGTTTAAAATCAAGGGACAAAAATCATGATAATAAAGCTAAGAGTCATTATTAATCCCCGCCATGTTGTGTTGCTAGCAATAATCTGTTTAACTATTTCCGGGCATTATAATAGCTCGTTGCAGTCACTTGCATCTTCATAGATATCAGAATGCAAGAAACACGTGTTGTATCTTTGTATCAGCAAATTGTGGAACAAAACTCTGACGATTATGGGTATATTTTCACCGTTTCTATAGATACATAGTATCATTCGGCATCACCCTATCACTTGTGATCATTGCGGCTTTCATGAGTTTGCTCAAGAAACAAAACAATGCAAAGAAGAAGAAACAATCTATTTGAATTGCGTGTCTTTCAACCTTCTTTCAATTTCCACAAAGCAACGTGATAACCAGATAGAACTTTGTCAAAAGCTCTAACAAGGAGAAATTATATACTGCCAAGTACCATAAAAATCAGCAGCAGTCTTGAAAGGGTTAGCTTGGCTGGTAAGAAATTATAATATCTGAGCAATGGAGCTTACGCAATTCAGGGGCTTCCCGGCATGGTCTTTGAGGATATCAAAGCGATCAAGCGCAATGAATGCTCCAACGGCAGTAATCAAGAGTACCTTGAGCACTGGCATTAGTGCAACAATAAAGAGTTTCCAGAACTCCATTGCCTTTTCTTTTTCTATTCCCAGAACTAAATTCAAGTGTTCTGGAAAGATGGAGTGGAGAATGAAAGAATCACGTTGCTGATGCTTGGCTGAGGGATAGAGTTGGCGTTGCATGAACATCAGTATATTAATAAGGCCACTAAACATGGTTGAGAAAATCAATTTGTATTCTTGTAAACAGATGATTAGTAGAAAACAGACGTCCCAATTCCATGATCCATAAGTGGAAAGCACCGAGCCTCCACTAGTTTTTCAAAATGGGAGAAATGTACTCAAACAGAGCAACCGAGAAAGACATATATGAGCAGCTCTTAGCTCATGTACTCTTCCGGTCCTTAATATAAGACCCATTTAACTAATTTGATTATATTAAGGAAGTTAGGTAAGTTAGTTAATTATAATAAATGTGACATATTTTTCCTAAAATACCATATAATTATCTTCCTTAATACCCCTCTGACAAACTCAATGATTTTTATATATTTTGGTATATTTTATATGAGTTTTGTCAGCTTAATTAGTCCCTTTTTGCTTTAATTGATTTATTTTGTTTTATTTTGAATTATTATTTTATAGGGGCAAAATTGTCATGTTTTGATTTAATTATGATTAATTGATTTTTAAGGACAATTAATGCTACCTTATCCTTGAATTTTGCTTGCAGGTTCTTAGAAGATTCAAAAATAAAAAAAAAAATAAAAAAAAAAGAAAAAAAATAATAATAATAAGTTGGGGGCAAAACGTTGCGTTTTGCCCCAACCTAATAATCATCATCTCCAGCGAACGCGAAGAGAGCGCCGAACACGCGCACACGCAAAAACGAAGCGAGCTGGTGGCGGTAGAAGAAAAAACACACACGATACAGAAAAAGAGGAAGCGGCGCACAAAGAGCAACACACGCGCAAGCGACGCTGGACGGCGAACACGGACCTGGAGTAGAAGAGAGAGACAGCACCCATCATCACCGGCGGCTTCATCTTCTTCTTCTCCTGGGGCAGCAAACCAGGCGAACCAGCAGCACACACGGAACAGAGCGGACGCTGGACGGCGGCTGAGAAGTGAAAAACAGAGCAACAAGACGCGACACACACGTTGGGCGACGAAGCAGGGAGCTGACGGCGTGACCAGTGTTCCTCCATGGAATTTTGCAGCAGAATTTTGATTACAACATTTTTCATGGCAGTCCGTGGCTGAGGTTATCTGATTCTCCAATTCAACAATAATGGCAGGAGCTTGGATCATCAAAGGGGAGTTTAGTTGCTTTAATTTCCTACTCAATAATTGTTTAACAATTCCTAGGTCTTAGGATAGTTTTTCTAATTGTTGGGATAATTGTATTGCTTAATTTGATTATATTTGGGGATTATTGTGACTGGATTATTGTTTAGCATTTGACATTGGGCTGTTTATAGCTTTGATTTCAATTATGATGTTGTGGTTATGACATTTGTATTGATTTTGGAGTTAATATATTGTGATTTTCTAAGGTGGCTTAGAATTTTGGATCATATAGTCTCTTGCTAGCTTTAATTCTGTTATTTTGGATTTAAGAGTTCTAATTAAGCATTGGTTTTTAGCATCCTTAATCCCATTTTACTATTCTGGTTGCAGTTAGTAAGTTGGGATTTTAGGAAAATATTTTGTGGCAACTCGAGGTGGCTCGGTTGTTGGATCAAAAGCTTAATTATAATTCTTAATTCATTGTTTTTAACTCCCACATCTTTTAGAGTGATGATTGCCTGCGTTGTTGAATTGGAGGATTGATTTTTATCAGTGTTATTTGTGTGTCTCATTTTCATTTCTTTATCTTCATTATTTCAATCATCTTTTATATAAAAAAAATAAAAAAAAAAGTATTTTAATTTCAATTTGATTCGTAGTATTTAATTAACAGCTTTTCAAAATCAAAAATCTCTTTTTATAGTTTAGGTTACTTGCATTTATTTACTAGGGTTTAATTTCGTTTTCGGCTCCTCAAAGTGAAACGACCCGAGTTGTGCACTATATTGCATTAATTCGGTTAATTTTTGGAGTAACCCCAAAGCGACAATTAAGGGCAGTTCAACTTCAAGTGGCGCCGTTGCCGGGGAGCCAAGAAATTGGTTCCCTAGTAATTAAGTGTCAAGTAGCCTTGATTGGGGTTCATTTGTTGAGCCTTTTTAGTTTTCATTTTTGTTAGTTTTTGCATTTTCTTTAGTAGTTTGCATTTGTTTCTATTGATTTTTCATAGCATTTTTTTTTCTTCTTTCTTTGCATAAAAAAAAAAATTTTAAAAATACAACTAAATATCTTGATTTTTCATTCATTGCATTTTTCATTCTCATACGCATACACTTGCATTGCATTGCATTCATCTGTTTTCTTTTGTTTTATTGCTTCTGGTTGATTGATTGTTTATGCCAAGAAAGGGTAGGTCTAAAACCCTAGTTCCTTCCAATCTTGAGCTTCAAAGTTCTTTAAGAGAAGTTAGACAAGACTCAAGGGTAGAAAGGACTAGTGAGGTTGAACTAGACAATTTAACTGATCTAGATTTGGTGGTTGACTTAGGTGACATAATGGAAACAGTTAATAATCCTAATGGTAACAACAATGGTGGTAATGAGAGAGGGGGCAATGGACATAATGGGGAGCATGACAGAATAGGAGAGAATAATGGAGATAACCCTAGAAGAAGAACTATTAGGGAAGCCACTACTTCTGATGCAAATTATGATCCTTTTAATGTTGCATGCCCTAATGTTGATGTTAATTTTGAGATTAAAGGTCCACTGCTTAATAATTTGCCTAAATTTTATGGTTTGACAGGTGAGGACCCGTACAAACATCTGAAATCTCTCTCTATGGTATGTGCTAGCATGAAGCCGGTTGGGGCTAATCTGGATGAGGTTCTTTGGAAGGTATTCCACTTATCTCTGGAGGGCAAAGCACGAGAATGGTACATGAGCTTGCCTAGTTATATGGCAGATGCCTACCATAACTGGAACAACCTCAGAAAAGCATTCTTGGAGAAGTATTTCCCTGCTTCCCGGACTTCTACATTGAGAAAAGAGATCTACTCTGCAAAGCAAGATTATGATGAGTCACTTTATGACTACTGGAACCGTTTTCAGGACTTGCTTTCTAGATGTCCACACCATCAGATTCCAGATGAGCAGTTAGTCCAATACTTTTATGATGGACTTAAGACCCAAGATAAGGGGATGTTGGATGCTGCTTCTGGGGGTTCTCTTATTGATTTAACTGCTGAGGAGGCATGGGAACTTATCAAGAAAATGGCATTGAACCATCAACAGTATAGCATCAGGGAGTCTAAAAATGTCAATGCAATGCATACTAATCCTTCTTCAGTCCACATTCCTCAATTGGACACATTCACTTCTCAAATTGCTGCTTTGACTACACAGTTGAATAAGCTTGCATCTCACACTCCCCCTGTTGACACTCGGACTCCTAATTCTATGGAGATGACTGCACCTAGTTGTGAGCATTGTAATTCTGTTATGCACATCTCTGCTGCTTGCCCTCATAGATATGAGGAAGTTTCTGCCATGTATCAAGGAAGGGCCAATCAATCCAAGCAATGGAACCCATACTCAAACACATATAATGAAGGATGGAAAGCTCATCCAAATTTCCGATGGGGAGGAGGTGACAATAGGCAGGTTCAAGAAGGGTTTCAAGGGAATATGGTTCCTCAAGGGCAAACTTACTATGGAGGGTTACAAGGAGAATCTTCTAGAGCCATGTCTACCCCACAGCAATCACAGTCTAAGGATGATGAGCGGTTCTCTCGAATACTCAAGGGCATTGAGGCAATGACTGAGCACATATCTAAGTCTGAAGCTAAATCTGAAGCTAGATTTGCAGCCCTAGAGAATAGGATGGAGCAATGGGAAACTAGAACCTCTAATTTGACTTCTTATGTCACTAAGTTGTCAAATGGTGTGAGTGAACAGCAAGCTAAGGCTAGTGGTTCAATGCCTTCCAACACGGTGATAAATCCTAAATCTTTGAATGCAATTACATTGAGAAGCGGTAAGGAAATTGGTGCTAAGACAGTGCAATTCAAAGATGATGAAGAGGGTGAAGAACCGGTTGATGAAGAGATAGAAGTTGAGTCTCCTCCTTCTAAAACCACTCAAGACATTCCCAAGGCCACTCAAGAGACCTCCATTCAATCCAAAGAGCCAATAGAGAAAGGATCATCTTCCAAAGGTGATGAGGTAAATATTTCTGACTTGCCTTTTCCTCATTCATATCTCATGAGTAAGAAAGTTGTTGAAAAGAAAGATAATGATGAGCTTTTTGAAATGTTTAGCAAACTTGAGGTTAATGTGCCATTACTTGATTTGATTAAGAAGATGCCTAAGTGTGCTAAGTTTCTGAAAGATCTATGTACAAACAAGAGGAAGTATAGGCATAGTGAGAGAATCCAACTGGGGTCTAGTGTTAGTGCTATCTTCAAGCCACAGCTGCCTATTAAGTGTAAAGACCCGGGTTCCTACACTATTCCCTGTACCATAGGCAAAACAAACATTTCACATGCCTTACTAGACTTAGGTGCAGCCATAAATGTTATGCCTACCTCTATCTATGAGAGTTTGGGTATTCATGCCTTGAAAGACACCAGTGTTGTGCTAGGTCTAGCTGATAGGACTGTGAGACATCCTAAGGGCTTTCTTGAGGACGTTCTTGTGCAAGTGAAGGGTCTTGTGTTCCCAGCTGACTTTTATGTGCTAGATATGACTGATGAGATTAAAGCCGATAGCACTTTGATTCTAGGAAGACCTTTTCTTAGAACAGCCCAAACCATAATTAATGTGAAAGACGGGGTCATTACCATGGGTTTTGGGGACCAACAGATTACCTTCAACATTTCTGATGCTATGAGTCAAGGTTATGCAGATTGCTCTTACTTGGGTGTTAATTTGATTGATTGTGCTGTTAATGATGTTGATGATTTGCATGAATCTGAGATGCATGAACATGACTGGTATGGTGAGATTGTTGAGCATGATGATGCATTTACTTGTTTATCTACCCCTCATTCTTCTTCTTTTTGCTCATGTTATGGTGACGTGGTGTGTGTTAACTGTTTAGAAGTTGATCACCTCCTTTCCATCTCTCATGATTTTGATGCATCATCTTGTCTTAACTGTGATTCTGCCTTGAACATTACACTTGATGATAGCCTTGAGAAAGGCGAGTTTGTTGATTTTGCAGGAACTGATGATAAAGGAGCTGTTACACAAGCTACACCGATAGCTTCTCCTTTGAGTGGTGCTGGAACATTAGAAGAGGCTAGCAAAAGATTGCTACTCACTTAGTCACTTCTAATCCCACTCTTCCTTGTGATTTACTTGATGTTTCTGTTGATAAAATTGATACCGATCCTTCTTTTTGTAGGTCATCCAAGAATGGCACTGAGTTGGGAAGTGGAGGACATACACATCATGATGAGCTTATATCTCCTTCCCTAAGCCATATGGACATGCCACTTGCATTGAATGCACTTGACATAAAAGAATTAGTTCCTTCTGTTGTGCAACCTCCTGATTTAGAACTGAAACCCCTCCCCTCTAATTTGAAATATGTCTTTCTTGCTGCTGATTTAAATTGCCTGTTATTATTTCCAGTTCTTTGAGTAGTTCTGAAGAAGAAAGATTGATTTCTGTATTGAAGAGTCATAAAGGGGCTATAGGATGGTCTTTAGGGGATATTCCGGGGATTAATCCCTCAGTTTGCACACACAGGATCCTTTTGAATGAAGGGTCCAAGCCAGTTAGGCAACCACAGAGGAGACTGAATCCTCTCATTCTGGATGTGGTTAAGAAGGAAGTCTCAAAGTTGTTGAGTGCTGGGATCATCTATCCCATATCAGACAGTGAGTGGGTAAGTCCGGTACAAGTAGTACCAAAGAAGAGCGGTATCACAGTAGTGAGAAATGAAAATGATGAACTGATTCCAACTAGGGTTCAAAATGCTTGGAGAGTGTGTATAGACTATAGGAAGTTGAATGATGCTACGAGAAAGGACCACTTTCCATTACCTTTTATAGATCAGATGTTGGAAAGAATTTCAGGAAAGTCTCACTATTGTTTTCTTGACGGTTTTTCTGGCTATTTTCAGGTACCTATCGCTCCTGAAGATCAGGACAAGACTACCTTCACATGCCCTTTTGGTACCTTTGCTTATCGAAGGATGCCATTTGGGTTGTGTAACGCTCCAGGCACCTTTCAAAGGTGTATGATGGCGATATTTAGTGATCTTCTAGAGCAAAACATGGAAGTTTTTATGGATGACTTCACTGTTTATGGTGAGAGTTTTGATGAGTGCTTGAATAGCCTAGAACAGGCTCTTGAGAGGTGTATTGATAAGAAATTGGTTTTAAACTTTGAAAAGTGTCATTTCATGGTTGATAGAGGGATAGTCCTAGGTCACCTCATCTCCCAAAAGGGGATTGAGGTTGATAGGGCCAAAATTGAAGTTATTTCATCCCTTCCTTATCCTACTTGTTTAAAGGATTTGAGGTCTTTCTTAGGACATGCAGGTTTCTATCGGCGCTTTATTAAGGATTTTAGTAAAGTTGCTCTGCCTCTTTCTACCTTATTGAAAAAAGATACTGAATTTAAATTTGATGATAAGTGTAGACATGCTTTTGACACTTTGAAATCTATGCTTGTTTCACCTCCTATTCTCACTGCACCTAACTGGAATTTACATTTTGAGTTGTCTTGTGATGCTTCTAACTTTGCAGTAGGTGCCATGCTTGGACAGAAGGAGGAGAAACAGTCTAGAGTCATCGCATATGCCTCCAAGACGCTTGATTCCGCTCAAGTGAATTATACCACTACGGAGAAGGAACTATTTGCTATTATTTTTGCTTTGGATAAGTTTAGACAGTATCTTATAAACTCTCGAGTGGTTGTTTTTACAGATCATGCAGCGGTTAGGTACCTATTTAAGAAGCCTCAGTCTAAACCTAGACTGCTGAGATGGGCTTTGCTGCTACAGGAGTTTGATATCGAGATTAGAGATCGAGCTGGAGCAGAGAATCATGTAGCTGACCACCTTAGTCGGTTACCTGAAGGCACACAGGGAGTTGACTCTTCTGATCTTGTTATTGACTCATTTCCTGATTCTGCACTTTTTGCCTTGGCTGTTCATGAGCCTTGGTACTCTAATATAGTTAATTATCTTGTCACTGACCTTATACCTCTTTCTATGTCTAAATTTCAGATTGATAAGCTGAAGAGGGAGGCAAGATACTATATCTGGGATGCTCCAATCCTGTGGAAGCAATGCAGTGACCAGATCATCAGACGCTGTGTTCCAAATAATGAGATCCACTCTATCCTTACCTTTGCACATTCTTTATCTTGTGGGGGGCATTTTAGTGCTAATAGGACTGCTAGGAGGGTTTTAGAGTGTGGTTTTTATTGGCCTTCTCTATTTAAGGATGCTTATTCTTTCTGCAAGTCTTGTGATAAGTGTCAGAGGTTTGGGAGTTTGGGTAGGAAGCATGAGATGCCTCTAAGACCTATGCATTTTTGTGAAATCTTTGATGTGTGGGGCATGGATTTTATGGGTCCCTTCCCTTCGTCTTTTGGATTTTCATACATATTACTTGCAGTAGATTATGTGTCTAGATGGGTAGAGGCAGTGCCAACTAGGAAAGATGATGCTTCTACTGTTGCCAAGTTCTTACGTTCTCATATCTTTTGCAGGTATGGCATTCCAAGAGCAATCATCAGTGACCAAGGAACACACTTCTGCAACAGGACCATCAAGTCTCTATTGGCTAAACATGGAGTCAATCACAAGCTGGCCACTCCTTATCACCCTCAGACGAATGGGTTAGCTGAAGTCTCTAACCGGAAGTGAAACGAATACTTGAGAAGATCGTGAAACCATCCCGTAAGGACTGGAGTGAAAGGCTTGAGGAAGCTCTTTGGGCTTACAGGACTGCCTACAAGACCCCTATAGGCATGTCCCCTTTCCGGTTGCTCTATGGCAAGGCTTGCCATCTACCTATGGAGATCGAGCACAAATCTTATTGGGCAATCAAGGCATGTGATGCAGATCTCGAATCTTCACTTATCAATCGGAAGATGCAACTCCAGGAACTTGAAGAGATGAGACTTGAATCCTACGACAATGCCAGAATCTACAAAGACAAGCTGAAAATGATTCATGACAAACAGATTCTGAGGAAGCAGTTTCATGAAGGTGACAAGGTTCTAAAGTTTAAAGCCCGGTTGAAGCTGATGCCCGGGAAGTTTGTCACCAAGTGGGAAGGTCCGTTTAGAGTTACTAAAGTATATCCCTTTGGCACGGTAGAGCTCGTAGATGAGGAGACCGGTATAACTTCACAAGTCAACGGCCATCTACTGAAGCACTACCATGAGAATCACAGACCTCCCTGATCACCCGGTTGTTCCCTTCCACCCTACTCTTTTACTTTATGTTGTATTGCTGGTGATATCTGTTTGCTGAGATAGTTAGGAGTAAGTGTGGGGGAGGGAACTTTTCCAGTAGCTGTAGTTGTAGCTGTTTATTTCTGTTTAGTAGTTGTTTGTTTTGTTTCCTCTTGATTCGGCCATCTCTTCTGATCACTTGATTTATATTTGTCTATTTTCATTTCACATTATCTTAACATTGAGGACAATGTATTGATCAAGTGTGGAGGAGGGATTGTTGTTGAGTTGTTGAGCTTTCTTTTGAAAAAAAAGAAAAAAAGAAATACCCCTCTCTCTTCTACTTGATTATGGTTGAGGGAGTATCCATTGGGATAATTTAGAGAAAATTGATAAATATGAGAAATGGGTCTTATATTTAGGACCAAAACCAACTCAACAATTGGGTCCTATATTAAGGACCGGAGGAGTATTATTCATTATTACAAAATTGAGCCTATAAAGTTGACGAGACACATATCATAATTGCTTCATATGCTAGTTTATGGCTGTATGCTTTAACTTCGTCAATTTATTGTTGGAAGTCATTTTTATGCTTTAAACAAGATTATTACTGTTTTGTTACTGTTAAAGTTTATCTAACCAGTACCACTGAAAAATTCTGCCCTTTTAACCAACAGGCTACTTTCTAATCCAGCCGTTTTATATGGTAATTGGGTGGTTGGAACTACCCAATTACCATATCCTCTCATCAAGAGATTGCATGTAATAATAAACTATTTTGTAATCCAAGTTTAAACTTCTAGCAGATAAAATTAGTAAAATTTCATCCCTCTCCTGGAATCTCCACATATTTCTTGCCATACTGACGAGAATTTACGGGAAACCTTACCTCTTTAGACATATCTCAGAACAGGCAGAAAGCCATCAGATTAACCATAGAAACCTTGTTGAAGAATCCCCAATGTTGCGTTGAGCTTATTTTCAACATGGATTTATCATGTTTCTTCCATTTGCACCATCAAATTCATACCTCTTTCGTCCAAGTCCATCAATTTTTCAGGAAGAAAATAAGTAAAAACTCTGCTTAAGTGTGCTGGTCAGTGCTGCCTCCTATGAATGTGGTTAAGAAGCCGTGCTTTCCATCTTCAGCTAAAGAGGACAAATAAAAGACTTAATATTGAACATTGAAGGGTTTAAATAAAAGGTAAATAATAGGTTATTATTATTTTTTTTTTCTTTTTCCTGTCTTAATCTTTTCTTCTAGTTAAGAGTACCGACACATATCCACCCTCTAGACAGCCTGGGGGTTTTGATTTTTGAAGCTCATAACCTTCTTCATTAGAGAGGGAAGATTATAGCTCCAACTTCCCCTCCCGGTCTCAAAGCAAAAAATTCTCATTTTTCATTTTCTCATGCATGATAATGGGCAAAATAGGGGGGGTTATTTTTCAGAACCAACCACATGATATTCATTGATTCGTGTATATCATGAACTTGTGTCTTATATATATATATATATATATATATTTATTTAAAGAGGTAAATACCAATAGCATGAGATTACTTACAGCCGAAATTGAATCTGCAATATCTTACCTGTAGAGGTAAGTACCAATAGCATGAGATTACTTACAATACCACTTGCAACTTTTGCCTTATATTTGATAATGGGAGGATATATTTTTAAAGAAAAGGTCTGTGCTTTTTGTTGGCGTCAAAAAGAAAAGGTTTGCGCTAGGTTGATTAAATTTCCAAATTTTGCCGTAAAAGAGGGGGGCCATACCGATAAATTTTTGAAAATAAAATGAGTATTTCGTGTCATGCCCACTGAAAAAATGTTTCAAAGGGCAGCAACACTTCTAATTAGTGCGTCTTTTAGTCTTTATTATAAGCCACTGCTCATTTTTAACCATTTCACACAGATAAAAAAAATTAATGAAAAATAAGTTATCTTTTGGATTTTTTTGAAAAATTACTGCTACTTTTCAATATGTTCTTTTAATTAAATTAGCAAAACAAAAATTAAAACATGTTTAGAATACCTTATAAACATCTTTTCAACCATGATTTACAAATTACGAGATAAATATATGAGGAGATTTTTATTTCCACTTATGTAAAATGTATTTATAAGTGCTTTTAAAACGTATTTATAAGTGTTTTTAACTATCCATCCAAACAGACTCTTAATAGGTTGTGTACTTGTGTCTTCCCTTGACAGCTGAAAAAGGGCATACAAAAAACTGAATATTGGACAAAGAAGGATTTAAATAAACATCTACATCATTCTTCATTTGATTATAGTAACTTGTTAACGTTAATTATCCACCACAAGTTTCCAGATACAAACCCATTCTGACCTCCCTGCTCCATGTACGGTGTATCCCTTTGAAGTAATCATCCGCCCACCTCCACCAGGGGACGGATCCATCAAAAGTTCCACATTCGCTAATTTCTATCTAACAACCTACTTCCATAGGAGAGGAAAATCACACACCCACTGTAGCAGCAGGCCACTGGCTGAATCAAACTTGTTAAAGAGGTGTTGAAGTAGCATATAAATAGGATATAGGTAAAAAGCAGAGGCCGCACCAAGCAGGTCACAGCATTTTCTGTCGCTTACATGAACATGATTCCGGAATCTGACGTTACCATCTTTGTGGACGAAAACACGATACCATTATCCGTAGAGAGAAGATATCAAATATTTGCTGTTAATGAACCCTGCCCTAGTTCACAAGAAACATTGGAATCTAAGAAGAAAACAGAAAGAAAGCCATTGGAAACTCCCAGTCCTCGCCACTAAAGAGAGCTGAAACTCCCGGCCAACACCTTGTGTTACATTCTGAATCAAGCATACACTATCGCATTCTCATTCCTTCTGGATAACAACAATACTTCAAGTTTGCCAAGAGTACTTAAAACAAATCTAGTTTATCAAAAATAAAGATTATTACAATGAGTTGCGGGGAGAAGAAACAACAGGGGAGAAATTAAGATGCATTAAAAAAGTGAAAGAAAAAGAAAAGAAAAAGTACCAACAATACTTTCTGAACTCGGCATGTTCTTCTACAAAATACAATAGTAATTAGATTGGATACACTTATTGAGTTATTTCTTACTGAGATCGATCCCAGCCTTCTTCGCAACAGCATCAAGTCCATTCTTCTCTATAGTCTTCAACGCCTTTGTTGACAAACGGAGCTTTACATAGCGCTTTCCGGCTTCCCACCAAACTCTCTTGTACTGAAGGTTCACAAATTGCAACTTTTTCGTCTTATGGTTTGAGAATGAAACTTTGTTGGCCTTGTTTGCTTTCTTTCCCGTGAAGGGGCACACTCTTCCTAAGAAAATAAATCCGAAGTCACAGAATAAATCACCAGTGAATAAATTGAACCAGTTCTACCATCATGACCATTAACGTGCTCAGAATTTCACTACTTAAAAACTACTGATAACAAAGCTTGGAATTGTCCCCAAAAGGGCCGGAAGAAATATATATTATAACCCCAACTTTTTCTATCAGTTTCAAAGTAACATTGAGCCCGAGTCCTCAGGCATATATATGTCACTGAAAAGATGAAGTGGCAAACAGACTAAATATCACTATTAATCTTTCTGTCCAAGCACAACAGAAATGAAATATACATTAATCTGCCAGTGGTAAGAAACTGAAGTTTTAGAGAGGCATTTCACTTGCGCTCTGTGTTCCTATGGATGCAAGACATAACATTAAGTAAACAAGCAAGAAGGGAGTAATTAGCTATCGCTTGGCTTCCGGCAAAGTCTAAGGTAACACAATTTCGTTCAATTCAAGCATTTTCAAAAACCAGCTGGGTGTCTAGTCCTACAATTCCGAGCATTCAACTTACAGAAACAATAACAGAGCTCGAACAACAGAGCATTAATCGAAGCATGAGGTGGTTGCCAAAATATTGTCTTTGCATCAAGTCGAGGGCCATGAAATGAATTAGTTAAATCCAAAACAAAAAGTAGCGAAGTTCTGAAAATAAAAGGCAAGGAATTATGGTGAGAAGAAATTACGAGCAACGGGCTGTAAAGCAGGTAGCAACGGGGCAGAAACGGCGGGCGTGGCCGGTTTGGGTGAATGGGGATATGAGATTTTGAAGCCACTCAACTGTGAAGAGACGAACCCAAGCTCTGAAGCCACGCTGAGCCTCGATGACGGAAACCCCAAAGTCTTGTATTTTGGCAGACACAGGTTAAATTTATTCGCCATCACAACAGCCGAAGCCCCGGAAACCGCCATTGCTTCTTATCCCTTCGCTCTCTCCTTCCCTTTATAATTTCGCCGGGAAAAATGAGAGAAAACGAGTTGTGGAGGCCGTGAATTTGGATAGCCATATCCACGGCTGTCCAGTGTCCACACAGTGTGGGTCCCCTACCGGGCCTCCAATTCCCTTATGTTTTTAACCAGTGCCGGGCCTCCATATTCCTCCTCGGTCTGAAGACATTCTTAAAATAAACCACGAATCTCATTAAATTTAATTGAAAACTTTAATCTTTTAAAAAGAAATGTAAACATTAAAAGTGTCCTTCGTCAAATTATCATTTAATTTAACTCTCAATTAATTAATGAAAAATATTTTGGAAATAAGGTTATTAATGAATAACTATTTTTTTAAACATCTAATATATATGTATATAATAAAACATGAAAAGGCTCTGGCTTGTAAATCGAAACGAATAGAATACCTAACAAAAGTATGGAGATTAAGGATGTTAGTTGTGTCTAAATATTTTTCGTCTTCTTTCCAAAATTTACCCTTGTCAAATGTTTTATGATGGTCATCATTGATTAGGAATTGGGGAAAAAATCATTAAATAAGATTGCATATGATAATACTCCTCCGGTCCTAATTATAAGACCCAATTGACTTATTTGAGGAGATTAAGGAAGTAAGTTAAGTTGGTTATTTATAATAAATAAGTGTTGTTATTCCTAAAATATCCTTACTAATTAAGTATATTAGCTAAAACTATCATTATTAGAAGGATTATCTTGGGAAAAAATGCATAAATATAAAAGAGAAAATGGATTGGGTCTTATAATTAGGACCAAATAAAAAGTCAAATTGGGTCTTATAATAAGGACCGGAGGAGTATTTTCTAAAACATCCTAGAATTTTGAATAAAGTATATCATAAAAGAGGACAACGGCTTAACAAATTCGTGGCACTAAATATTCTTCTGCCTTCAAAATGATTTACGAAGCTTTTTTTTTTTTTGTAATTTTGCTCCGAAATATTTTATTGCCATATGTCGAAAATAATTGTTTCATCTTTCGCATAGAAATTCTTACTCCATACAATCCTAAATATCACGACCTTTTGAATACTTTGTTTTGTTTTTTTAATACAAGAATCAATAATTTATTTTTTGTCCTATATTATTAGATGCTTTTCCCCAAAATATCCCAGTTAATGCTTTTTTTTTCAAAAAAAAAAAGTTATTACTAGTTAAGAAATCTCATTAAGTGTTAAGAGTAATTATAGAAGAGTATGAGTACTTAAGACCATATGACATATTACTTATCGTTTTATTTACAGACTGTAAATAAGATTTTATAATTAGGAGCAGAAGTAGTGTTATTATTCTAATAAAAATGAATCATCACTAGAAGACTACTGTAATATGAGTAATAATATAACTCAATAATCGTAGCTCCAGTGCAAAAATCACTGCGCGAGTCATATGCACACATGTTCAATTCTGATAACCTTATGTTAGCTGGTGAAGCATCATGCCTGTTTGACAGGTTGACCGTGCTGGGAGCTTTTTCTCTCTCAACCGGACCACTTATCCACGTTGAGTTTGCCAGCTCGTTGCCCATCCGCTCCCATGCACAGATGCTTTCTCCTTCAACTCTTGTTCGAGCACTTTGATGGAATTCGAAACCTCAGCCCTGTACACAAAAAACCGGGCAATAACCAGAAAAATGCCGAAGTGGACGGCATTCAGCACCGTGAAGAAGGCGTAGTAGTAATCCAGATGGGAAATATTGAGGTTGTCCAGAATCCAGCCACGGCGGCCACCCGCCTGAGTCACGCGCGACACCGTCGAAAGCAGGAAGCTGCTGAAGAAATTCCCAATCCCCAACGACGTCTGAGAAATCGAAGTTCCAAGGCTCTTCATGCTCTCTGGGGCCTGGTCGTAGAAAAACTCCATCTTCGCAGCCTCAAGAAACGCATCAGCACATCCCATCAACACAAACTGAGGAAGCAAAATGAAAATACTCAGAGGAGCCTGTCCGTCCTTCTCCACCACGCCATGTTGTCTGGCGACTCTGATCCTCTGTCTTTCTGTGAGAGAAGCGATCAACATAACGAGAATGTGGATGACGAAGCCTATTCCCATTCTCTGAAGGAGGGTTATCCCTCTGGGGTTGTTGTCAGTTTCCGCATCACGCGCACGAAGACACGATCGTAGAGGACGATGCTGGTGAGCATAGAGACGGTAACGAATGCGTTCAGACTTGCCGGAGGAATTTGGAAGCTCCCCATGTGTCGGTCCAAAGTGGTTCCTTGCTTTACGAAGAGTGTGTTTGTCTGAGCAATCATTGTGCTCGGAATCACAGTGATCAGCAAGATTGGGATCATCATTAGCATTTGTTTCGTCTCCTCTACTTCCGTAACAGTGCATAGCATCCATGGACTGCTGCTACTTGAACTTGTTCCCGTTCTTACGCTCGCCTTGTTCAAGAACCTGTACCCACATGCAAACAATTATATATTGGTTAATTAAATGATGACACTTTGAACCAGACATCAATAATAGATAACTGCTGAATCAAACAATAGTCGTAAGTGGATAGAAGTCAGATACCTCAAAGTTGGGGTGGAATCGATGTTATACTTTCCTTTCTTGGCATATTCTTGCAAATCTAGTTCATATAGTTGTTTAGGATCAGTAGGTGTTTTGACACGCCATTTCCGGAAAGCAGCGACGATGACCCCAGCCATTCTGGTGAAGTGACTTCCGGAAGGCGACTTGTGCCTGGAGAACGGAGTGCCGGCCAAGAAGATCAAGATGGACACTGCGAGCCCTAGAGTTGGGAGAGCATAGCCAAGAGTCCAGCCCACAGAGTCTTGGATGTAGACGAACATGGTGTTGGCAAAGAGTGTGCCGGAGAAGATGCTGAAAAACCACCAGTTGAAGAAGGACAGCTTCTGAACCTTCTCCTTTGGGTCGAAGTCGTCAAACTGATCGGCCCCAATGGTGTAGATGTTCGGTTTGGTCCCTCCAGTTCCGATGGCGAGAGTGCAGAGTGCACCGTAGAAGACGGCCAGATGCAGCGGCGATGCTTTGCCGCACTTTGTCACATCCGTTTCGGCGCAGGGCGGCGGCTTCAGGCTTGGAAGTGAAACCGATAACGTCAATAAACACATGTCCTACCACAGTCAAAAGGTGGAGGTTAAGATTGATTTCAAATTAAGGATTCGAAGACAGAGTGCAGGTTATGAGTTAGAAATGAAGGGATATATATATGTACGGAGAGATAGACGAAGGAGGCGAGAAGGAACGTGAAGTAGCGGCCGAGGTGGGCGTCGGCGACGTAGGCGCCGAAGATGGGAGTGATCCAAGTGGTGCCAACCCAATTGGTGACGTTGTTGGCGGAGGTCACGGTGCCTTGCCGGAGCTTCTTGGTCAAATATACTCCTCTGGTTCTTAATATAAGACTCATTTAACTAATTTAATTAGATTAAGAAAGTTAGGTAAGTTAGTTAATTATAAGAAAAGTGACACATTTTTCCTAAAACACCATAATCATCTTTCTTAATACCCTCTCTTCCTCTTCTACTTGATTATGGTTAAGGGAGTATCCATAGGGATAATTTAGAGAAAATTGATAAATGTGAGAAATGAGTCTTATATTTAGGACCAAAACCAACTCAAGAATTGGGTCCTATATTAAGGACCGGAAGAGTATTATCAGATTAGTTGATATCCCATAATACGCCATTGTTTCAAATACCTCATACACTGCGTTCGCCCATGCACAACACATTCATTATTTACATAACACCATAAAAATGCAGCAGCATGCGACTGTAAAGAAGAAACTATATATATATATATATATATATATGTGTACTGACCGACGATGAAGGAGCAAGCCTTCCATCGACCTCTTGTGGATTTAAGAACAGGTCTGCCTTTAAGATCCACAGTTCCATCTTGCGCGAACTCATGGCTCCTTCCTTGTTCAACTTCCATATATCCAAAATCCTTCTGGCAGAATAATATTGCCTTCTTTTGTTGTTTGATTCATGAAACTTCACGCCTTTTTATATTTAATCACCTCATCTCAATATCCTCTATTCTGCCTTTCATCATTATTGTTATTGTTATTGCCACCTCCTTGATGTTTTCTCAAAATAGAATTTCATCATATTTTAAAAGATAATCATTTTGTTGTTTTCAATTACATATGACCTTTTTCATTATACTTTAATTTGTAGTCTAATAATCGCACAATGCTTTATTTATTATATTTTCCATCGTTCTCCCCTATGTTTATGTAAATTGCGAGCTGGAAGATGATTCAAAGCATTAAGCATTTAGATTAGATCTTGTCACTCAGAGTACGTAGCAGTTGAAGAGGATAATAAAATACTTTAAATAATTCAGAAAAATACTTTACAAGATTCACAATCTAAAATAGGAACAATTGAAAACAACCAACGGAAGAAAAAATAATTTAAACATCAAATTAATCAAGATATTGATAATATTTATATATTAATTCTATAGAAATATTATTCATATGAGTTGAATATATTGAGGTCCTTAAAATAAGGAACTAAGAAATTATAATATAACTATTTTTTCTTATGATAAGTGGAAGTAGGAAATAAAAAACAATTTAAATTTAATAGGATTAACTATTAGGTTTCTTTCCCTCTCGATCTTAACAATATTAAGCTCTATTATGCAAGTCAAGGGTAGTTTCTTTCACTAGTTTTCACTGTTGATCTCCTTAAAAAAATTGTAAAGAAACAGAGTAAGTAAGAGGATAAAGAGAAAAGCGACAATGTAAACTTTGCATTGAAATCGAGACGGTGAGCATAAGCCAACCAGACAAAAATGTAAACAATCACATTAAACCAAATCAGCACCCACATGAATACTAGCTACTAACTCTGGTAGTCAATGTAAGATCTTGTTTTATTTTTATTTTGGTTTTAGATATAAGATCTCCATCTATTTTGTCTCTTATATTTATCCATTTCTTTCAGAGTAGTCATTTAGTAGTTGCACATGTTAAGTATTCAATCAAATGATAGTTCTAGTTAATATATATTATTAGTAAGGGTATTCTAGGAAAGATAAAACTTAATTATTATAAATAACTAACTCAACAAACTTTCTTAACCTACTCAAATTAGTCAACTAATTCTTATATTAAGGATCAGAGGTAGTAGATTCCAATCAATCTCTATCTCACTTACAAACTTATTATTGTAAATTATCAACTGATCTTTATTTTTATGATAGGACATTGACCTTTCGAATTTTTAATATCATTTGATTTGAAGCTCCTTCAATCTTGGTCCATCTTTGAGATATATTTTATGGCTATACACAGGCAGTATCGATAAATATTACTAATTAAAGGTTTCGAAGCAAAATCATCATTCCTGCGAGCTCAGGCTCGATCCCTTTTGTCTGTCCCTTTGTATTTCTTTCAAGCGTAGCCTACCAATACCACGCACGTAATTTTTTTTTTTAAAAAAAATCGTTTTTCATTGTTAATTCCAATTATTGGCATCGAACCTCATTAGAAGTTTCTTCCAATTTCATGCAAGACAAATTATACTGTGAATGTTTTATGACAACCAATCTTCGGCTTCTTCACAATTGCCCCTCGACTTTACAAACATAAATCTTCTCGTCTTGCTAGAGACATTGCTTAAAGTGAAAGTGAAGCCCCTAGATTTCTAAATTAGGATCATATATTAAATTTCTGAGTTCGGATCATGCCTTCTATAGTAAAATACTACGACTTGTTCTAATTATAAAATCTCGTTTATAGTTACAAACAAAGTCTTATTATTAGAACCGGAGATAGTACTGTATTTGAAAATTGGTCTTTTGCTAGAGTTAACACTCAGAAATTAGAAGTCAGCTTCATGCATTTACTGATACAAAAGTTTAGATGATCATGCAGAGCAGAAGTAAATGGATGTTGTTGCTTTGGGAGAGACTAGCTAAAGGAAACCTGTTAGAAATCCCTTTCTCCACAAAGCTTAAAAATATTATTCAACCCTGATTTTGGTCTTTCAAATTTGCAGAGCATTTGCAATGGACCCTGCCAGACTTAACACTTCAAATGGAGCTTTATTTGCTATAGCTTTCACAGTGAGAGGGCAAGAATCAGTGATCCAGAAGTGTGCAAATGCATTCTCCGGGTCTTCTGCAAATTAAATTTAACAGGTACAATCAGATATGTAGAAACATAGAAATCCATCATATGCAACATGAAGCAGAGACTCACCATTTTTTTGAGTGAAACGTTCCCATGATTGTTTAGGAAATACGCCATGGGTGACGTAGGCGCTCACCTTCGCTGCACCATGAGCTGCCAGGACTTTCTAGAGAAAACCAATCGGAGAAAGGTACAAATGTTAAGCTGCTACTAGACGCAAATGCATGCATTGATAATACAAATTTCATACACATTTTAAGTAGCTGCTTATTTGAATTGCAAATGCAACATCCATAATCTCTTACCAAAATAATTCACGTGGTGAATATCGCCTCAACATGAAAAATTGTGCACAGAAAGGGAAATGAAAACTTTTGACCTAAAATAATTTGCCGATAGACATGAACAAGAGAGATAGAGAGATGATCAGTCTCATTCCTCTAGCAACGGATCTAATTTTCTCCTGGTGAAAAGTTGTGTTACAATTAAGTGTTACAGAGTATTCTAGATAATCAATACTAAGGGTAGCAGAAGCAGGAGGAAGGTGGCACATAATGCAAGCTTAACAATTCTCTTTTAACGTTAACACAAAGAATTTTCAATTATACTACAATTTCCACAAATCATAAAACCTAAAAATCCAAATAACCTATGTCACCACGGTCACAATCATTCACCCACGGCTTTTTTTTATTGCCGCCAATTCGTCCGTCCCCAGACTTGATACCTTCTGATTCACAAAACCCAATCACTCACAATTTGTATCCAAAATTTGTCGCAATTATTTGTTAGATGTACACAACCGTGCATTCACATGGTTTTATTGGTGGACTAATAGCTTGCTTAATGTAATTAAGTTTGAGACCCAAAAACTTGTCCCTATGCCTTCTGAAAAACTTTGTAGGTATTTCAGGTATGCCAGCCCAGATTATTTACCAATAAGTTAAAAGCTCGTCAAGTGACACAGAAACACATTTAAAGATCAGGAAAACTTTTGAAAAAAAAATCTCGTACGCAATCCACAACTATAACCTTATATAATCTTAGCACCTCCAGGATTTCTTACTTAAAGGGGCTTATCATTGCCCTGTTTGATAGTAGTCTTTTTGTGTGGCTTAAACAAATAACCATGAATTACAATAAAAAATGCAGATTCCACAATCAAACCCAGGTACGTCAAATCCCTATTGATTCTGTATGCCTCCAACACTGTGGATACAAGAAATGTGTGTCAAAATTTTCTAGAGAAACTATTCAAACCCCCATAACTTATAATAATGGGGACTACAAGTTATAATCTATGCAAGGCATTGAGGTAACTAGTTCCCATTAGGAATGTCATGGGCACGGGTGAAGTGTCTTTAGAAAATGTAAGTACAGAAGCAAGGTACACTGTCTCGAAGATTGTGCAAGTAACCTTGACACCAAGTATGGGGGCACATGGTGCAAAGACAGGGGAGGCTAATGGAGTTCAGTTAGAGGTCGTTTTGGGGATAAATATGGATGTGGGAAGCGGAAGGCATGAGGAATTTCTGTATAAGTCTGAGGGCCTTGTACTTTGTCTTTGCTGCATTCCTTTTTTCTCATTCTGGTTTGCTGTTTCCCACATTTTTTTTTTTTTTTTTGGTGAACTGTTTCCCACATTTTAATACTGTCTTTTAATTCTGCTAGTTGTGCTGTCATTAGTCTTTAGCATCTGTAAGCCAAAAGATCTAGAGTAATGGCCATCTCTTGTTTTATTGTTTAATGACAAAAGACCATTGCACAATAATCGTTTTCCACTCACAAAGGACCAAGTGCTTGTATGGATTTTATAATGCCAATCCAGAAAATTAATATGGCATCTAAAAGTGACATGAACTAGCATTTATATTTATAGTGACGCATATTCATTACGAAAGCATCAAATATAGAGAGAACGTATAAATAAAATCTTCTTGTTCCCTTTAAAAACATGGATATACATGTAGAGAGAGATATTTGCAAAGATGGAAGCCACATTCAACAATTCTCAGATTTGGCAAGAATGAGAAGTTGCATAAGCACAATATATTCAAAATTCAAAAATCAGTTTTATATATTGAATCGCTGACCTGACACTCAATGAGAGTGCCTCCAGATTGGACCAAATCATCAACAATGACCACATGACGACCAGAGGGGTTCCCTTCCTTTAGTCTCACTATCCTCTTATCACCTTCACGAACTTTTGTACATACCAACTGGCACTTCAAAGTATTAGAAGGACAGTAAAAGAATTACTTACAGTGTAAAGAGAGACACTTATAGGAGACTAACCACGGGAAAATTGTCAAACTGCTTGTGGAATCGCTTCCAGGCACCATCATCTGGAAATGCAATAACTATCTGAAGAAAAAAACTACAATCAGGAATTACCTATAAAAAATAGACGCCGCTGACACCGCAAAGTGCCATATACATAACGTAACAATTACCTCCAACATCCCAAGATTAAAGATAAAAAATATGTAAAGTATTGCATAGTACTCACATTATCAGCATCAGGAAGCTGATGCAGGCGTTGCTTTAACAATGGGATACCAGTTTCAAACAAAGGCAAAACTTCATCTCCAAAATAAAACCTCTCCTGCATAAATTTGAAACTACAGCTTAATGATACAGTGGAAAATGCTAATATAGCTTCTTCTTTTTTAACTAATGAAGCAATGGAAGAAATAATGTAAGGAAACACAAAATAGAGCTGGGATTTAAGCATAACATCCATCATACAAGAGTGAAGCAATAGCGCAAATAGATAATCACCAACAACACCATAAAAACAACCACAATCCATGAGGATCTCAAATAAAACTGAAAATATAGGCATCATACTCCCATTTTTTGCATTAATTACACAAACCTGCAAAGCATGGATATCATATATGACTAAACTAGTTGGGCCACCCCTTGATACAGGAATATCTGACAGCATTCTTGCGAGGGTGAATGCAGTTGCTACATCTCCTTCTTCTTCCATACGCTCAAAGGACCCAGTTGGAAAGAAAGGTAATACTAAAGTGAAGGAAGCAACAAATAGACGAGGGAGCGCATATATGACAGACAGTTGTTCAAAGACAAGTGCTGGAGAGCTGAAAGATGCAAGAAAAGCAACGTGTTGGCCTCGGAGCTCTTCTGCATTATTTATGTAAATGTTTGGAAATCCATCAGCAAAAGACCTGGTCATGCACGAATGAGGAAACAGAATCATCATTCCATGTATAGTTTTCAACAACGGAACTATACTCATAAAACAATTTCTTGTTATAGTTTGATGAAACTGCACGTTGGCTTTAAAATACAGGGTTATCAAGCAGTCATGTGAAGACCCATTTTGGATGAAGAAAAGACTATAATTTATACAATAAAAAATGATTACAAAACAAGAATTCGATGCAAATCGAGTACAACAAAATAGGACACATAAATCGCATGACTTCAATAATTTATGTAACTAAAAATCAGCACAAATTAAAATGTGAATGCAAATTAGGCAAGTACAAAGCATTAAACCATTAGTGCAAAGCCGATAAATAATTCCACTTCACAGCCAGAGGCATTGTCATTTATGGCACAAGCAGAAGACCCAAAATAAACGTGTTAGAAGTCGAGCTGCCACAATCTTCACTGGTGAAACATTTAGGAGATACAAATAATAACCCCCATAACATAAATTTATAGGGAAAAGAAACATAACTGGTGCAATACATAGAGGTACCCAGATTGAGAAGGGAGAACAAAGCATAAGCTTTTCAAAAGCAAGAGGAATTGTGTAAAAGTTACTGGAGATAAAAAGAAAAATAAGCAGAGAAAGAGAAGTGAGAAACCTCCAGCTGATACTCTGTAGAATGATATGATCAGATTGTGCAGCAACCTTACGAGCAAGGTCTTCACACTCGAGACAGTAGAATAGGTTGACTTGCTTCTTCGAAGTCTTCTCTGCTGCCATTTTTCTCGCCGGGCGGACAAGGCCACAAATGCTGGAGTGGAGAGGGTTTTAAGACGGATAAACAGTGGGTTTGCAACTGCGTGGAGAAGACGAGAATCTTGCAAACGTGGACCCCGTTTATGGAAGAAAGCCACGTTCTGAAAATTTATCTTTGGCACTTTCAACACGCGCTCTTCCAACTACGATTTGCTGCGGACTTGCGTTTGATCAGAAGCTGCTCCGACAAAGGAAGCAAAATGAACGAACAAAAAAGGACATCGAAGCCCGAGAGATCATGGGCCTCATTCTTCTTGTTCCTTACGTCTCAGCCCAGTCACAAGCCCAAGCCCTAAAATCTCGCCCTCAAGCTCGACGATAAAGCGCCCGCAAACACCTTTCTCCGGATCATCCTCTTCCTGGGAAAATGGCTCTTACCCTAGCTCGAGCTTCCTGCTCCTCTTCTGCTCGCCTATCCATCATCTTTTCCAGACGCCTTCACTCTACCACTTCCATGTCCATCACCCAACCCCCTCTTATCCCAACTACCCTCCTCGCTCGCAGATCTCCCAATCCTCTTTCTAAAGCCTTGCGCTTGCTCGCTCCGGTCCCCACCGCCACTCGTTTCACTGCCGTCCGATGCCGTGTCAATCGGTCCGGTAACTCGGCCTACTCACCCCTCAACTCAGGCTCCAACTTCAGTGACCGACCTCCCACAGAGATGGCCCCGCTATTTCCCGGTTGCGACTATGAGCACTGGCTCATTGTCATGGACAAGCCCGGTGGAGAGGGTGCTACCAAACAACAGATGATTGATTGTTATATACAAACTCTTGCCAAGGTTGTTGGAAGGTTGGTTTTCGTTGCTTGGTTGCTCGAGAAACTGAAGTTTTCCCTTCTGACTTTTCTTTTTAAGAAATATTGGAGTTGTTATTAAGTGTAACTGATCTTCAATTTTTCTCACTTTTCAGTGAAGAGGAAGCCAAGAAGAGGATTTATAATGTTTCTTGTGAGAGGTACTTTGGATTTGGGTGTGAGATTGATGAGGAGACATCTAATAAGCTAGAAGGTGTGTTGCAGATTTGCCTCAATAGTTATGTTTGTATGCATGTTCAGGACCTTGGTATGTCTTTTTTCTCACATTTGTTTGTATCATTATCCTTTTCGGTCGATAGGATTGCCCGGCGTACTGTTTGTCCTCCCCGATTCATACGTTGACCCAGAGAACAAGGATTACGGTGGTAAGTATTAAAAGGCTTTCCAGTGCTTCCTAATTCTTGCTCTTTTGAAAGAATACTAGTCCATGACGATAATGTTGAATTGTCTTGCGCACAATTTAGCATTGAATATATGGACTTACATCAACTGTCTCTCCTAACTGTTCTGTGCTTCGCTTTGTGGAGATGCAGATCAGTGGAGATGAAACATGTATCTGCTTGCTACATTTGTTATTTTCCTTTTTCTTTGTCTTGTGCTTTACATGCTTTGTTCGCCTCAGATGTATGGTTTGCCATATTATTTGTGGCTTGTCGTCGACTGATTTTAGGGAGGTTATGCCAAATTATTCTTAACCAATCTGTAATTTTGCTTGATTAACCTAGTGAACTAATGAAAATGTATGTTCTTCTCTTTTCCTTTTCTCCCAATAGTAATATCAGAAGTCCATCTTGGCAGAGCTAATAACTCTCATTGGGTAATGTCTAGCTTTGAATGCTAATGGACTGACATAGAATTTCACTCTCATCCTGTTCTGTAGCTTCACCAGTAGATGGAGTTACAGTATCATTGGAGTTGATACATCTATGTCCCTTGCAATTAATCCTTTAATCAATCTCATTATCTGCCTGAGATGCATGGTTTGCCATATTCTTTGTGGCTTGTCCTTGGGTGTTTTTAGGAAGATCATTCCATACCATTCTGGACGAACCTTAACTTTGCTCGGTTAACCTAGTCAACTAATGAAAATGTAGATTCATTCCTTTTCCTTTTCTCCTGTTATCAGCAGTCCATCTTGGCAAAGCTAATAACTCTTATTCACCGGGTAATGTCTAGCTTTGAATGCTAATGGACTCACATAGATTTTCAATCTCATCCTGTTCTGTAGCTTTGCCCATAGATGAAGTTACAGTAACATTGGAGTTGATACATCAAGATCCCCTTGCAATTATTCCTTCAGTCTCATCGTATATCATTGGAGTTACTGTGTTATTAATTCTTCATTGCAGTAGTAATGATGTATATTAATTTTATAGACTTTGAAAGTTGAAACGGTTGTGCAACAATATTTCTTTAGCTTTATGCACAAGCATAAATTCATATTTTATGTGAAGATGGTCCATTGATGACGGCTTTCGTTGATCCCAGTACCCTGATTATTCCCAATATGTGCCATGACTCCTAGCTTGATTAATTGGGTTTCCAAACTAATTTGATGCAGCTGAATTATTTGTGAACGGAGAGATCGTGCAGAGATCACCTGAAAGACAGAGAAGGGTTGAGCCGCAGCCGCAGAGACACCAGGATAGACCAAGATACAATGATAGAACTAGGTATGTCCGGCGCCGGGAAAATCAGCGTTGAAAGAGCCATGCGTAGTTGGAAAGGTGGATGTAGATAATCTGGAAGAGGCGGAGTAATGTGCTATCGTAGCTATCATTTGGATGCTGATATTCGAACTGATTGTAATGCAAATGTTTGTGAGGGTCACTCATCAGTTGTCGAACTAGCCTTAAATTGTTGTTGGGCAACAAAAAAAAAAAAAACTAGACTTTTTAATCCTTTTCCCATGAAACATACGTGGAACAGAATGATGTCTCGAAATGCGAGTTATTTTGTTATTGCAGTCGACCTTCAGGATGCAATCGGCACACGGAAAAAGTTATTTGGGGAGAATTATTCGTAGTTATGTCTGATAGATGGGGAAGTGATTCTGTTGATGGGATCGAGTGTTTCACAACCCCCCCCCCCCATCTATGTTTGTAGCGAAGGGACCGCATTATACGTTGACAGTATATCAGGTGTATTGCATTGTCACTTCTGATTTTGTGAGGCGCAAATAGTGGGAGATGGCTTTGAAATATGAGAGCCGAAAGGAGAATATTATGTTTGTTTGGATGAATTAAATTGATTGAATAGCGGTGGCCATTTGGTTGCGTGATTTGTCATCGTTTGGCAAATAAAATGAAGCCGACAAAGGTCAAGGCACGGTTGAATGAATTTAGTGTTGGTTCTCAATTATTGAGTGGAGCTACTTGCTCCTTGCTGCATTTGGGTGAGTTTGGTATGTGAATATTGTGCTCCGGTGACACCGTGGCAGTTTTGGATCAGATTGAAGCTCCACATATTATTCTTCATCCTTCTATTACAAGCTCTCAGCAAAAGTTTTTAAAAAAAAAAAAAAGGAGAAGAAGAAGAAGAAACAGAAGGAAGCAAAACCTATATATTGTGCAAAAGGTTTTTCCTTTTAATTATTGCTCTCGATTTAATATGACATCATTTTAAACCTTTAACTATTTTCAGAATTGAAATTAGAGGTATTGTTAAAAATAAGTAATAATTATATTTTAAAATTGAGATTAAGACTTGTATCTATTGAGAGGTAAAATGAAAACGTAAAATAGAACTTAAGGAGGGGGAAGAGGGGCATACACGGACGTAGATACAACGGTAAATATGTGTGTTTATCTTCACAGAGGATGAACATGTCCACAAAAGCCAACGCCATTACCTCTCCTTTCTAGAACCGCACCATGCTAATTCTCACTCATACAGACCTTCCCACAAATCAACGAAACGATTCCCCAATAGTAGCAATGCCAACGCAATAGAAGTACATGAAATACGTCCGTAATATTTTATAATATTCCATTCATTAGGTTAGCCGCATGCAAAGCGAGGTTCAGTGGTGTCCGATGCCCCCACCACCGCCTCCTCCTCCACCGAATCCACCGCCAAAGCCCCCACCTTTGCCAAAGCCCCCTCCAATGCCTCCGCCACTACCCCCTCCAAAGCCGCCTCCAAATCCTCCTCCCTTTCCAATGCCACCGCCAAGGCCTCCACCTTTCCCAAAGCCACCCCCACCTCCAAAGCCACCACCATTCCCAACGCCACCTCCGGCACCTCCGCCCCCACCTGCTCCACCCCCTATACCACCACCTTTTCCAAAGCCGCCACCCACTCCTCCACCGTGTCCACCTCCCTTTCCAAAGCCACCACCTGCTCCTCCCCCAAGACCACCACCTTTTCCGATTCCACCACCAATGCCACCACCATGCCCGCCTCCTAGGCCTCCTCCTCCACCAATCCCACCACCATGCCCACCTCCTAGTCCTCCTCCTCCACCAATCCCACCACCATGCCCGCCTCCTACTCCTCCTCCTCCACCAATCCCACCACCATGACCACCTCCTAGACCTCCTCCTCCTATTCCACCAATACCGCCACCATGACCACCTCCTAGACCTCCTCCCTTACCTATTCCACCTCCTAGACCTCCGCCATGTCCACCTCCTAAACCTCCTCCTTTACCTATTCCACCACCTATACCTCCACCTTTTCCAAAACCACCGCCATGTCCACCTCCTAGACCTCCTCCTTTTCCTATTCCACCACCATGACCACCTCCTAGACCTCCACCTTTTCCAAAACCTCCACCGGCACCACCTCCTATGCCACGCCCTTTTCCGAAACCACCGCCTAAGCCCCCACCCTTACCTATCCCGCCACCTATACCTCCGCCCTTTCCAAAACCTCCTCCGGCACCACCGCCTAGCCCTCCACCTTTTCCAAAGCCCCCACCAGCACCACCACCTAGCCCTCCACCTTTTCCGAAGCCACCACCAGCACCACCACCAAAGCCATGTCCTCCACCGAACCCACCTCCAAAGCCGCCACCTCCACCGGCTCCACCACCAAACAACCCTTCCTTCCCAACAGTCTGGAACTTATCATCTTGGTCGCGTCTCACGTTTGCCACATTTCTGGCAACCACATTGGTCGCAAGAACATGGACAGACAGCAGAAGCAGCAGAAAACCTAACCTTCCCATTTTGTGCTTACTGACACTAACTAGCTAGCCTTTGAGCAGAGGCCAGTGTTGCCTTGTGAAGCACGAAGACAGGGGTTTTTATAAGCATATTTGAAATCATTCGTTGGATGCTTTCTGACTTAATCAATCTCAACTACTAACTGATCGCCACATTTAATGTGCACTTATAATTCAGAACCAGTTTGGTGCACCTGCTTTTCACTGTACTGCTACTGCTGCGCTACTTGATCATCTATAACTTTGATATCATCAAAGTAAATCTAGACATCACAATAACGCTGTGCTTTCTTCTCCATCTGCTCCTCACATGCCCTTGCTAGCTCCCTGGGGACCTCTTCCTTTACTCAATGTTGCATGTTAGTTTCGCCTACTTTTACATGCAATCTCATACCTGCTGGCTACATTATTAGTCCTGTCTTACAATTAATTCAATCACTTTCCCATCATTTTCTTAGAAGTTTTTACGTAGAAATGGTTCTTGATAAATGAAGATATATATATATGACGTGACAATATTATTAGGACTTCATTCGAAATTTGATTTAATAAAAATGCGGTCGTGCTTTATTCATAAAATATTAATTATGCTTAAAGTAACTCAAGAAAATGAACTTAGTAATGTGAAAATATGAAGTATCTTATTTTTCACGAGGAAGAGGACGAGGAGGGAGGAATAAAGACGATGGGACCTGGTGTTAGAGAAGGGTTCATCATCAGAAGCTTGAACACGTACGAAAATGGCGATTTGGGAGCATGGGGCACGTGCTTGGTAGATGATAAATTTATTGCTCGTTGAAATTTTCGTTCCATTTCCTTTAACAAAATCTGAACGCAGCTGGCATCCATGGTACTCATATCCATCCGACATACGTATATATTATTATTTTAATTCTGGCCCATAATTGCATGTTTCTGTTCCTAATTAATTCCTTTTTGGCGCCAATAATCGAACCCACAACGTAGCCATCAATCACTAGTTCTTTAGGGAGATCCACATTTGAATTCTTCCTTGAACTAGATTTTTTTTCCCCAGCCGACATGATGGATAATAATCTGGAAAGAAATATAAAATTAATCCATAAATAATACTACATCCGGTCATAATTATAAGAACTAGTTAACTAATTTGAAGAGATTAAAGAAAAAAAATTAAGTTAGTTATTTGTAATAAATAAGTGCTATCTTTTCTAAAATATCCTTACTAATCAAGTGTATTGACTAGAACTACTATTGTTAGAAGGACTACCATGGGAAAAAAGCATAAATTATGAGAGACAAAGTGGATTGGGATCTTATATTTAGGATCAAAATAAAAATCAAACAATATCTTATATTAAGAACCGGAGGTAGTAATAAAACTGTACATGTTCTCACAGGAGCATGATTGTTTTTCTCAGTTAGCAGCCGTTGTCATTGTTCAGTTATCCAAACTTTGTATATAATAAAAAGGTAGGTGAAAACAACAGAAATAAGAGCACCTTAACTAATCCTAATCAAGTTTGTTATACATTATAACGAGCATGGTATTATGTTATTGCTTGTAAAACAAACGTGAGTGTCATTTAATTTGATAATGTAACATGAATTCCTTTATTTTATAAAGAAACATCGCTTCTAAATGCTCCTATATAGCACTAATTCTTGAGTATATTTCATGTTCCGGGGAAGGACACGACGCATCGAAGATGCGGTCCTTGTGTCGGGCTAACCTGGACCAAAATATATGATGCAGGCCCATGGGCCTTATTCGGTTTCAATGAGCCTCCAAATTTTGGGCTGATTAAAAATGTCGAAGGAGTAATAATAATAATAATAATGGTAATAATAACCAATGGGGGTTGGTCCGAGTGGTAAGCGGCTCGGTTCCACTTAAGTGAGGTCTCAAGTTCGATTCCTCATGAATGCAGAAAATCCCCGTTGGGAGACTCATCCACCATACCCAGGTGTGTGACGCGGGTTAGATCCGGATATAGTCAGGGCAAAGCTCTGGTGAACCGGGTGGGGAACCAAAAAAAAAATAATGGTAATAATGATAGGTAAAGAGCTTGAAGTGAGTCTGTTATGTGTATATCTGCATGGTGTGGTGAAGACCATCGTCTGGCGCACTGGACTTATCGTTCTTATTGACATGAGGCTGCGTATTATAGTTTGATATTACAAATTAATGGGGAATATATTTTTAAATTGTTGCTATTCAAAGTTAACAAGTATTTAACTTGTTAACTGAAGTTATTGATACTTGTTATACATATAAATTTTTCCTGAGAAATTCTATGATAAGATTGTACCATATGCATTCTCCCAGACTTCTCACACATTTCATTCTGGCTATCAGGAAATTGTTTCTCACCACCATGAGAGACGAATTAGGGCGGCTCATGCAAGCAAATGCCGTTAAATTCACTTCCTCTGGTATGGCACCCAAGGTTACCGGTTCGGAATTTCTCCTCTTTTGTTCACATCCTCTTTCCTTCTCTTCCTTTTTATGAAAAATTAAAATCTAAACCGTTAAATTCAATGGTTTAAAAAAAAGAAGAAGAGCTAAGAGGATGGGAAGAAAAGAAGAAAGGTTTCGAACCGGTGGTGCATCACACAAAATTCCGCTCCTGTTCAAAAAGCCGATATCGACCATGGGCATTTGCGTCAATGCGCCCAAATGTATAAGGAAATTACAAATCACAATCCAAATGTAACGTTATTTATAATAAAACCTTTTTTTTAAAAAAATAATTTATTTTGAGTTCAAGAACAAAAATTAAATCATGGTGAAGCAATAATAGGCTCATGAACAACTGTCGGGATTGTCTAAGAAAAAAAATACTTGTGATTTTATTATATTATTTTTTCTGAGTATAAATCTTATCCTTCACAGTTTTTTGACATTTTCGGTCCACTAGGCTATGGAATCTGAGCAAAGCTAACGGGCTGTAGTCAGTTACTGGATTACAAATTTACGCAAGTGCGTTCGGCCGTTCACCCAAAAACAAAAAATCTACGCAAGTGCGGGTAGTTTCGTCATTTGATTTGATGGCATCGCCGTTATTTACTTGAAAAAGAATGGGATATTTTAATATTCTCTCATACATATATAAACACGCTTACGCCTAAATCTCTCATCTCCTCCGTCTTTCGTCGGAAGTTAATCGTTTCTTCTCTGCCCTTGTTGACGCGAGGAGTTCTGATCAAGGCCTTCCTCTTTCTTGGATCCCATCGTATTCTCCGTCGTCCTACGATTTCCAGACCCGTTGCTCCGGCCAGAAGCTGAACTCGCCGTCTCAATCTTTTATTTTACTTGTTGGTCTGATTCAAAATCTTAGGTTTTGGCCCTTCAATATCTCCGGACCATTCTTGTGTGTCGTCTTCTCCGATCCATTTGTGGACCCTGCTTCATTCTTTTTCTGTTCTCTCTCCCTTTCACGACAAGACGAATATGACGTCTCAACATTAAACAATTCTCGAATATTCATTCGTTCTTACGGTTTTGCCCTCGCCGACGTGGCATGATTTGGAACCTCCATGACCAGTCACTGTCCTCGCAGGATTTTGCCACCTGGTGGGACGAGAAAGCGGAAGGAGAGAGAAGCTCCGCGCTCCCCATCGGGTCCACCACCAGCCGCACCAACTGCTACGGCTTATTCGGCTAATTCAGGAGAAGCCGAGGAGGGGAAGCCGATAACTTCGAATCGGCTTCTAGCCGGCTACATGGCTCACGAGTTCTTGACAAGAGGTACTCTGTTTGGGCAGAAGTTCGAGTCGGGAGGAGCGGAGGCTGTCCCCTCGGCTACCCCCAGCTCCTCAGCTTGGGCGCAGCCGAGCATAAGGAAGGAAGATAGCAGTCATGCTAAGATGGCAAGCATAGTGCAGTCAGATGGGACCCACATCCCGGGCGTCGTGAATCCAAGCCAACTCGCTAGATGGATGCAAATATGACGTGGCGGTTTCTGATGGGGGAGGGGATGGTTGGTTGACAGCTAAAGGAAAGGTGGTGAGTAAGTATCGGATCCAACCCAGACGATAAGAGCATGAGAGTGGGATAAGCATGCGCATGTGATTGTGGTTTGTAATTTGTGGCGTCGATCGAATATGGAGTTTTACAACAGAATGAACAGAAATAGTGTTTGCATAGGAATTGATAGGTACATTAGCCTGGCCTTGGGATGATATGTATTTTGTTTGATTGATGAATGAACTGAATGTACTCCTATATGTGTGTGTGTGAGGGGCGTTAATTGATGTATGCATGCGTGATCTAGGTTTTGAGTTGGAGATGAATTAATATGGATGATGATGATGATGCTTTTTGTGTGCGGTTGTAGTGTTTGAAGTTTAAACTTAAAAGCAGAGTGTTATATCCTGTAGAAAGTACGTATATATTTGTCGCTCTTCACGTCATAAGCAGATTAATCCGTTAGCTCGGCAGTGATCACCGCCAAGTTACCTCATCAAGAGAGCAGGCGCTGTGGTGAGAAGGTTGCCAGATGAAATGTGGCTAACTCTAGACTTACATTACTAATAAATACATTCCTAAATTAAACCAAGCAACGTATTTAACTGGACGGTAAGATTGTTGCGCGTGGGGTGGTAGTCCGTATTTACATTGACTCAGATACGCGTCATTAAGTTTCCTGGTCAAAGTGGTGCTTTAGGATCAATGATCTGCTTTTCTTTTTCTTTTTTAATTTTATGCACTCACACAAACGTGTTAACGTTAGATTTGAATCTGAACTTCACCCAAGTATGATGAGTGACGTTATCCAACTAGCTAGCTGTTGATTTGCTTTTCGGTTTTAGGTAAAGTAGGAGATTTGGAAACAAATTTAAAATGCAGCGCCCTCAGCTCCACAAAAAAAATACCGTTGGCTAATAACCGCTACCTCCCGTGATGGGGCTCAGCATTGTTACAGATGTGGGAGGTTCACGAAATAAAGGTGAAGGCAAATAAGACAGAGCCTTGATGTCCGTGCATGAAATTTTAACAATCAACAAGACAGTGTCTATATAAGTACATGAGATGTGATGCAAATTACGAATCATATTATTCATAACCATATTAATATATTTTGTTCCTAGCCTGCCGACATGATGCAGGAGAGCAAGATGGTGGATAGTAGAAATCATCTGAAGATGGAGACAGTGTTTGGAGGTCGAGTGGTAGTCCAACCCTGGGAAGGATCATTTCCTCTTGCTTTGAGCTCTGCATGTTCCTGGCAAAGCGCACAGCTACCGCACCAAAAATGGACGCAGCAATCGCAGCAGGGCTCAGCCGGCAGCCCATACTTTGCCCTCACCTTCTCTCTGTACATACACGAGTACACCCACTGGCACTGCACCATCATCAACAATCCATACACCATCCCCTGCCCTACGCATGCTTTGTTTTTTCCCATTCATATATACTCCTCCGGTCCTTATTATAAGACCCAATTTGACTTTTTATTTGGTCCTAATTATAAGACCCAATGCATTTTCTCTCTTATATTTATGCATTTTTTTCCAAGATAATCCTTCTAATAATGATAGTTTTAGCCAATATACTTAATTAGCAAGAATATTTTAGGAATAACAACACTTATTTATTATAAATAACCAACTTAACTTACTTCCTTAATCTCCTCAAATAAGTCAATTGGGTCTTATAATTAGGACCGGAGGAGTATTTCACATCACAAACACACGTCATTAATTTCATTTCATGACCCACCTCTTTTCATTATGCATATATAGGACACACCCACACATATAGACTTACAACTTCGTCCTTCGTCCGCTACTTCTGCTATTTGGCCGAACGTTATGCATGGCAAACAGCATGTTACACAACCTGCGTGCGTCTTCATTTTATTATGCACTAAATCATTCCGTTTCAACTTATATAAGACTCTCCCAATAGATGATTAATTTGTATAGGTTAAAAAAATTAGTTTAGTTATTTGTACAAAGCCTATGTTGGTTTTCTTAAAATACGCTCTTTAATTATTTGCAATGAAATCACTCCTTTATAGAAACTCTCTTAATATGTGACAGTTTGGAGAGAAAAAGTGGGTTATTGTTTTATACTCTTTCAATCATAAATCTAAGACTCATTCTGTAGTGTAATCTACGTTACAAAAGGGATCTTACATTTAGAATTGGAATACTATTTCAGATTGAAGTAAACTCATTAATTGGCTTCTATGTTTAAAACTAGAACGGCATCAATCATTTTTACGCATCGGAAACGATGGAGATCTTACATGTTTTTGGGTGCTGTCCACAACCGCAGAGTCCCACCGACCATTTCGGCGGTGTTGCCCGACCACCAAATATCATCTTCATCATCCCCCAAACCCCCCACCCGAGATATTGCCTGTGATAACTACGACTTATGGCTTCTTTGGTGTTTGCTTCAGGGCTTCATTTATAGTGTGCTTTCCCCTATTAATTTGTCTTTAATTTAAACAAAGAAACAAAACACTATTTACTTCTTTTTTTTCATAGAAGCAAAACACTATTTACTTTGTTTAAGACTTTTTCCCCTCAAGGAAGGGATTATACTACCGGCAATATCGGTTGTGAGCATCGTTTTGCCGACTGCGTTTAAGTCCTAATCCTGTCCTCATATGCCGGCTAATTAATCTTAGTTTATCACTCAATTGTTATTATTAGTTTATTGGTTCATATTGTTCTTTGCCGTTCTTCTCACAGTTTTCTTCTCATTTTGTCCTTATCGCGGTTGCTGTTTTCAAGGGAAAAAAAATATTCTGTTGGTTCGTAAATTTCTAATGGATAAAAACTTATAAGCAACTTTTTTTATTTGGTTCTTTTAACTCAATATATGATTTTTTTCCCAACTATTATATTTGGGTCTCGTGCATGCTACAATGTAAGCTGTTCATAAATATTGCAGCTTGTTAGTTTTTATATTTTATGTTAGTACAGTAATTATATCATTTATATAATTTAACGTCACATAAGCAATTTTTATTTTTATATTTTTACATGCGGAAAAAAATATATTGGATATTTTAATAACAGATGTATGGAAAAATAAAAATAAAATTTCCAATGAATTATTCTTGGCATGCTGCCAAAAGGTTTTGTTATTAGGGAGAATTACAACAAAGTCCTAAGAGAGAAAATAATTATAAAACAAGTCCCAATAATTATTATTTTTTATTCTGAAACCTGTCATTACGGGCTGCTGAGATTGTTATTGAAAATTTTTAATAATTATCTTTCCTTCTTAGGACATCATTACAATTCTCCATTGTTATTACTCCTGTAGCAGGATTTTACTAGCTTTTAGAATAAGAAGATCTTGGAAAATAAAAGAATTAATATAATTTTTAGTCCTTCTTAGGACATCATTATAATTTTTTTTAATCTTAAATATTAATTCTTATAATTCAATAAGACTTGGACTGCACCCCTTAAGGGATAAAATCTAGGATTTGAAATTAAAGGAATCCAAACTTTGGCCAAAAAAAAAAAAAAGGAATCCAAACCAAAACAAAGACAAATTTAAAAGGCAAAGATTATATTAACCAAAATAAAAGATAATAAACTAGTTCCTTTCATTACATTCAACCATGTGGGTAGATTAAGCTGAATATAGGGTCCCATTGACACCATCCATGGATAACCTGGATCGTACCTTTTTTGGGTCTCAAACTCCAACGATGGAGATACAGAACCTGATTGTTTACGACCCAATTGTTTGGGCTTGGTGAAGTGGTATTCTTGAGCCCGATCAAACATTCCTTTTAGGCTGCAAAAAGCATTCGTTTTGAAGTAAGTATGCGCTATCGGATTTCTTGATACAAAGATTAGATGAATGAAACGGGAAAAAAATAAAAAATCCTATAGGGGGTTGTTTTATATGATTGAGTTTTTATCTTCAACCTGCTTGAGACAGATTAATTATTTTCATGTGTTCTTTTTAATGCAAATGAAGTCGAAGCCTTATAGAGGAATCTTTAGCCCAACGGTTACAAACCTTGTCCCTAGATAAGGAATGGATTTTGCTTCATAGAGGAATCTGTCAAACATTCTATATGCTACTTGCTTGTAAATTGACAAAAGTCGAACCACGGTCAACTTTGTATCAACTATGAACTGCACTGGTCTATATGATAGAAGTTGAACTGTTATGTCTCTGAGATATTGAATCTTTGACTACTTTTAAGCTCAATCAACATTACCATGGGATGGAAAATTTGAATGCAACTGTGTTAGTCTTCCAGGATCTGACCAAGGCTCACGTCAGGATGGCGATACTATCAGATCAATTGTAGCTCAGAAGAGGTGAGGTTACTACAATAATGTTCCATTATGTCAATTAGAATTAATCCTAGCCTGTCGTTTGATGCCCTGGGGAAAAGGAGGGAGCACTGTTTATTTTATTTCAAAACTGGGCATAATAATATTAAAGCATGCCCCATTAGGCCATTATAATATGCATCTCGTTGACATTTTCCATAAAGTTGAACTTCCATCATTTGTTGGAGCTAAATCATTTGTTATGCAATGCTCAATCTGATGTCAGAATTTTTGTGCTCTCACTGTGAACTCCATTATGGGTTTCTCAGTGTATTACATGCCTTTCCATCACTGTTACTTGTCAATGATTTTCTAGTTGATAATTCCCTGGTGACATCAGCCAGTTTCACTACAAATTATAGGTGGAACTTTCCAAACCATGGACTGATGTTTCAGATTACATATTATAATATTTTACACTGAAATTTTTTTATTTTTTCTGGTGATTCCTGTAGGAGGCATGTATTGGAAGTCGGGCTTAGGTCTATATATGCCGGGTTTATAATAATCCCACAAATGGAGATAATCCAAAGAACTCTGCAGCACACTGCCTTCTTTTTCTTCCTTTGGCCTATTTGGTTTGGCTTAGTGGTAATGTCTCTCTCATTATTTTATACGTCCTCCAGACCTCCACTAAGAAAATTGAGTGGCCTTGGCATTTGATTATTAGTGTCAGAAATTAAATAAAATTCAATGCTCCCCACTCAGAGAAGAGCCATTCAATAAAATTTTATTCTACCACTGGATTGGCTCCCCCTTGTGAAAATGAACTTTCCCTATCGTGAAAGAAGAACTATTGTATGGTAACATATGGTCTTCATACTCTGGAAGCTGTGTGGAAGCCAACTTTGCTAATCTTCTCCACAATTTTTAGCAAATCGCATTAGCTTTGGTTTGATGTACACTCTGCAATATAATGAGCCACAAGAACATAGTCTTAGTCTGTTTGACTCCCATGTTCAAGGATTGTGAGTGCTATCAGAAAAGAAATCAATAGCTGCACACTGGTTGGTGCTCATAGAAAGCCCTCAAGATGCTTCTTAAAGATTCATTCTAACTCACATATATAGGCTAAGCAAAATTTAATTTCCTGTTAATTACAAAAATCTATTTGCTTCCTAAATTTTTCCGTAACAAAAGTAAGAGATTGAATAGGTGCGTGGAAAAATACAAAGGGTGATGTGAAAACAGAGCCACTTATAATGGAAAAGACAGACCATACATGTATGGCAGTGAGCAATTAAAGGGGGAATAAAAAGGGGAAAAGGCAGTAGCCAAAAATGGGATAGGAGTGTCCCCCCCCCCCCCCAAAGTACGTTGTTGACATGGATTCTGATTTAACTCAGTTGTGTTCTGTTGCTGGGACAAGTTGACTAAAAAGTGAAGCTGATTCTTCAAGTACTTGAGATGCTCATGGAGGAATGTAAATGGGGGGATATCTAAAGTCATTTTCTTGTGAAAAGAAGAAATCCTAGTGTCGAAACGGCTACAAGCACCCAAAGATATATATGGTTTTGGTTCCACTTGAATAGTTCTTAGTCATTTGAAAGCGGTGCATCTTACTCTTTTCAGACATATTTGGAAATGGCCATTAACCTTAGGAAAAGCAACTTGATTCTTGGACTAGAGTGCAACTGGCCAACTGGAAATTGCATTTACAAGAAACCTCTTATGGAAAAAAGCAGATCAAGCGGATCATGAAGAGACATATAGCCTATCAAACAAATTTTTCCTAGAGTCTCACCTTTATACAAGTCTTTTTATTATTGGTGTGATCCACCAATGTTTGGTGGACTAGGTCTACATAACAATATCTCTCGACTTTTCTCCTGCTTTAAAATTTCTGAAAGAATCTGTCATTGGATTTTTATTTTTTTTTGGCCTATGAGCTGTTTTCTTGACATTTGAAATCCAAAGGTCTAAATGCTTCTTGAGGATGTGGATAAAATGGACCAGCAATTTAGAATTTTCCAAACAGGTTTATCCACATGCAACTTGACTTCTAGCATGCTTGAATAATCAGCATGTGAGTAGCCCAGGGAGTTGAATCTATTTATCAGATAGAATTTGCAGAAAAAGCGTTTTCCTTCATTTACCTAATTTAATATACTTAAACAGCTTTAAAGCACTTGCTCATCGACCTTTTATTGTGTGGAGCACATTCCTTTTCAGTTTTTGGGCTCAAGAGCATATTCCATTCAATATAAGGCATTAGGAACCTGGAGTTTTCCCAACTTTGAGCCTGTGCACTAGTTCATAGTCATCATTGATTTGATCTCCATATTTGTGAGAACCATCTGATATTTGGTATTACATGGATTAATTCAAATTTGAGCCATGTCAAGTTTCAAATAGCAATTGATATATTATCTGCAGCAATAGGCAACTGTAAACAAAATCGAATGATAGAAAAATTTCAGTGCCTATTCATCATCAGCACTAAAAAACCTTATCTGATACATATGATTCAAATGCCATTCTATCTGGTAAACAGTTTCACTCTTCTAATTCTCCCCAAATGACTAGCCACTGATCTCAG